TTTCTTCTTGCCCTTTTATAACCAATTTTGCTTTGTTTTCTCACAAAATGCGAAAAACTGATTTTTCAATCTGAACAAAACCAATAGATTCACACGTGAAAACGGTGTGAATATAATAATACAAGTTGGTTAATTGATCAGAAATCCAGCACCAAGTTGGTGTAACTCTGGCATGGTGATGGATATAAATCGAAGCCTGCACCATGCTGAATTTCTATTCGATCAACCCACTTGTGCTTTTCGGGAAACAACACTCCAACCATGACCTAACCTAAAAGTCAATAAATTAATATTGATGCACGAGGACTGTCAATCAGTTCCATTTAATCGATTTAACTCAATTAAAAAGCATTAAAGAGGATTTTTTGTGAAGTATTCGATAAGAAAGCTAGCTTTAATGATAAGATACAGTCTACTAGTCCCCTAATGCGTGCCTTTTGACGTCAGCTTTATAGATTCTGTGACGAATGAATGAATTTCAGAATTCTAGAATCAATTTTTGAAAGAAAAAAAAAATGATTAAAGTCGTAAAGTTTGAGATTAGATTGTGGAATCTTCCACGGGAATGGAATGAATTTTGAGATTATTAAGTTTGTTGATATCACGGAGCATTTACAAGGTAAATATTATTGATTTTTGGAAATTTGGAAATAAACATTTCTTACAATTTTAAGGCTGTAAGCTTGACAAGATTGATATTTTTTAAAATTCAAGGTTAGAATTTTTGAGGTTAGCAAATTATTTTAAATTTCACAATAGCTTTATACAGCCGACTCGACAAATTATCTCGATTCTTATCAAAAGTATTAAATTTTCCAGACGGCACCAAAATACGGATTTTTTGTTTATCAAATAAAATCCGCACAAATGTGGCAAAAATTCTCATAATTCTTTCCAAAAAATGAAGGCATACATCATACTTGCATTCCTTTCCTGTGTCTACGCACAAACTCCATGCGACAATGTTCGTACCCGCTCACAATGGGGATCAAGATCGACAAGTTTAACATGGATGCCAACTCAACCACCGAGTGGGTTCGCTGTTCATCACACGTTCATGTCTCGATGCACAACACAAGCTGGTGAGTGATGTTTTTGTAGATTAGTCAATTTTTTAATAATTTATTCAATTAAGCCTGCGATGCTGAAATGAGAAACATCCAAAACTTCCACATTAATACCAATGGATGGGCTGACATTGGATATAACTTCTGTGTTGGAGATCCAGGTCAAATCTATGAAGGTAGAGGCTATGGACGTCAAGGTGCTCATGCTCCAGGTTTCAATGCTCGTGCTCTCGGTCACTGCTTCTTTGGAGATCACACAACAGTTCTTCCTACAGCTGCTGCTTTAAGTAACACACAAGCTTTCATTAATTGCGCTCGTGATCGTGGATTCTTGACATCGGGACATTGGGTATCAACACATCGTGGAGACAGACAGAGTAACACAGCATGTCCAGGTCAAGCTCTTCAAAACCAAGTTGCAACATGGCCAAGATTCATCGCTCAACCTTAAATGTCAAGTGATTGTTCAAGTTTTGATATAAAAAATAAATAAAAACTTGAGTGGAAAAACTAATTTTTTAATTTCTGGAAATTCCGTAATTGAAACTTGTAAAATTGAATGGATTTTTCTGAGTTGTAGTACGATTATGATAAGATGTGACGTATGTAAACTTAAAAATATCACAAAAAAGTTTAATTCCTCAAAAATTCATATCACTTTATTTAAATCATCAGTTTTATTTTTTTGATTCCAGCAGTCGATTTAGTCATCAACAAAACACTAAGGTTGAGCAATGAATCTTGGCCATGTTGCAACTTGGTTCTGAAGAGCTTGTCCAGGACATGCTGTATTGCTCTGTCTGTCCCCACGATGAGTTGATACCCAATGTCCAGATGTCAAGAATCCACGATCACGAGCGCAATTAATGAAAGCTTGGGTGTTACTTAAAGCAGCAGCTGTTGGGTTGACTGAACTGTGATCTCCAAAGAAGCAATGACCAAGAGCGCGAGCATTAAAACCTGGAGCGTGAGCTCCTTGACGTCCATAACCTCTGCCTTCATAGATTTGACCTGGATCTCCAACACAGAAGTTGTATCCAACATCAGCCCATCCATTGGTATTAATATGGAAGTTCTGAATGTTTCTCATTTGTGTATCACAGGCAGCTTGTGTTGTGCATCTTGCGCCAGCTGTATGATGAACAGCAAATCCAGATGGTGGTTGTGTAGCCATCCATGTCAAGCTAGTTGACCTTGAACCCCACTGTGAGCGAGTACGAACATTATCGCATGGAGTTTGTGCGTAGACACAGGCAACAAGTGCAAGAACGATGAAAACCTTCATTTTTTTACAAATTTTTCAACAAAACTGTTGAGTTACACTTATAAGTTCGCGAATTTTATACAAAAACCTTTATGTAGTGTCGTTCGCAAAAAAAAAGGTTAAAATTGATAAGAAATAAGTTTGTGCACAGCTTAATCTTCTTATCGCTTACTGATTAGGCTCGTTCCTACTTCAAAATCCCCCCATATGGTATGTAGGATTAATTTTTAAAGTCTGGCTATGCTGCAGAACTGAACTTGATAAAGCATCTTATAGCGAATGAGCTATTTGGTCTGCAGTGTCATCATTAAAGAAATCTGAAAATGGCTCCTTACCCGTGTTATAATTTTGGTATCGACACTCACTATAGCCTCGATGGTAGGATGACACCCTACTAGTCAAATTCGACCTGCAGAGTTAGAACTGACAACACAATTCAGATTAAGTTTTTTTGTACAATTTATTTTTATTCAATCATCAAGAAGTCAATTTAAGGTTGAGCAATGAATCTTGGCCATGTAGCAACGTTGTTATGGAGAGCATTACCAGGGCAAGCTGTGTTACTTTGTCTGTCTCCACGATGAGTTGATACCCAATGTCCTGAAGTCAATGATCCACGTCCACGTGCGCAGTTGATGAAAGCTTGTGTGTTGCTCAAAGCAGCAGCTGTTGGGAGGACTGAAGAGTGGTCTCCAAAGAAGCAGTGTCCAAGAGCGCGAGCATTAAAACCTGGAGCGTGAGCTCCTTGACGTCCATAACCTCTACCTTCATAGATTTGACCTGGATCTCCGACACAGAAGTTGTATCCAACATCAGCCCATCCATTTGTGTTTATATGGAAGTTTTGGATGTTTCTCATTTGTGTGTCACAGGCGGCTTGTGTTGTGCAACGGGCACCAGCTGTATGATGGACAGCGAATCCAGATGGTGGTTGTGTAGCCATCCATGTCAAACTGGTTGATCTTGATCCCCATTGTGAACGGGTACGGATGTTGTCACAGGGTGTTTGTGCGTAGACGCAAGCTACTAAAGCGAGAACAATGAATGCCTTCATTTTTGGTTTTAATCTAGAATGAAACTGACTTCAGTGGCTAGTTTTTCCTTAACTTTTATAGTAAACATATAATTGGGGCCGTCTGAAACAAAAACTACGTTCATTGATAAGTTTTATCTTCCGAGCGATACTAAAAATAAAGCTAAGAGTTTTTGTTCTCTAATCTTATTGGAAAGGAACGAGAAACACATGAGATTAGAGAAGAACATAGGTTAGGTTTTTTGTTGTTATAGGTTAGGTATAGGTTAGGTATAGGTTAGGTATAGGTTAGGTATAGGTTAGGTATAGGTTAGGTATAGGTTAGGTATAGGTTAGGTATAGGTTAGGTATAGGTTAGGTATAGGTTAGGTATAGGTTAGGTATAGGTTAGGTATAGGTTAGGTATAGGTTAGGTATAGGTTAGGTATAGGTTAGGTATAGGTTAGGTATAGGTTAGGTATAGGTTAGGTATAGGTTAGGTATAGGTTAGGTATAGGTTAGGTATAGGTTAGGTATAGGTTAGGTATAGGTTAGGTATAGGTTAGGTATAGGTTAGGTATAGGTTAGGTATAGGTTAGGTATAGGTTAGGTATAGGTTAGGTATAGGTTAGGTATAGGTTAGGTATAGGTTAGGTATAGGTTAGGTATAGGTTAGGTATAGGTTAGGTATAGGTTAGGTATAGGTTAGGTATAGGTTAGGTATAGGTTAGGTATAGGTTAGGTATAGGTTAGGTATAGGTTAGGTATAGGTTAGGTATAGGTTAGGTATAGGTTAGGTATAGGTTAGGTATAGGTTAGGTATAGGTTAGGTATAGGTTAGGTATAGGTTAGGTATAGGTTAGGTATAGGTTAGGTATAGGTTAGGTATAGGTTAGGTATAGGTTAGGTATAGGTTAGGTATAGGTTAGGTATAGGTTAGGTATAGGTTAGGTATAGGTTAGGTATAGGTTAGGTATAGGTTAGGTATAGGTTAGGTATAGGTTAGGTATAGGTTAGGTATAGGTTAGGTATAGGTTAGGTATAGGTTAGGTATAGGTTAGGTATAGGTTAGGTATAGGTTAGGTATAGGTTAGGTATAGGTTAGGTATAGGTTAGGTATAGGTTAGGTATAGGTTAGGTATAGGTTAGGTATAGGTTAGGTATAGGTTAGGTATAGGTTAGGTATAGGTTAGGTATAGGTTAGGTATAGGTTAGGTATAGGTTAGGTATAGGTTAGGTATAGGTTAGGTATAGGTTAGGTATAGGTTAGGTATAGGTTAGGTATAGGTTAGGTATAGGTTAGGTATAGGTTAGGTATAGGTTAGGTATAGGTTAGGTATAGGTTAGGTATAGGTTAGGTATAGGTTAGGTATAGGTTAGGTATAGGTTAGGTATAGGTTAGGTATAGGTTAGGTATAGGTTAGGTATAGGTTAGGTATAGGTTAGGTATAGGTTAGGTATAGGTTAGGTATAGGTTAGGTATAGGTTCAGCTCTGTTCAGCTTACAAATTTAAGTACCTTTCATATCTTATCGAAAACTTCTAACTCTTATTAAAGAAGAAAAACGTTTTGTTTATCACAACAGGTGTTTACTGAATTAAACCCTTGGGATATTTTTTTCAAATTATCTCGAAATTCTTGCAATCGTTTTCATGATAAATAAATAGCCGTGAATTTTTAAGAGTTATTGACGTTAAATTAGAGGACTTAATATGGTCTTTCTTATCAATATCGATAAGATTCGCTGTTCGTGATATATTTTTTCAATCGACAGATTATAAATTTGTGACGCTTTAAGATTTTTCTCGACTCTTCTTGACCACTTTACACATTTGACTGGGTTTAGACAAAACCTTTTTTCAATGTGTTGAATTGACGTGTAAAGATTGCTTGCATGTTAATAAAAACTAAGTAGAAAGCACTGATAAAATCTAAAAAATCATTGATTTTTGTAAAATGTAAAGCAAGCTATTGAGAATTAAATAAACGCTTTACTCAAAAAGAACCATATTTGTTAAACCAAAGATGAAACTGGATGTTCAAGAATATTTAAAAGGTTCTCCAATCCATGGACTAGTTTATATCTCAAACGGTTATCACAACGTGGAGAGGTGACTCTAAAGCATTAAATTTTAATTTTTTCTAATTTCTATTTTTATTTTTCTAGAATATTTTGGTCGATAGCTTTGTCCTCATCAACAATTTGTACATTGACACTTATTGTCCAGTTATGGATTAAAATGAAGAGTCATCCAATTATTGCATACTTATCAGACACATCTGTTCATGTCTCTGAGGTCATTTGATTATAAAGTTGTTAAAATTCTTTCTTAACCAAAAATTATTTTTAGATTTATTTTCCAGCAGTTACTGTGTGTCCTGACATTTTACCATTTAAACCACAAGCCTTGATTAAATTGAAAGGAAAAGTTGTTGAAAATAGATTTTATCGTTATGAAAAGAATAACTTGTCAAGACATTATTATGAAGATGCTGAGTTCCAAGAGGAAATAGCGGATGAAAATAAAATTGGATTTGATTATGTTGAGATTCTTCACAAAATTGAAAGCGGTGAAATAAATCCAAATGCTCTAGGTGTAAAAATGTAAAACTTATCAACAATCTTAACTTCCCCTCAAATACTGAACTTATCCTCATAGCTGAACTTATCCTCACATCTAAACACATCCTCAAAACTGAACTAATCCTTAAATCTGAACATATCCTCAAAACTGAACTTATCCTTAAAACTTAACACATTCTCAAAACTGAAGTAAACCTCAGAACTTAACACATCCTCAAAACTTAACGAATCTTCAAATATGTACATATCCTCAAAGTTAAACTTACCTCAAAACTGAACAAATCCTCAAAACTAAACACTTCCTCAAAACTGAACTAATCATCAAATTTGAACATATCCTCAAAATTGAACTTACCTCAAAACTAAACTTATCCTCAAAACTGAACTAATCCTCAAAACTAAACGTGTCATAAAAAATAGACTTATCCTCAAATCTGAACATATCCTCAAACTTAAACACATCCTGACAACTGAACTTATCCTCAAATCTAAACGTATTTTAAATCTAAACTTATCCTTTACTTGATTTAAATCAAATAATTTTTCAGCTTGAAACGTCTTCAAGCTATCGATATTCTTGGAAACTACAACATTATTAATAAGCTCAACTTTTCGATTCCTGCTGATGACTTCTTGGACGTTCTTAATGAGTTCGAAAAACAGTTTATGATATCATCTCAACCTATGTATTTCAATTTTAGAATGTCACAAGAACAATATTTAACTGAGATCGTTACTCCATATGGACTTTGCTTTACCTTTAATTCTGCACAAGCACATGATTTATTGGACATTAATTCTACTTCCGATGATTTTCATTTTCAACTTTTGGACTTTGCAGTTGGTTCTAATCAAAAGTTTGATCTTCCGAGAAAGGAAGCAGGAAATCCTGAGGGATTGAATTTAATTATTGAAATCACAAATGATCTTAGTAAGCCTATTATGACTCGTGAAATTAATGGATATCTTATCATTTTGCATGACCCATTTGAACTACCATCAAAATTATCAAAATCATTTTTCATCAATCCTAATCAAATAAATGATATTGACATCAACCTGCAAATTAATGAAATCGACGAATCTATTGCTGAGTACAAGCCTACCGAGTGAGTTTTTAAAACTTCGTTTAACTGAACTTATCCACAAAATTTTACATGTCCTGAAAACCAAACGTACGCCGAACCTAAATTTTAAAAACTGATTTAATCTTCAGAAATTAATTTAATTCTCAGAAATAGAACTTATCTTTAAAACTGAACGTATCCTCAAATCTGAACGTATCCTCAAATCTGAACGTATCCTCATAACTGAACTTATCCTCATAACTGAACTTATCCTCAAAACTGAACTTATGCTCAAACTGAGCTTATCTTCAAACTGAGCTTATCGTAAGAACCTCATCTTATCTTAACAACTAATATTATCCTAGAACTGAACATATTTTAAAACTGAACCTATCCCGAAATCAAATTTATCGAAAAAAAACTGAACTTATCCTTAATATTGGTTTTATTTCTTAAAATCCAGTCGGAATTGCTACCTAGAAACTGAAAAGATCCTAAAATTTTTCAAGAAATACACAAAAGCAAACTGCATCCAAGAATGCTTGACTGATTTTATGATCAACCGATGCAGCTGCGTCGAATTCTTCATGATCAGGAATTCAACAACTCGAATTTGTTCAGCCAATGAGAAAAAATGTATAGAAAATGCCAAAGATGACTTTGATGCTCAACAGCAATCCTGTGGATGTCTTGAGCCATGCAATCATGTCAAGTATGAGTTTGAGTTCAATTTGAAAGGAGTCGTGAAGTTAGTAGCATAAAAAAGTGTTAAGTTTAATTATTCTAATGTTAATTTTTCACCAAACAGTCCAACATTTACTGCTGAAAGTTATGTAATTCAAGCATCAGTCCAGTTTCATGAAGTCAGATACAATGCATTAATCAGGAAGCAACAATTCAACGAACTCGACTTTTTCTCATATTTTGGTGGACTTTTGGGTCTGTTTGCTGGAATTTCAGTGCTGTCATTAATCGAGACGGTTTATTGGTTCACAATTCGACAACTGGAGTCGTGTCATCGATCAGATTCAACACAAGTAATGCCATTTAATGAAGACGATGAAGGAAGTCAACCGTCAGGAATCTTTAATAGCTTTAAACTTTTTATCGTTAACTTCTTCAACGAATCGTCAATTCATGGATTCAAATTTTTAGTTGGTTCCAACTATGTTCAAAGGTTCATCATCTTAAAACTGAACTGATAAGGAACAAAATAATTTGAAATTTTTTTTTTATTTTTAAAGATTTTTCTGGCTCTTTTTCATCATTTTGTCAGCTATAATCTCTTACGAGATGATATCAGATGTACGAGAAAAGATTCCAGACAGCAGGATTGTGGCTTATGATGACAATTTTAAAGATTTTGGATTGGTATGTTAAAATAAGTCGGAGAGGGGCAGGAAGATAAGAGGGACACAGAAGACTAGACGTTAATAAGAACTTATGAGGCACTAATCCTGCTTAAGGGCATCAATGTCCTTCCAATCGACAAATCAACTTAAAATCAATTACTCCCTTTTTCAGATTCCTTTCCCAGCATTTACAATTGTCCCAGAATATACTTTTGAAAATGAAATGAGAAATAAATTGATTGACCATTGGACAATGCATTGGAATCGGTTCGCAGCTGGAAAGTCTACAAACATAACTGACGAAATGTTGAGGTGAATTTGTGTGTTTTAAAAAATTTAATTAAAATTTAATTGAAGAGTTTCTAGAATTGCTGCAAACGTTGAGTTTCCATTAAAATATGCATTCAACTACTACGATATTAGATCATTTAAATTGGAAGTGATAAAAAATAACTCAAGACTTGATTGGTTCCGAGATCAAATTTACACAATTAATGGAATTAATCATCTGGTTTTTACTCAAATGCCTGTTCCAAATGGAATGGGATTTAGCTTCAATCTACTGAATGCTGACGAATTATTCAATTTTAATTTGTAAGTTATAGTTTCACACCCTTTGATTTTTTTGTATGCAGTTTCACACCCCTTTTAGTGTTTTATGTAGTTGCACACCCCTTTGATTGCTTGTATGTAGTTTCACACCCCTTTTAGTGTTTTATGCAGTTTCACACCCCTTTGATTGCTTGTATGTAGTTTCACACCCCTTTTAGTGTTTTATGCAGTTTCACATCCCTTTGATTGTTTGTGTGTCGTATTACACCCCTTTGATTCTTTGTATGTAGTTTCACACCGCTTTGAATCATTGTATTCGGTTTTACACCCCTTTGATATTTGTAGAAGTTTCACACCCTTTTAATTCTTTATATGTAGTTTCACACCTTCTTTGATTGTTTGTGTATCGTTTTAAACCCTTTTGATTTTTTAGTATGCAGTTTCACACCCCTTTGCTTCTTTTTAAGTAGTTGCACACCCCTTTGATACTTTGTATGAAGTTTCACACCCCTTTGAAATTTGTAGCAGTTTCACACCCTTTTGATTATTTATATGTAATTTCACACCTTTTTGAATGTTTGTGTATAGTTTTACATCCTCTTTGATCCTTTGTATGAAGTTTCGCACGCCTTTGATTGTTTGTATGTAGTTCCACACACCTTTGAATCTTTGTTTGTAGTTTTACACCACTTCGATGCTTTGTATGTAGCTTTACACCTTTTTGATTGTTTGCATGTAGTTTCACATCCCTTTGATTATTTATATGTAATTTCACACCCCTTTGTTTGTTTGTGTAAAGTTTTACATCCCCTTTGGTCCTCTGCATGAAGTTTTTCACTCTTTTGATTCTTTGTATGTAGTTTCACACCCCCTCGCTGCTTTGTAAGTAGTTGCACACCCCTTTTATACTTTGTATATAGTTTGAGACCCTTTTTTCAATTAAAATCTTCAAAATCTTCTAGAAACATCAGCGAGTATCGTTATTTCAAAAACATAACCTCTAAGCTAGCTACAAATTCATCAAAACTAGTCGAAAATTTAAGTATCAACAAAAAAAGTAAAGTGGTTCTAAGCATGAAATTCAGCAAAAGAAAGTACAGAAATGAAACCATGAGACGATCATTTAAGTTTTTAATTCACAAAAATGATGAAATTCCTCGATTTTTTGAACGTCAAAATTTCCTGGAACTACAATATGGACATGCACTGGACGTCCTTATTACACCAGAAATTATTCGAACTGATAAAATTTTGAAGACATTAAGCCCAAATGATCGCGAATGCTACTTTGAAGGCGAGAAGAGTCTCAAGTTTTTCAAAAAATATTCAACCGCAAACTGCAAAATGGAATGTCTGTCAAATTTCACTCTCAACTTCCACAGCTGCTTTGATGATTTATGGAGACCAAATGAAAATGAAAATTATTGTTTTAAATTAATAAACAAAACAACTTATGATGAATCATTTTATACCAATTTTTACACTCGTGACATTGACAACTGCTCTTGCCTGCCTACCTGTGACTCAATCACTTATCACATCAAATATTTTCATAAATTTTCAACTCAATCAGATGAGATTTCAATAAATCTTCGAGTCAACACTGAAGATGCAATTTTATTCCGACGATATCAGCAATTTACATTCTCGGATGTTGTTTCGTATGTCGGTGGACTTTTGGGACTTTTTGCTGGCATTTCAATGCTGTCGATTGTTGAAATTTTCTATTTCTTTGTCATTCGTGTTGCTGTTGATGTTTGGAGGGCTGTAAGAGGTCATTAGTGATGTGTGGAAGTGACATAACCTTGAAAATTGAACCTTTACACTTAACACGCTATTCACATGTATTTGAATTTTTAATATCGAGAATAAACACGAATATGCAATCAAAAGCTCAACAAGATAGCAGTTTTTGTCATTTCAGTAACAGAATCTAATTAATATGAAGTGGACCGTCTAAATATTCATTAAAATGAAGCTTGAAATCCAGAAATATTTGGAAAGTTCATCAATCCATGGACTTGTTTACATTTCAAAGCATTTTCACATTGTTGAAAGGTAAGTTTGGTGTCCAAAACAGTCAACATAACCTCAAAATGACAATTTTTTCTAGAATTTTCTGGTCGATAAGCTTGACATCCTCAATAATCTGCACCTTGGCACTTATCATTGAACTTTGGATAAAAATGAAAAGTTTTCCAATTATATCTTACTTATCTGACACGTCAGTGTCTGTCTCTGAGGTAAATGTGCCCATGATGTTGATCTCTTAGCTCATTAACCTGAATTAATCAACTTTAGATCCACTTCCCAGCAGTCACAGTTTGTCCAGAGTTCTTACCTTACCTTCCGATAAAATATCGAACTCAATTTACTCCTGAAAAGTTCTTTCGAAATGAAAAGCACTCTAAGGAGAGATATTACTACGAAGATGATGAGTTTATGGAAGTGACAGTTGACGAAAGGAAGTTAAGCTTGACTTATGTCGAGATTTTGAACAAAATTGATGCTGGGGAAATTTCTACTAAGGATCTTGGATCAAAAATGTAAATTTTTGGAGGTTAGAATTCGCCATTTTGTTTTTATTTAAATCTCTAATTTCCAGACTGAAGCGATTAGAAGTCGTCGACACGATGCTCGATCTAGGAGTATTTGCAAAATTAAATCAATCGTTCCTAAACGATGACTATCTAGACGTCATTAATGAGTTTGACAAAGAATTTTTAAATAATCACAAAACAGTTTGCTTTGAATTTCGTCAAGATTATTACCAAATTGTATCTGAAGTGCTAACATCACATGGATTATGCTTAACTTTCAACATTGCTTCATCTTCAGATTTACTAAATCTTAACTTAACCTCAAACTATTTTCATTATCAAACATTCTTTACATGCTTTTATACACGTCCGAAATTTGAGCTTGAAATCCAAAGTTTGCCCAGAAATGAATCATTTTATCCTAATGGATTCAAGTTCTTTTTTAGGACTGAGTTGCTTAACACAGCTATTATTCGACATATAACTGCATATCATCTGTTCTTACATGATCCATTTGAACTGCCTTCTAGCAGTTCTAAACATTTTGCAGCAAATGTCAACGGAGAAAATATTATCAAAATTGTACCTCAGATTAATCAGATTGATGATTCAATTGCTGATTATGATCCTGTTGAGTAAGTTTGATCAAAACTAAACATATTGAAAAACTGAACTTATCCTTAAAACCTGAACTTATCCACAATACTATACCTATCCTCAGAAATTGAAACTTGCATCAGAAACTGAAACTGTCTTAAAAACTGAACTTATCCTCAGGACTTGAACTTATCCACAATACTTAACCTATCCTTAGAAATTGCACCTTGCCTCAGAAACTGAAACTGTCTTAAAAACTGAACCTATTCTAAGGACTTGAACTTATCCTCAAAAACGTAACTTATCCATAAACTAAACTTGCCTTAAAAGAAAAACTCATTCTTGAAACTGAACTTATGCACAAACTTTAATCACAAAAAATGAGTCCATCCCTAAACTGAACTCATCCCAAAACTGAACTCATCCCAAAACTGAACCCATCCCAAAAACTAAACGTATCCACCAAAATCTTATATTTCTAAACATTCAGTCGGAATTGCTACCTAGAAACCGAAAAGAAACTGAAATTCTTCAAGAAATACACAAAAGCTAACTGCATCCAAGAATGTCTGACTGATTTTATGGTCAACCGGTGCAGTTGCGTCGAGTTCTTCATGATCAGAAATTCAACAACTCGAACTTGTTCAGCAAATGAGAAAAATTGCACAGAAAATGCCAAAAATGATTTTGAAGCTCAACAGCAGTATTGTGAATGTCTGCAGCCATGTAATTATGTCAAATATGAATACGAATTTGCAGAAGTAGGCATCATGCCGTAAGAATAGATCTTATTGTGTACTCAAATATTGAATTAATTCCATTTTTTTACATTAAAGACGTCATTCAAAAATTACAGCTCTTGACGTTGAAATTCAATTTGACAAGATAAGGTACAATCCGATGGTTCGTAAGCAACAGTTTAACATGATTGATTTTTTGTCATATTTTGGTGGACTTTTGGGACTGTTGGCTGGCATTTCGGTTCTGTCGATTATCGAGATAGTTTACTGGTTTACAACTAGGCTGTGTGTATGTAAATTATGTCGGGCAACATCAAGAATTGAACCAGTTCAAAGAGACCTCGAGAATGAAAGGAGGAAAACCACAAGAGTTAAGAAATATGTGAAGAAATACTTGAATGAGTCCTCAATTCATGGTCTACAGTTCATGACATCTGGAAGCGCATTTCAAAGGTTTGTAAGAATTTTTTAATATTTTAAACTTTAGCTTCTGTTTTTTTTCAGCATAAGTTGGACCATCCTCGTCACAATCTCAATCTTTGGATGCTTTATGCTGATCTCCGAGACTGGACAAAGAGTTCCAAACGGTCGAGTCGTTGCTCTTGATGACAATTTGAAACATACTGGACTGGTAAATTAACCTCAAAACCTCAAAAAAAAATTTATTAAGTTTTTAAAATTTTAGATTGATTTTCCAGCAATTTCAATAAAGCTACCAAAGTTGTATAATGACGATGCATACATGGAGAGCTACAAGCTTTTCCTTAAACTACAGGAACTTGATAAGAATGGAATAAATCTGACAGATGAAATGATAAGGTATGGTAGATTAAAATAAAGCAGCAAGCAGCATTGACAATTTTTTTAAAGTTTTTTTTGTTCATTTAAAATAGGGACTATGTATTTATAGGTATGAGCTAGTCATCCATAATGCCTGCATACAGATCCAATTTGTACATTGTTATTTCTTGATTCTTACAATTCAGATGGACGGAACTGCATTTCATATTTATCTCCGCTTACTTTTCCGAAAAGCAAATCTAGATATCGACTGATTCAGTATAACTTAGACTTGCTAAAAAATGGTTCTAGACTCGATTGGTTTCAGCAGCAAAATTTTTCTATAAATGGCAAATATCAGCCAGTTTTTGCAGAAGTTCCAACTTATAGAGGCATGGCTTACTCTTTTAATTTGATGGATGTTGATGACTTGCTGAATCTCGAGACGTAAGTTTTAATTTCTTGGTTCCTGTTTTTTGTTTCTTAGTTCTTGGTTCTTGGTTTTTGGTTCTTGGTTCTTGGTTCTTGGTTCTTGGTTTTTGGTTCTTGGTTCTTGCCAATGAGTGCGAACAAAGAAAAAGTCAGTTAATTTTGGTTATTTTCGAAAAATTCAAAAAAAAATTCGAAAATATGAAATTTTGAAAAATAAAAATACGTTAACGACTTAGTTAAGAAGCAAATTTATTTTAATTGTTTTTTGATGCAAAATTGTTTCTTTTGTGTATTAATCGACACTGATACTGTAATTTTGCTCTAAATTTAACAAAAGCTTTTAATAGTTTATCAATCGTTTGTTCGCAATGTTCAAAAACTACTTCAACTTGTGCAATTACTGTATCAATAAATTGTTGATTAAATGAAGGATCAGAACACGAAATAAGACAATTTAATTGCCTATAAATAAATTCGAGACACATTAAAAAACATTGAACTTCTACTGAAAGTTCCCATGGAGATTCATTTTTCATTCTGTTCAAAACATTTCCTTCGGTAGGTTTGGGTGAATGGGTCAAGAAACGAGATTTACAAGCGTCACATGTGATTTTTTCCAAAAACTTTTCGATCAGATCATTCATGGAAACTAAAAAAGAATTGAATTCCAATTTTGATATAAATAGAACTTGCCATGAAATTGAATCTGGAATTCCTGTGTCAACTAATTCCGTATTTTTTGCTTCTGTTGTTTTTGAACTAGACTTTGGACTTTTTCTTAAGATTTTTAAAAATTCTGAACAAAATGACACGTTACTGTGACTCCAGCTATAATTTTTAGTGTCAAGCGAATTTTGCATGTATTTTGAAAAAGACAATGATTTTGCAGCTCGAACAAATCCCAAAGCTGAAGGTTTAGGAGCAAATCTAACTATTTGAGAGAAAAAATTTTCAATACTATTGTTTGAAAGCCATTCAGGATTAAACTCTGCAATTCCTTGATTCAAAAAATGTCTAATAAGCTCAACAGTTGAGTAAATTCCAATTACAGCACCAGTTGTACATCGCAAATAAGATTTTTCAAATTTTAAATTCTCCAAGATGGGAACAGCTTCATTAATCAACCACGTGGCATTTTCCTCAAAGTTGTTACGTGTCCACGTTGTTTTCAACATTAAATTAGAGTATCGATTGAAAAATCGTAATATCCACGACGTAGTATTGACCTTATATTTTTCACGTGAATCACCATAAATAAAAGTTTCAATTGAAGGAGTTTGTAAGAATTCCAGCGCGTTTGAAACATCTTCATCTATTAAATCATACGCAATATTTTCTCTCATTCGTTCGTGGTGTGTTGGATTTAAAACCTCATATTTTAGTTTCTTACAAGGCTTATAAATCATCCTTTCCTGTTTTTTGAATAGATTCTTAATTTCTTTAAGACTAGCTGATTTTGATTTTAAATTGTAATGTTTTTGCAGTTTGTCGTCTATAATTATGTCATGATTTCGCAGACCATTGGCAAGATTTTTTAAATTATGAACAGGATCAAAAATAATCAATAGCTCACGATGAGAATCCATAGGGTGAATTATGCCAAATTCTCGACTAAATTTTTTTGTGCTTAAGCCCATAGAATTAACCAATGAAATGTTTGCCGGACTCATATCCATTGTGATTGACGCTATTCTTACATTTGTTACACTCTCAATTTCACAAATCAAATCATATAAGAACATTTTCAAAGCATTACTATCGTGATTATTGTCCATAAAGTGATAACCGACAAGAATTTTAATACGCGTTTTCATCATTGTAAGAAGAACTGCAAATGCGTTAGTGGCAAGTCTTGACGAAACTGGCAAGGTTGTGTTTCCAATAAAAGTACACGAAGATGCTTCATACGATAAACCCGGCATTACAGATTTTTCATCAATTTTGAGATCTGCGAGCAATTCAGAAGCAGTAAAGTTTTCTGTCATATACTTTAAGAGACTTAAATTAAAATGGACAATGCCTGGTTTGTAATGTAAATTCTGTAAAATTTCATATAATGATCGACATGATGGAACTGGAATCAAGTATTTCCTGCAGAATTCAATCAGCTTTGAACCACCAATCTGTTTGAGAACAATTGCTTTCTGAATACTCTTATCGCTCCAACGGTTAACTTTCTTTCCGCTCATAAAAGCCATTTGATCGTCAGAAATATATTTTGACATTATTTGCTTCGTCCAATCAAGTTCCTGTTTGCAATTTTCATATTTTGATTTGTACTCTTGAGCTAATTTCTGGGCATTTTCAAGTTCCACTTTCAGATCGATCAATTGGCGACATAAATTATCAACTATTGGTTCTTTATAAGGAACCTACAATCAATTTTAAAATATAAATTAAAAAACTTATATGAATAGATATAATATATATAGTTACATTAGAAATAATCTTAGGTCGATCCTTTTCGCTCTTTTGAGACTCTGAGTTCGAGTTTTCAAGGTTCAGTTGTGTTTCTTCAAGTGTTATATCTGAATGCTAAAATATGAAAAAAAAAAATTATTTCTGGATCCAAAAATTTTACAAGAATCAAATATATACTTACAATTGTTGGATATGCACTAATATTTAAACGCATTTTCTCTTCATTTCTACATATCATTGAACTACAAAAGTGCAGGATACACAAGAAATATTTTTTTTTACAGTCAAATTCTACATCATGAAATTCAAGGAATTGTATCCACTTTTCTCGATGGACTGTGTTTATTGTTAATCCGAATAATGGTATTTTTGCTATTTTAGTGCATTTACAGCCTTTTATAGAACAAATTTTAACCATTTTATTAAATTTACTTTTCAAAAATTAATTTAAATACAAAATGTAAACAAATATTTGTAACCGAAATTTCAAATTCAAATTTTTTTCCCGCGTTCGAAAATTAGATCCTTCGAAATCGAAAATTAGTTCTCATCCGCACTCATTGGGGTTCTTGGTTCTTGGTTCTTGGTTCTTGGTTTTTGGTTCTTGGTTCTTGGTTCTTGGTTCTTAGTTCTTGGTTCTTGGTTCTTGGTTCTTGGTTCTTGGTTCTTGGTTCTTGGTTCTTGGTTCTTGGTTCTTGGTTTTTGGTTCTTGGTTCTTGATTCTAGCTTTTTGGTTCATAGTTCTTTGGTTCTTGGTTCTTGGTTCTTGGTTCTTGGTTTTTGGTTCTTGATTCTAGCTTTTTGGTTCTTAGTTCTTGGTTCTTGGTTCTTGTTTTTTTTCCAGAAATATTCCAGAAGCAAAATATGTAAAAAATGTGACCACAAAATACACTGGAAACAGAACAGAACTGGTTAAAAACATAAAGATAAGCAAGGGTAGCAGTGCAGTCTTAAGTATCAAACTTAAAAAGCACGCAAATGTTAAAGAATGTGGAATAATTGCATATTCGGTTCACAATACTGACGAAACTCCACGATTGATGGAAGTATCTAAATTTTCATCAATAAATTATGGATTGACTTTAGACATCGAAATTGTCCCAGAAATAGTCAAAACGGATAAATATTTAAGAAAATTGCCACCAGATGTCCGTGAATGCTACTTCGAAGGCGAGAAAAGCTTGAAATTTTTCAAAACTTATTCAATGGATAAATGTGTAGCTGAATGCTTCTCAAATTACTCAATTCAACAATGTGGATGTGTCACTCAGATGTTTGACGTAGCATCAACTAATGACTATTGCAATTTCATGGATTTAAAAAATGAAGACAGAGATTGTGACTTAAAAGCTAAGAAAGTATTCGTTCAAAATGACATGATGTCATCTCCACCATGTTTCTGCCTCCCCACTTGTGACTCAGTCACTTATCACATCAAATATTTTCATAAATTTTCAACTCAATCGGATGAGATTTCAATAAATCTTCGAGTCAACACTGAAGATGCAATTTTATTCCGACGATATCAGCAATTTACATTCTCGGATGTTGTTTCGTATGTCGGTGGACTTTTGGGACTTTTTGCTGGCATTTCAATGCTGTCGATTGTTGAAATTTTCTATTTCTTTGTCATTCGTGTTGCTGTTGATGCTTGGAGGGCAATTTGGGGTCATTAGTGATGTGTGGAAGTGACATAACCTTGAAAATTGAATCTTCACACTCGACACGCTATTCACATGTATTTGAATTTTTTATATCGAGAATAAACACGAATATGCAATGAAAAGCTCAACAAGACAGCAGTTTTTGTTATTTCAGTTGCAGAATCTAATTAATATCAAGTGGACCGAATAAATATTCATCAGAATGAAGTTTGAAATCCAGAAATATTTGGAAAGTTCATCAATCCATGGACTTGTTTACATTTCAAAGCATTTTCACATTGTTGAAAGGTAAGTTTGGTGTCCAAAACAGTCAACATAACCTCAAAATGACAATTTTTTCTAGAATTTTCTGGTCGATTAGCTTGACATCCTCAATAATCTGCACCTTGGCACTTATTATTGAACTTTGGATAAAAATGAAAAGCTTCCCAATTGTTTCTTATTTGTCAGACAAGCAATTTTCTGTTTCTGAGGTGAATTTTATATTTAGCTAAGGTTTTCCATCCGTAAAGTTACCACATTCAATTCCAGATCCATTTTCCAGCAGTCACCGTTTGCCCAGACTTTCTTCCTCACCTGCCGATACGATATGATGTTCGTGATTATCCAAAAAAGTTTTTTCGGTACCAAAAGCACACAGGTAAGAAGCATTATTATGAAGATACTGAATTTTTTGAGCAGACGATTGATGAAAGGAAGCTCAACTTGACTTATGAGGAAATTCTGATTAAAATTGATGCTGGTGAAATCGACACAAAGGATTTGGGATCGAAAATGTAAGGTTTTTGAGGTTAGAATCTAAATTTTCAACATAATTTATAGATATTATTTTATTAATAGCTTAAAACGACTAGAAGTTATCGACATAATGCTCAATCTTCGAGTATTCTCAAGAACAAACAAGTCATACCTTAACGATGACTTTCTCGACGTCATTAATGAGTTTGACAAAGAATTTTTGAACAATTTTGGAGAAGTTTATTTCGATTTTGGTCAAGATCACAACAATTTTGTCTCTGAGATCATTACACCAAATGGATTGTGCTTTTCATACAACATTGCGAAGCCGTCAAATTTAATGAATGTCAATTTAACCTCCAATTATTTCCATTTTCAAATATTTTCAAATGATATTTATGGAATATCAAGCTCCACTCCTGAATTTAGAGATTCTCCTAGAAATGAAACATCTTATCCCAATGGCTTAACATTACGCTTCATCATTTTGTTACATAATGAAGCAATCAAACGTTATTCAACTGGATATCAACTGTACCTTCATGATTCATACGAGCTACCAACGAGCAATTCAAAACAATTCATGATTAATGTCAATGGAGAAACATTCATTAAGATTGTGCCTCAAATTATTAAGATTGATGATTCTATCAATGACTATAATCCGGTTGAGTAAGTTCCTAGCATCAAACATATCCTTAAAACTGAACTTGCCCTTAAAACTGAACTTGCCCTTAAAACTGAACTTGCCCTTAAAACTGAACTTGTCCTCAAAACTAAAATTGCCCTTAAAACTGAACTTGCCTTTAAAACTAAACTTGCCCTTAAAACTAAAATTGTCCTTAAAACTGAATTTGCCCTCAAAACTAAAATTGCCCTTAAAACTGAACTTGCCCTTAAAACTAAACTTGCCCTTAAAACTGAACTTGCCCTCAAAACTGAACTTGCCCTCAAAACTGAACTTGCCTTTAAACTGAATTTTTCCTTCAAAACTGAACTTGCCCTCAAAACTGAATTTGCCCTTAAAACTGAATTTTTCCTTCAAAACTGAACTTGCCCTCAAAACTTAATCTTTCCTTCAAAACTGAACCTGTCCCAAAATTAAACTTATCAACAAACTTAATGTATCTTTACAACTGATCTCATCCTCAAGCGCCCATTTATTCTTAAAAACTGAACTTATTCTCTAAAACTAGACGTATCCTAAAACTAAACTAATCAGCATCACTAAACCTTCACTTAGAAACTGAATTTATTTTCAAAAACTTAACTTATCCTTAGACACTGAAGATATCTTCAAACCTGAGCTTATCTCTAGAAACTGATCTTATCCTGAAACTAATCTTATTCTAAAACCGATCAAATCTTAAATCCAATCGTATCCTAATCTCGAATAATATTATCACAAAAATCCAATCGTATCCTAAAACTGAACATATCCTCAATCTAAACGTATCCTCTTAAAATTCTCTTATTCTTCAACATCAAGACGTAATTGCTACCTGGAAATCGAAAAGACACTGAAATTCTTTAAGCGATACACAAAAGCAAACTGCATCCAAGAATGCATGACTGATTTTATGATCAACCGATGCAGCTGCGTCGAGTTCTTCATGATCAGAAATTCATCAACGCGAATTTGTTCAGCAAACGTGAAAAATTGCACAGAAAATTCCAAAAATGCTTTTGAAGCTCAACAGCAGTCTTGTGGATGTCTGGAGCCATGTGAATTTGTGAAATACGATTTTGAGTTGGCAGAGTTAGGCATTATGCCGTAAGATATATCATCTAAAGACAACATGTTAATAATTTAATACTTTTCAATTAAAGTCGAAACACGACCTCAAAAATGATCAACGTCGAGATTCAGTATGACAATTTAAGGTACAATCCAATGATTCGAAAGCAACAATTCGACAACATTGACTTTTTTTCGTATTTTGGTGGACTTTTGGGACTTTTTGCTGGCATTTCATTCTTGTCAATTTATGAAGGAATTTATTGGCTTACATTTCGATTATTTGAGTCCAGACTGAGTCGGTCATCATCAAGAGTTGTTCCTTTAAACAGAGAACTTGAATATGAAGGAACCATGGCTGTTAAGCTACATAGATATATAGAAAAGTACATGAACGAGTCCTCAATTCATGGTCTACAATTTATAGCCAACGGAAGCACTTTTCAGAGGTTTGCAAATTATTTTTCATAACTTTCAATATTTTTCTTATCTTTTTTTAAATTTTAGGACATTTTGGACAGTTCTAATTTCAATTGTGCTAGTCTTGTGCTTCATGTTGATCTCTGAAACAGGACAGAAAGTTCCAAACAATCGAGTCGTGGTTCTTGATGACCATCTAAAGTTTTCTGGACATGTTAATATTTTTTTATTTTATTTCATTGAATTAAGGCTTTGAGTGGTTTTAGGAACTTATACAGTGGTTCTCAAACTTTTTTTGGTTCACGACTCTAATTTTATAAATTTTTGATATTTCTGAAATCATTTGAAGGTTCTGTCCTGTGTCGTGAAACAAAGTTTGAGCACTCCTGACTAAGTTTTAAATTTTAGATTGACTTTCCTGCATTTTCAATAATTCCACCTAAAATTGAAAACAAAAATGTATCAAAGGAGGGATTTCGACTTCTCCGAGAACTGTACGAGCTGGACAAAGAAGGCGTAAACTTTACAGAGGATGTGATCAGGTAAAGATGATAGCTTTGTTGAGAGAACTGATGAATTTTTATTTTATAAACATGCTCAAATCAGGAACTATGCATTAAAAGGTACGACATCTGAATTATTCAATGACTTGTAGGATATCCTCAACTTCTAACAAACTCGTGCTTCAATCATTAAGTTTCTGATCAATTTTATTTCTTTCCATGTTAGGAGAACTTGACTGTCATTCATTCTTAGGACCACTGACATTCCAGAAAAGTAAAACAAAATATGGCATAGCTCAGTACAACTCACTCATCCTTAAGAAATTGTCAAGACTTGATTGGTTTCGGCAGCAAAGTTTTTCTATAAATGGCAAATATCAACCAGTTTTTGCAGAAGTTCCAACTTATAGTGGCATGGCTTACTCTTTTAATTTGATGGATGTTGATGACTTGCTGAATCTCGAGACGTAAGTTTTAATTTTGTTTGGTTTGCTAGGGTTCTTGGTTCTTGGTTCTTGGTTTTTGTTTCTTGTTTCTTGGTTCTCTTGGTTCTTGGTTCTTGGTTCTTGGTTCTTGGTTCCTTGTTCTTGGTTCTTGGTTCTTGGTTCTTGGTTCTTAGCTCTTGGTTCATGGTTCTTGGGTCTTGGTTCATGGTTCTTGGTTCATGGTTCTTGGTTCTTGGTTCTTGGTTCTTGGTTCTTGGTTCTTGGTTCTTGGTTTTTGGTTCTTGGTTCTTGGTTCTTGGTTCTTAGTTCTTGATTTTTGATTCTTGGTTCTTGGTTTTTGGTTCTTGGTTCTTGGTTCTTGGTTCTTGGTTCTTGGTTCTTGGTTCTTGGTTCTTGGTTCTTGGTCCTTGGTTCATGGTTTTTGGTTCTTGCTTCATGGTTTTTGGTTTTTGGTTCTTAGTTCTTGGTTCTTGGTCCTTGGTTCATGGTTTTTGGTTCTTGCTTCATGGTTTTTGGTTCTTGGTTCATGGTTCTTGTTTCTTTGTTCTTGGTTCTTGGTTCTTGGTTCTTGGTTCTTGGTTCTTGGTTCTTGGTCCTTGGTTCTTGGTCCTTGGTTCTTGCCTCTTAATTCTTGTTTTTTTTTTACAGAAACATTCCAGAAGCACAATATGTCAAAAATGTGACCTTCAAGGATGCCAGAAATAGCACAAAACTAGTTAAAAACATGAAAGTTGGCAAAGGTAGCAATGCAGTTCTTAACATGCGACTAAAAAGGCAAGAAAATATTAAAGAATGTGGATTGAACAGAATTTTGGTTCACAAATCTGACGAAACGCCAAGATTAATGGATTATGGTAAATTACGACTTATGAACTACGGATTGACTGTTGACATCGAAGTTATTCCAGAAATAATACAAACGGATGAATATTTAAGGAAATTGACTCCACAAGTCCGCGAATGTTATTTTGAAGGCGAGAAAAAACTGAAATTTTTCAAAACATATTCAATGGATAAATGCGTGGCTGAATGTTACTCAAATTACTCAATTCAGCATTGCGGATGTGTTTATCATAACTTTGATCTTGCATCACCCAAAGAATACTGTTGGGAAGAAGGCTTAAAAAATTGCAATTATGAAATTCAGCAATATTTTTATCTCAATGACATAATGTCATCACCAAACTGTTCCTGCCTGCCTACCTGTGACTCAGTCAAGTATCACATCAAATATTTTCATAAATTTTCAACTCAATCGGATGAGATTTCAATAAATCTTCGAGTCAACACTGAAGATGCAATTTTATTCCGACGATATCAGCAATTTACATTCTCGGATGTTGTTTCGTATGTCGGTGGACTTTTGGGACTTTTTGCTGGCATTTCAATGCTGTCGATTGTTGAAATTTTCTATTTCTTTGTCATTCGTGTTGCTGTTGATGCTTGGAGGGCTGTGAGAGGTCATTAGTGATGTGTGGAAGTGACATAACCTTGAAAATTGAACCTTTACACTCAACACGCTATTCACATGTGTTTGCATTTTTAATTTAATCAAGATTTGACGTGTTTAAGTAATAAAGAATGAAGTTTTTAATTTTTATTGAGCAATTCAGCTTTTATTGTCATCAGATCCTCAAAGATGAAGCTAGAAATCCAGAAATATTTGGAAAGTTCTTCAATTCACGGACTTGCTTACACAACCAAAAGATTTCACATTGTTGAAAGGTAAGATTTAGTCCAAAATAGTCGACATAACCTCAAAATGACAATTTTTTTCTAGAATTTTCTGGTTATTAGCTTTGACATCCTCAATAATCTGCACTTTAGTCCTTGTAATTCAGCTTGGACTTAAAATTATAAATTTTCCAATTGTTGCTTACTTGTCGGACACGTCAGTGCCTGTTTCTGAGGTAGAATTAAAGCTCTTTTAAGAAAACAGTTTAAAACTCTTAAAATGCAATTCCAGATAAACTTCCCAGCAGTTACTTTATGTCCTGACTTTATACCTTATCTACCAACAACTACTTACACAACATTACAGAAGCACAATCGTTATGAGAAGCATACTTATGAAATATATTATTATGAGGATGAAGAGTTCATGGAAGAAAGAGCCGATGAGATTAAGTTAAAGTTAACTTATGAACAGATTTTGACAAAACTTGACACTGGTGAAATTCAAGTTGATGATTTGGGAACCAAAATGTAAGTTTTTTGAAGAACAGCACAAATCTGTAGCCAACATTAAGATTAACCACAATTTTCTTAGCCTTAACCGACTTCAGGTTGTCGATACAATGATGAATCTAGGAGTTCTAGACAAACTCAATCGAACTTTACCAAAATTTGACTTTTTGGATGTCTTAAATGAATTTGATAAAGAAATCAGGGGTTGTCCTGACATCTGTTTCGAACTTCATCGTCGATGCAACAATTATATATCGGAAGTGTTAACACCTCTTGGACTTTGTCGTTCATTTAATATTGCATTAGCACATGATTTATTGAACCTTAATACAACATCAGATGACTTTCATTATGAGCTATTTTCAACATGTTTTGCATTAGCCTTCAATTTTTATGATATGCCAGAATTTCCAAGAAATGACACACCTTTTCCAACTGGATTACATATAGAATGGTTCGAAGGTCATAGCGAATTTACATTTAATAGAAAATTGGCTGGTCGTTATATGTTTTTACATGATCCATATGAGCTGCCCTCAACTAGCTCGAAAAAAATCATGATTAATGCTAATTACGATGTTTTAATTCAAATTATTCCTCAAATAAACCGGATTGATGACTCAATTGCTGGCTATGATCCTGTCGAGTAAGTCTACTGAACAGCTGAACTTATCCTTACAAACTAAACTCATCCCTAAAATTAAACTCATCCCTAAAATCAAATTCATCCCAAAATTGGAAGTTTCAACTACTAACTCATCATCAAGCCTGAACTTTTTCCTACAAACTAAACCTATCCTCAGAAACTAGACTGATCCTAAAACTAAACATATCTACAATTTAAAACTTATCCTCAGAAACGTTACTTATCTTCAGAAACAGAAGTTATTTGCAGAAACTGAATTTATCCTTAGAAACTGAACCAATCCTCCATAGCTAGGTTTATTCTCTAAACTGAATAAATCATAAAAACGAACATGTCCCTATAACTGAACGCATCCTTAAGTCTCAATTAATCCGTTGAAACTGAACCTATCCTCTAAAGCTAGGTTTATTTTAATTGAACAAATCATAAAATTGAACATGTAACTATAACTGAACTTATCCTTAAGTCTGTATTCATCCTTAGTAACTGAACCAATCCTCCATAGCTAGGTTTATCCTCGAAACTGTACAAATCATAAAAAACAGAAAAGGTCCCTATAACTGAACGTATCCTCACGTCTGAATTTATCATTTGAAACTGAACCTATCCTCTAAAGCTAGGTTTATCCTCTAAACTAAACAAATCATAAAAATTGAACATGTAAATATAACTGAACTTATCCTTAAGTCTGAATTCATCCTTAGTAACTGAACCTGTCCTCTAAAGCTAGGTTTATTCTCAAAACTGAACAAATCATAAAAAACGAAATGTTTCTATAACTGAACATATCCTTAATTCTGATTTTATCCTTAAAAACTGAATCTGTATTCCGAAATCGAGATTATCTTCAAAGCTGAATTTATCCACAGGATTAAAAATCTATCATTAGAAACTAGTCTCGTCCTGAGAAACTAAACTCGTCCTGAAAAACTTAACTCGTCCTGAAAATCTGAGCTTATCCTCAGAAACTTAGCCTTAACCTGAGAACCCGATAAATCCCAAAACCGATTTTATTCCCACAAAAACTTGATCTTATTCTAAAAACCGGCCTTGTCATTATACTGAACTTATACTCGAAATTATCCTTTTCTAGAAACTTATCCCAAAACTAAACGTATCCCCAAAAATTCTTTTATTTCTCAACATCTAGTCGAAATTGCTACTTAGAAACCGAAAAGACACTGAAATTCTTCAAAAAATACACAAAAGCCAACTGCATCCAGGAATGTCTGACTGATTTTATGATCAATCGATGCAGCTGCGTCGAGTTCTTCATGATCAGAAACTCAACAACTCGAGTTTGTTCAGCAAATGAGAAAAAATGTACAGAAATTGCCAAAGATGATTTTGATGCTCAACAGCAGTCCTGTGGATGTCTACAGCCATGCAATTATGTCAAATATGGCTTTGAGCTGGTAGAGAAAGGTGTTAAAAAGTAAGAGATTTAAATATTCATACTTTTATAAGCTCATAAGTTTAAAAAATTGTTTTTCAGACGTGAAAATGCATTCACTTTCATAATTTTTGAAATAAAATTTGATCAATTTCGGTACAATCCAATCATTTGGAAGGAACAGTTCGATATTTTAGATTTCTTTTCATACTTTGGTGGACTTTTAGGTCTTCTGGCTGGCATTTCTGTGCTGTCAATTGGTGAGGGAATTTATTGGATCACAACTCGATTGTTTATATGCAGAACAAGTTTATCATCAACATTAGTAACGCCTTTAGATGAAACTTTGAATGATAAAAGTAATGTTGTGATTGTAAAAGTTGGTGCGTATGTTTTGAAGTACCTTGAAGAGTCATCAATTCATGGTTTACGATACCTTTTAGATAGTAAAATCATGCAAAGGTTTGTAAAATAATTTCTTTAATGTGAAGGCGACTCTCAACATTGTTAATTCCATTTTAGATTATTATGGACCCTAATAATCACAATCTCTGGAATTGGATGCTTCTTTATGATCTTAGAAACCAGAAATAGAGTTCCAGACAGTAGAATAGTTGCTTTTGATGACAATTTGAAAGATTTTGGATATGTAGACATGCTTTTTAACTTTTTGTGCACAATTTTCATGATTATATCATTTTAGATTGATTTCCCGAGCATTTCATTCCTTCCTGCAACATTTTATAACATCAGTGCTTACTATGATAAACAAAATATATTCAGTCGAATGTACGAGATTCATAATAAAGGATTAGTTGTTCCAGATGATATGTTAAGGTAAATTCAGACTTAATTTGAATTATTACATGTTTTTTTTCCTAATATTTTTTACAATTACAGAAGCTATACAGTAGCATGTGAGTATTAATTTGATCCTTTACATCAGCCTCCTCCTTATGTTTAACTACTTACAGTGAGACAAACATGTGCAGATGAATCATCAATCCTTTTGGGTAATATTTCATACAACTTAGCTCAGTTCAATTTGGATGCCCTTCAAGAATCATCTCGTCTCGATTGGTTCCGACAGCAAACAATTTTGATAAATGACAAATTCCAGCCTGTTTTTGCGGAAGTTCCAACTTATACACAAATGTCATACAGCTTTAATCTATTGGATTTCGATCAGCTGTTTAATTTAAACTCGTAAGATTTTTATTTTGACCTTGACCTGGTCTTGACCTGGCCTTTACCTCACCTATACCTAACCTATACCTAACCTATACCTAACCTATACCTAACCTATACCTAACCTATACCTAACCTATACCTAACCTATACCTAACCTATACCTAACCTATACCTAACCTATACCTAACCTATACCTAACCTATACCTAACCTATACCTAACCTATACCTAACCTATACCTAACCTATACCTAACCTATACCTAACCTATACCTAACCTATACCTAACCTATACCTAACCTATACCTAACCTATACCTAACCTATACCTAACCTATACCTAACCTATACCTAACCTATACCTAACCTATACCTAACCTATACCTAACCTATACCTAACCTATACCTAACCTATACCTAACCTATACCTAACCTATACCTAACCTATACCTAACCTATACCTAACCTATACCTAACCTATACCTAACCTATACCTAACCTATACCTAACCTATACCTAACCTATACCTAACCTATACCTAACCTATACCTAACCTATACCTAACCTATACCTAACCTATACCTAACCTATACCTAACCTATACCTAACCTATACCTAACCTATACCTAACCTATACCTAACCTATACCTAACCTATACCTAACCTATACCTAACCTATACCTAACCTATACCTAACCTATACCTAACCTATACCTAACCTATACCTAACCTATACCTAACCTATACCTAACCTATACCTAACCTATACCTAACCTATACCTAACCTATACCTAACCTATACCTAACCTATACCTAACCTATACCTAACCTATACCTAACCTATACCTAACCTATACCTAACCTATACCTAACCTATACCTAACCTATACCTAACCTATACCTAACCTATACCTAACCTATACCTAACCTATACCTAACCTATACCTAACCTATACCTAACCTATACCTAACCTATACCTAACCTATACCTAACCTATACCTAACCTATACCTAACCTATACCTAACCTATACCTAACCTATACCTAACCTATACCTAACCTATACCTAACCTATACCTAACCTATACCTAACCTATACCTAACCTATACCTAACCTATACCTAACCTATACCTAACCTATACCTAACCTATACCTAACCTATACCTAACCTATACCTAACCTATACCTAACCTATACCTAACCTATACCTAACCTATACCTAACCTATACCTAACCTATACCTAACCTATACCTAACCTATACCTAACCTATACCTAACCTATACCTAACCTATACCTAACCTATACCTAACCTATACCTAACCTATACCTAACCTATACCTAACCTATACCTAACCTATACCTAACCTATACCTAACCTATACCTAACCTATACCTAACCTATACCTAACCTATACCTAACCTATACCTAACCTATACCTAACCTATACCTAACCTATACCTAACCTATACCTAACCTATACCTAACCTATACCTAACCTATACCTAACCTATACCTAACCTATACCTAACCTATACCTAACCTATACCTAACCTATACCTAACCTATACCTAACCTATACCTAACCTATACCTAACCTATACCTAACCTATACCTAACCTATACCTAACCTATACCTAACCTATACCTAACCTATACCTAACCTATACCTAACCTATACCTAACCTATACCTAACCTATACCTAACCTATACCTAACCTATACCTAACCTATACCTAACCTATACCTAACCTATACCTAACCTATACCTAACCTATACCTAACCTATACCTAACCTATACCTAACCTATACCTAACCTATACCTAACCTATACCTAATGTAATCAATCTTTAATGAAAACAATATGCCAGGAACATTCCAGAATCTCAATTTGTCAAAAACGTAACAACTTACAACGGAAATACAACAAACTTTATTAAAAATCTGAAAATTAAAAAAGGAAGTCATGCAACTTTTGGTATGAAGGTGAAAAAGCAAGCTGAAAGCCCTCGTGAATGTGATGCCAATTTATTCTGGATTCATCCTAACGATCAGACTCCTCGACTGACTGAATTCTTAGAATTGGTAAGAGTCGAATATGGAGTTGATGTGGACATTGAACTTGTGCCTGAAATTATTCGAACAGACAGAAATTTAAAACCATTGGCACCAGCTGCACGCGAATGCTATTTTGGTGGGGAAAAGAAGCTGAAATATTATAAAAAATATTCAATGTTAAACTGTGTCTCTGAATGCCTTTCAACCTATTTAATAAGGAAATGTGGCTGCATTGTAACTTTAGAGGAACCAGCATCTGCTAACGGATATTGCTCATCTTTACCTAAAAATGAAACTTACGTTCCGTGCAATATTAAATATAGAGTTAGATTTAATGCACTGGACATCCCATCATCTCCTGCTTGTTCATGCCTGCCTACCTGTGACTCAGTCAAGTATCACATCAAATATTTTCATAAATTTTCAACTCAATCGGATGAGATTTCAATAAATCTTCGAGTCAACACTGAAGATGCAATTTTATTCCGACGATATCAGCAATTTACATTCTCGGATGTTGTTTCGTATGTCGGTGGACTTTTGGGACTTTTTGCTGGCATTTCAATGCTGTCGATTGTTGAAATTTTCTATTTCTTTGTCATTCGTGTTGCTGTTGATGTTTGGAGGGCTGTAAGGGGTCAGCGATGAGGTTGGGAAGTGACATAACCTCAAAATAAGTATGAATCTAGAACTAGACTAGGTTAGTGTCCATAAAAACTTTTCGAAATGTTTTAATCTTTGATAATTTAATTGCTTTTTAATGTAAACTTTGCATGCAAGTTATCAAAAAATTCAATCACGAAACAAAAATTTACATTTTTTTGAAATATCAAAAATTGTTCATTTGCAACAAAAGTTCAATAAAATGAAGCTTGATGTGAAAAATTATTTAAAAATCTCAACAATTCATGGAGTTCGGTACATTTCCAGCCGTTCTCATATTGTGGAAAAGTAAGTCAAATTGTTCTAAAGTTCAAAAATAATTCAAAATTGTTCCTTTCAGAATCTTTTGGACAATAGTTTTGACGTCGTCAGTTCTTTACACTTTCAAACTTTTCTACGATCTTGCAGTGAAGATGAAAAACTTTCCAATTGTCGTGTATTTGTCGGATAAGGCAGTTCCTGTATCTGAGGTTAGGTTTGACGTTGTCTTTGACCTTGTTTTTGACGTTGTCTTTGACCTTGTCTTTGACCTTGTCTTTGACCTTGTCTTTGACATTGTCTTTGACCTTGTCTTTGACATTGGCTTTGACCTTGTCTTTGACCTTGTCTTTGACATTGGCTTAGACCTTGTCATTGACTTTGTCTTTGACATTGGCTTTGACCTTGTCTTTGACATTGTCTTTGACCTTGTCTTTGACCTTGGCTTTGACCCTGTCTTTGACCCAGTCTTTGACATTGGCTTTGACCTTGTCTTTGACATTGTCTTTGACCTTGTCTTTGACCTTGGCTTTGACCTTGTCATTGACCTTGGCTTTGACCTTGTCATTGACTTTGTCTTTGACATTGGCTTTGACCTTGTCTTTGACCTTGTCTTTGACCTTGTCTTTAACCTAGTCTTTGACCTAGTCTTTGATCTGAGACCTTGTCTTTGACCACTTGATCACTTGATCCCCAACTCTGGTTTTCAGATTTACTTTCCAGCTGTGACAGTTTGTCCTCATTTCTTGCCGTACATCCCAAGGTTTATAAGAAAAGGTTTTCGTCCATACGATTATCATGGATATGACAAAAATACAAACACAAGAACTTATTATGAAACTGAAGAATATTTAGAAAAATCGATAGACGAACGAAGGCTGAACTTGACGTATGTTGAGATTTTGAAGAGAATTGGCATAGGAAAAATTGATCCCAGCACTTTGGGGATGAGAATGTGAGAAATTTTTTAAAAAATTTGAGGTTATGATTTTTATTTCCTTCAATTTTTCAGGCTTAAGAGGCTTCAAGTTGTTGACTTGATTAAAAATATGAACATTTTTCAAAAACGTAACTTTTCAATCCCATCCGATGACATCATTGACGTAATGAATGAGTTTCAGAAGGAATTCAATTCGGAATCACATGTTAGGTTCTTTTGGGTCAATGATGATAGTCAGCTATTATCAGAAATTATAACACCTTATGGACTATGCTTTACATTCAATATGGCAATGGTTAATGATTTCATAAATGTTACTTCAACTTCTAATGACTTTCATCTTCAACTATTTTATCAATATGAATTGTACAAGTCAGTTCCACCTCAATATTTACCAAGGAGAATTTCAACATCAATTGCTGGACTTTATGTGCAAATGCACTTAACTTATATACATTTTGAAGCAGTTGAAGCTAATTTTGATGGACTCTTGGTTAGCATTCATGATCCCTTTGAACTTCCAACTAGTTCTGGACTAAATATCATAGCTAAGTCGTTTCAGCTGTCTGAAATCAAAGTTCATCCGCAACTTTATTCTATTGATGATTCTTTGGTTAATTATAGTCCTGAAAAGTAAGTCAACTGATTCTTTAACAGATGTCAAAAACTGAATCTAAATCTCCAAACTAAACTTATCCTCAAAACTAAACTAAGGTTCAAAAACTGAATTTTTTATTGGAAACTAAACTTATTTTTGGAAACTAAGCTCATCCACAAAACCTGAATTTAACCTTAGAAACTGAACCTATCCTCCAAAGCTGGGTTTATCCTCTAAACTGAACAAACCATAAAAATTAAACATGTAACTATAACTGAACTTATCCTTAAGACTGAATCTATCCTTAAAAACTGAACCTATCCTTCGAAATCGGACTTTTCTTTAAAACTGAACTTATCCACAAGAGTAAAACTTTCATTAGAAACTAAACCTGTCCTGAGAAACTAAACTCGTCCTGAGAAACTAGACTCGTCCTGAGAAACTAAACTCGTCCTGAGAAACTAAACTCGTCCCGAGAAACTAAGCTTATTCCCAGACGCTAAACTTAAACCTTATAACTCAATATATCCTAAAACCGATCTTATTCCCAAAAAACTTAAAAATATTTCAAAAAACCGACCTTATCGTTATATTGAACTTATCCTCAAACTTAACTTATCTTCAAAACTAAACGTATCCCGATACTAGCTTATCTTTATAAATTCTGTTATTCCTCAACATCAAGTCGGAATTGTTATCTAGAAACTGAAAAGACACTGAAATTCTTTAAGCGATACACAAAAGCCAACTGCATCCAAGAATGTCTGACTGATTTTATGATCAATCGATGCAGCTGCGTCGAGTTCTTCATGATCAGAAATTCATTAACTCGAATTTGTTCAGCAAATGAAAGAAATTGCATAGAAAATTCCAAAAATGCTTTTGAAGCTCAACAGCAGTCTTGTGGATGTCTGCAGCCATGCGATTATGTCAAGTATGAGTTTGAAAAGAGTTTACAAAGGTAAAATGTATATAAAGTCTTAATGTGGTCTAATTTTGCATGATTTATGCTTTATTTTCAGTCACGGGCCCAGTTATGCACCAAACGATGTCTTCAGACTCGACCTTAAAGTTGCATTCAGTGGCGATAAGTTTAACAATTTGATACAAAAGCAGCAATTTAATGAACTGGATTTTTTGTCATATGTTGGTGGACTTTTGGGACTTTTTGCTGGATTTTCAGTTCTTTCATTCATTGAACTTGTTTATTGGTTCACAATTAGAATATTTTTGGATAAATTCAATCGGAGCTCATCAAAGGTGTATCCACTAAATCAAGAAGTAAGTTTATCAATCAGGACTAAGAAGCACGTGGTCAACTACATGCAGGAATCATCTATTCACGGACTTGAATTGATTGCTGGATCAAATTTTAATCAAAGGTACTTAACATCCAAAATTATGCAGCTAAGGCGCTGACACTTAAATTACAGATTTCTGTGGACTTTGTTCCTTACAATCTCAATGACTGCCTGCACATTTCTGATTTATGAGACGAGGGAGAAAATTCCGGACAGTCGAGTTGTGGCGTTTGATGATAATTTCAAGTTTATTGATAATGTAAGTGAATTGAAATCAGCCAATAGACTCGAGTTTAAGCTTTCTAACTTTCCAGATCAGTTTTCCTGCTTTCACATTCATTCCTGAATTCATACAAGGACCCGAAGTCAATTTTAAATTTTCGATAATGATAGGTGAACCTACAGAAAAACCTCCAGAAACTCCAAGTGATGACTTTTTCAGGTTGGTTAGATCTAAGGACAGTCGGACTAGGGCTGTCGGACTAGGGCTGTCGGACTAGGGCTTCGGACTAGGGCTGTCAGACTAGGGCTGTCGGACTAGGGCTGTTGGACTAGGGCTGTCGGACTAGGGCTGTCGGACAAGGGCTGTCGGACAAGGGCTGTCGGACTAGGGCTGTCGGACTAGGGCTGTCAGACTAGGGCTGTCAGACTAGGGTTGTCGGACTAGGGCTGTCGGACTAGGGCTGTCGGACTAGGGCTGTCGGACTAGGGCTGTCGGACTAGGGCTGTCGGACTAAGGCTGTCGGACTAGAACCGTCGGATTAGAACAGAAAATGCAGCAAAAATATATTTAATAAATTTCAAATTTGCAGAAATGAGTCGATGGATGCCTTCTGTGACCCACGATATGATGTTCATGTAGAAGGCATTGATTACGATTTGAGGCCGTTCTTTCCCGGCATGTTGAAAGCAACATCAGAAGTTCAGTGGTTTAAGGATCAAATTTTTACATTTAATGGAAAATCCAATGTATCTTATGCAGAAGTGCTGACAGAACGTGGAATGGGATTCAGTTTTAATCTGATGGAGGCTGAGGAACTGCTTGATTTTGGAAGGTATGAATAAGTTCCTTGCATTATTAACTTTAATGTACACTTTTTTGGGCAGTCTCGACTCAATTTTTCGATATAAAAAAATAAACAAAAATTCAATTGAAAATCTTGAAAATATCAAAGTCAGCAACAGAAATCGAGCAGAACTAAAGCTTGTCCTTAGGAATCAGCACACATCGAGTGACATTGTCTGTATCTCACCCTCAATTCTAGTTCACAGCATTGATGAGCTGCCCACATTCTTTGACAGAGATCATTTTCTGCCTATAATTTATGGAATTGAATTGGACATTGAAGTCACTCCAGAAATCATCAAAACGGACCATCAGCTGAAGTCAGTCGACCCTAAAACTCGAGAATGTTATTTCGATAGCGAGAAAAAGTTGAAATTTTTCAAAAAATATTCGCTCAAAAATTGTCTGACTGAATGCTTTGCAAACTTTACACTAAGCAGATGCAACTGCACTGACATTAATCAACCATATAAAGAACCTGTCTTTTGTCCTCTTGAAGATGAGAAACATATCCTTTACTGTCCATTAGAAGCTTTTAAAGAATATATTGATAAAGATGTTCCGTCATCAGCTGCTTGTTCCTGCCTGCCCACCTGCGACTCAGTCAAGTATCACATCAAATATTTTCATAAATTTTCAACTCAATCGGATGAGATTTCAATAAATCTTCGAGTCAACACTGAAGATGCAATTTTATTCCGACGATATCAGCAATTTACATTCTCGGATGTTGTTTCGTATGTCGGTGGACTTTTGGGACTTTTTGCTGGCATTTCAATGCTGTCAATTGTTGAAATTTTCTATTTCTTTGTCATTCGTGTTGCTTTTGATGTTTGGAGGGTTGTGAGGGGTCAATAATTGTGGTAGCGGTAACATAACCTCAAAATAATCGATAGCTGCATACAATTAATGCATGGAAATTATAGTCAATTAAGAATAATCGATTTGTAGCTTATTTTCATTCTGTTCAGTTCAGTTTTAACGAAAACTTGCAATTTAGTCTGTATACTATTGAAAAATGAAGGGATCAGTTCCATTTTTGATATTTATGGCTCTACGATCTCTAAACTCATCGCTTAGCCAGCAAGAATTGTCAAGTCAAGATGACAAACTGACAAAATCTGTGTGCAAAATTGTCAATGACGCTACGGGAACAAATAATGACATACAGGACATTTTAGTTGGATATATTGGATATAATCGATGGTCTTCAGCTTTAAATGATGCGATTCAGTGCATTGATAAAGACAAAGCAGTCGTCGTTACTGATTTCATTAATGTTTTAGTCGACATTCATTTAAAGAAGGCATCAGTTATTGTCCTGATATCACATACAGCTGACAGTGTAAGTATGAATCTAAGACTAGTTCAGTGATGGCCAACCTATGTGCCGCGGAACACTAGATTGTTAAATCTCATGAACCGTATGCCATGTGTGGTTTTGGAAAGCGCGTCAAATCAAGGTTTGCAGTGGAACATAAAAGGTTGACCACCACTGGTCTAGCTTGATCATCTCGGATTGAGCTACAATTTGGTCATCTTAGCAGATCGAACTTTACAGAATGTCTAATAATTGTTGCTTACTATATTTTGCAGGAACTAGTCACAAATCTTATCGCAAGAAACTTTTTCTCATCAGTTCTGCATCATATGGCCAAAATTGTCTGCATCGTACCAAGCTATGCCTCACAGCAACAACGCATTTCATTCCTTAAAGCTTTCATCCTTTTTGGCATGTATGACATTACAGTCGTTCATCAAAACCCAAGCTCCTACATTTGGTATGAGTTTGTCAAAACTAGGGCAACAGGACAATTGATTAAACTTGTAAATCCAAATGACAGTTCCGAAATATTCTCAGACAAAATAAAGGACATGCATGGATATCCACTAAAGATTCCTGTCGTCAATCAACCTCCGTCAGTAAAGGTTAAAAATGGCATTGTAAAGTCACCCATGCTTCATTTTGTGGATATAATCAGCAAAGCATTGAACATGACAATACGATTGACAATTTTTGATGATGTTGCATATTTTGGTGCCATACATCATGCCCATCAGATGCAGCTGATAATCAACACAGCACTTCTATTTGAAAATAATTCACCAAAATTAATAAATTATGAGAAAATTGGATTCTGTGCTTTAGTTCCAATACCTCCAAAGGTGTCAACATTCAGGTTCCTCATCATCATGCCATTTGACTACCGCATATGGACACCCTTGGTGGTCTCAATAGCTGGTTCCTTTATTGTTTGGTGGCTCTATCGTGGTCGTGGTGCTGTTGACTCACACTGGCTACTTCTAGCTGAGATCTACAAATTATTCTTCGGCCAGGGCTTCACATTGTCAAGATACAACCACTTCATGCTGTTGACACTGATGCAGCTAATATGCTGGTTGATGTTCGTTATTGGCAATGCTTACGAAAGTGAAATCACATCCTGCATGATTGAGCCATTTAATGAGAATCGACTTGAATCAGTCGCTGACTTGCTGGTTTCTGACTATGAAATCGTGACTGATCAAGGCTTTACATTCATGTTAAATAACAGCGATGGATTTGAGGCACTAAAGTCAAAGATTAAAATGACGGATTTGCAGATTATTGCAAGATTTTATGCAGAAATCAAACAAAAACGTCATGTCCTGATTGGCATGTGTGACGTGCTTGATGTTGACTTAAAGCGAAAGTTTAAAAATGGACTAGTTTCGGACCACTTTTACATGCTGCCTGAAGTCATTTTGTGGGATTTTGTGCGACTTGAAGCTGGTTACTTCAATCCATATTTGGAAAGGTTCCAGTTCTACATGGACTTGTCATTTCAAGCGGGATTGCCGCACATGTGGAAGGTTTTTGGGGAATTGGATCGATCAAGGAAGTCAGTGACTGAAGAGTCAATTATGGACAGTTTGGGGTATGAGGATCTCTATCAAGTCTATTTGGTGCTGATCATTTTGCATGGCGTGTCAGTTTTGGTGTTTTTCTGTGAAATATTCTACCATGATTGCTTGAGGAATATTAGAGGACATCAGATGCTGGATTGTGTACGTTGGGTAAGGAAGTTATTCAAAAAATCCAAGAAATCAAGGCAAATTATTGCGGTTCAGCCTAGGAATTAGGATTAAATTTAATAGAGGTTAGCTTTTTGGGTTGCAAGGTTTTCCTAGATCAGCAATAATTAACCAGAAGTTGGAACTCTTCACATCTTTTTAAGTTAACTGGAGTTCAAAGCCTCATTTTTTGCTGATAAGATAAACATTTTTTTGAGATTCGAACTTCAGACTCTTCAAGTTGTGACATAAAGTTGCTCCTTAATGCTCTGCAACTTAAATGACTTTGTGGCTGTCGAAAGCTTTTAACCAAGAATTTGAAATTCAATTTTTTTTTTGTTTTTTATTTCCATTTATTACATTTCATTCATTTGAAAAAAACTCCACAATTTTCACATCGCTTTTTGTGTCATTCCATTTATTAATTGGTTTAAAAGTAAAATTTTTATTAAGTTTTTTTATAATTTAATTTCTTCATTTTTTTCTGTTTCCTTTTTTATTTTTTGTGATCTTTTAGGGGAGTTTGGTGCTTGGTATGACTTAGGATTGCTAAATGGCAACTAAGGTTCTCGTTCATATACTAATTTAGGGCTACCAGAGGGCAACTGAACTACTTTTTAGATACAAAATGGTTTAGGCATGGATTATGCTGAAGGTTTGGATTGAGGAACTAACCCAAGTTATACTCAAGCGATGACATATAAACTAAGGACCGAGCATGTAAAAAAGTAACCCTAAAGTCATCCCAAGCAACCGAACTCTCACTTTGTAGTAAATTTGATTTTTTTAATTTATATTTATTAATTTTTACATTTATTTGCTAAACTTTGTTTTTTTAAATTTATTAAATTATTTTTTTTTGTTCATCACTTTTGCCAGGCAAAGTGGAAATTATTATTTCAAAAAAATGTTTTTTGCTGTTGATTGAGTGAAAAATTAAACTTAATGCAATTTAAATTTGCTAAATTTTGAGACATTTTTGATGCAAATTATTGATTTGCTGGCATGGTCAAAAGTTTTGTGTTTTTGAAATAAAAAAATAAAAAAAAAATAAATCTTTAAAAAATTAAACAAAAAAAAAATAAAAAACTTTGAAATAAATTTTTTTAAATCAAAAAATAAAATTTTAAATTACGTTTGAAAATAGAAAAATTGAACCAAAATTTTCCAAATTGAACCAAAATTTTCCAAATTGAACCAAAATTTTCCAAATTGAACCAAAAATTTCCAAATTGAACCAAATTTGTAAAAGAAAAAGAAAAAATTTAAATAAAAACCGTAAAAAAATAAAAAGAAATTTTTGTTTTAACCTACAAAAAAAACAAACTTGAAAAAACTTTTTAAAAATGTTTAAAAAAATAATAAAATTTATTTTAATAAAAAATAATTTTTTTGACAATTTAAAAAAATATAAAAATAAATTTTGTAAAAACTTCAAATTTAATTTGTTGCCTAATTTTAAGGCGATGATCTGTTTTAACTTTACTAAAGATTTGCAGCCAGAAAGCCATTTAGGTTAAGTCAGACCAACCAAGTGATAAAAGGAACCAAAACCTCATGTGACCCTTCTCAAGCTACAACCTTGCTTTGTGTAAAGTTGAAATCTATCAAATTATTAATTCCAAATATTTTTAAAAAATAAAAAATGATTTATTTAATAATTTTTGTTCTTATTTATTTATTCATATATCATTCCACTTAATATAGAATTTTGTCCTCATCTGAATCCTCACTTAACATATATGAACTAATAAATTGCTATTGTTTTTGTTTTGTATTTTTAATGCATATATAATTCTTTATTTTCTTTTTCTGTTGTTTTAATATTAAATGAACGCTTGGTAATGAAAAGTAAAAATTTTTTTTATTTCAATTCAGACATTAATTATTTTTATTGAAGGGATTTAGTTTTTTATTTGTGGTATTTAGGAGGTTTCTAGGAATCCAATGGCACTTGATTGGGGTTTGTGTTAAAAAAAACATAAATTTTCATCAAAGTCACAATTTTTCAAACCACAGACTCCCAAAAATAAAACCATGGACCCCCAAAAAATCATCAAAATACTTTCAAAAAAATACCAAATCCCACAAATTTTCCACCCAATTCTTTCTTAATTCCCTTAAAAACTCTAATCCATCCATCATAATTATTAATTACTTATTCAATTACTTTTGAAAATTCACTGCGAATTTTCCTCAATTAAAAAAAGATTTTTTTTATTTTCCATTTTTCATTCTTGTCTATTTTGTGTTGATGTGGATTGATTTTTTCCAGTATTATTTTCGTGAAAGATAAACAGAAAAAAAAGTTTTAATGTTGATGATGAAAACACATAGAAGAAAAATAATTTTTTTTTATCGACTCTTTCTGACACATTATACTTGTTGCTGCACCGTGTGGCGGCTATATTATGCTGCGATCAGCTGAAATAAGAGAGAATTAATTAGAATTTTGAGGTTAGAACTGAGATTTTAAGATTTAGAGCTTCAATTTTGAGGTTAGAACTAAGATTTTAGCATTTAGAGCTTTAATTTTGAGGTTAGAACTGAGATTTGAGAAGTAAGAGCTTCATTTTTGAGGTTAGAACTGAGATTTTAGGATTAAGAGCTTCAATTTTGAGGTTAGAACTGAGTTTTTAGGATGTAGAGCTTCAATTTTGAGGTTAGAACTGAGATTTTGGGATTAAGAGCTTCAATTTTGAGGTTAGAACTGAGATTTTGGGATTGAGAGCTTCAATTTTGAGGTCAGAACTGAGATTTTAGGATTTATAGCTTAGTAGTCTTCAAATTAAAGGTAAGAACCTTTAAATCTTAATTTCTTAGTCCCAACCACAGAAAATATGAATGGTTCGGTTTAGACCAGGCTAATTTCTAAGGATTTTGTTGATCTTTTACCTTCTCTTACCTTGGATAAACCAAACCTACCCTAAAAGAGTGTAGAGTGATCAGTTATCTAAGGTAAGACAGGCTAGAAAACCAATGGTAACAATAGCTACAAACCCCTTAACCTCTCCAAACCTCCTCCCACCCTAATCTACTTACCGATTTGACTGTCTGCTTAATGAAATCCTTTCGTGACGATAAATCATGATTGGGATAATGTGCATAAACCTTCTTACAGACTGTTTTCATCGTAATTTCCTCCAGATTTGCATCAGCAAGAATGTCTTTAAGCAAGGTCTTAATGTCATCGTCGGTTGGAGCCTTTACACCATCGCTTGAAGCCGCCTCTTTGGTCTTCTTTGGAGGCTTCTTGAGGGGCTCGTCATCTTCTTCTGACTCGGCTACGTCATCTTCTTCGTCTTCACTTTCGTCCTTTTTCTTCTTTTTTGAAACTGGTGGAGCTGCTCGTTTTGGTCGACCTTTTGAGTTCTTTTGCGGTGTTGCTTTTGAAGCGGGTTTGCGTGATTTTTTCTGTTTCTAGAATGAGGAATGTTAAGAATTACAATTTATTTTTTGGGGATATTTTAAAGGGATATTTGAGGATATTGAGGGATATTAAAGGGATATTCAGGGACATTTGTAGACATTGTGAGAAATTGAGGGATATTGAAGGTCATGAAGTGATATTTGAGGACATTAAGGATTATATGAAGACATTAAGGGATATTTAAGGATATTAAGGGATATTCGAGGGTATTTTGTAGTATTAGATGATAAAGACAGTCCTTAATCTAAACAAATGCCTCCATTTATCCACTCATCCAAACCTCTAACACAACACAACAAACAAATCAAAAATCAAACATTTCCATGACCTACCTCACTGTCGTCACTATCATCTACTTCTTCCTCTTCCTCTTCTTCTGACTCTTCGTCCTCACTTTCTGTTTCTTGCTTGCGTTTTCTGCCGCGTTTTGCACCACGTCGTTGAGCTGCACGTGGTGCTGGCTTCTTCTTCTTCTTCGGCACGACTTCCTCCTCGCTAAAATCTTCAGATTCTTCTTCTGATTCCTCATCGCTGTCTGAATTACGACGCTTTGGACGTCCGGCACCACGATTTGACTTTCTTTTTGGTGCTACAGCTCGTGATGTTTTGCGACGATTCTTCTCGGAGTCACTGCCACCGCTTGGATTGTACTGAAATTGAGGGAGTACAGTTAGGTTAGATGACTTTGACCGAGGATTAGTTAAGTTGAGAGTAAGAACATATGTCGAGGGATGAAAAAATTAGCGCGTTTTATAAGAGTTGGACATGTTAACGCGATTTAGCTCATTGGCAAATTAAACGCAATATGCTTGATTTAGCAATAATTAAGCGCGTTTGAGCAAGTTGGCAAAAATTGAGCGCGTTTATTACAGAATGGAAGTTTTGAGCGCGTTTTTCGCAAAATTTGAACATTTAAACTTACATCTGATCCACTGTCTGATTCATTACGCTTCTTGCGACCTTTACGAACCTCAACGACTTCCTCTTCTTCCTCACTGCTGCCATAATCTAAAATTATAAAAATTATTATTGTTTTAAATTTTAAAATCAATACAAAGTTACAAATAGCCCTAAATTAGACCCGATATGACCTGTTATCAGTGTCATTATTTTGTTATCTGAGCATTTTATTTCCATTCTTTTGTTTTTGTTCGTTAAACGGTTTTTTTTTGTTTATATTATGCAATGGCTTTCATTATCACAGCGGTTTCAGATTTGTTTTGAAATATCAGATTACTTGCTAACGTATATGAGGTGCCGAGAATTAGTAATTGTGATTGTGAAATTGTTGGATTTAAATGCTCTTCGGTCAGATTTAATTGTTGGAATTACAATAAAATGTGAAATCTGAATCTGAATGTATTAGGTTATCTGATTTAGCTTAAAACCCTGACATTTTTGAATTTTGAGGTTAGACTTGAGATTTTAGGATCTAAACCCTGACAATTTTGGAACTTTTGGTTCCAATCCATGACATTTTGGAACTTTGAGGTTAGAATTGAGATTTTGGGATCTAAACCCTGACAATTTTGGAACTTTTGGTTCCAATCCATGACATTTTGGAACTTTGAGGTTAGAATTGAGATTTTGGAATCTAAACCCTGACAATTTTGGAACTTTTGATTCTAATCCCTGACATTTTGGAACTTTGAGGTTAGAATTGAGATTTTGGGATCTAAACCCTGACAATTTTGGAACTTTTGGTTCTAATCCCTGACATTTTGGAACTTTGAGGTTGGAAAAGAGATTTTGGGCTTTAAACCCTGACAATTTTGGAACTTTTGGTTCTAATCCCTGACATTTTGGAACTTTGAGGTTAGAATTGAGATTTTGAGATCAAAACCCTGACATTTTTGAACTTTTGGTTCTAATCCCTGACATTTTGGAACTTTGAGGTTAGAATTGAGATTTTGGGATTTAAACCCTGACAATTTTGAAATTTTTGGTTCTAATCCCTGACATTTTGGAACTTTGAGGTTAGAATTGAGATTTGGGTCTTTATACCCTGACAATATAGAATCTTTGATCCCGAAACCCTGGAAATATCAACTAGAACCCTCCTAGTCCTCACCCTTAGTCCAAACTCTAGTAGCAGTTGCTCTCTTCGGACGTCCAGCTGATGACTGCTGACCACCACGCTTTCTCGGTGATCCTTTAGGCTTAACTTCCTCTTCCTCTTCTTCTGGCTCTTCCTCTTCCTCTTCTTCACCACCTTCTGCATCCTTTTCATCTACTTCCTCGCCATCTTCTTCCTCAGGTTCTGCCGGTTCTGTTTCAGCAATTGTTTTGCCTGTTGGTAAAATTAGAAAATCGACGATTGCCTTAGCAAAATTTTCTTTTGTATCATCAGATTTAATGTCTTTAAGATCGAGAATGGTGGCAGTTTGTTGTAATTGAGGTAATTCATATGTTAGCAGCATGTCGAGTTTCGTTTGACGTTCGTCATCTTCGAAACCGGCAAATTTTCGAATGTTTCGTTTTATTTGCGGTCCACTACCATTTTTACCATAGATTACCTACGAAAATTGAAATAAAAATGATTTTTTTGTCATTATTGGAATTGTGAATTTTGATTGATGGTCGAGAACGAGGAATTTGTTGGTTTGGAGTGGTCTTTCGAATTTTAACGGTTTAATTTTAACGGATTTTTAAAATTCAAATTTTAACGGATTTTTAAAATTCAAATTTTAAAGGATTTTCAAAATTCAAACTTTAACGGATTTTTAAAATTCAAATTTTAACGGATTTTTAAAATTCAAACTTTAACGGATTTTTAAAATTCAATGTTTAACGGATTTCTAAAATTTAAATTTTAACGGATTTTTAAAATTCAAACTTTAACGGATTTTTAAAAATTCAAATTTTAACGGATTTTTAAAAATTCAAATTTTAACGGATTTTTAAAATTCAAATTTTAACGGAAATTCAACATTTAACTTTAATTTTTTTGAACTCTTTAAATTCAAAATGTCCGTTAAATTTTTCACAATTTTTTTAAAAAATTGGAATTTCACTTTTCATCTAATAATTCAATAAACTTCGAGAACATTTAAATAAAAATATTTCTTAACCACTTTTTTTAACGGAAATTTTTTTAAAAAAATATTTTTTTCCATTTCAAACCAATTCAACTCGTTAAATTCACAAATATTTTTAATCACAAAAAGTGTTTACATTATGAAGCAATTGTAGCTGTTCAATTTTTGCCTTAGCAATCTCGCCATCAACGGCAGCAATTTCACCAAGACTAAGCTTCTGTGCGGCACCACTCGTTTCAGCATCTTTAACATCTTCCTTAATGTCGCCATTTTTCTCACCATTTGATTCCTTCACTATCTCATCTTCCTTACTTTCCTGCGGCATTGGTTCCTTTTCAGTCGACTGCAAATTTTCCGAAAAAAAAATATATAAAATTATTTTTGATTATTTTTCTTCGATTCGAGCAAAAATGGCGCCGAAAAAAAATGTACACACAAGTTTTGAGGCGACCCGAGGTTGGAAATAAAAAGAAGAATTGCCGCATCTTTGAGAGTCAAATGGAAAAAAATTTGTGTATTTTTTTCAAAAATGCGTCAATTTAATGCTCAACTTATGGCAAATTTCCATGCCCAGCCCAACCTACCATCGTTCCTTATCCAAATCGGCTACTTTAAATCACTTTCGAATTTATTTTAAACACCGAAAAAAAAAATAACAAAATTTTTTTTTCTTCCTTTAAATTGAAAATCTTTTTTTTTCCTCGTCCAATTTCGCTCCGCTCTCACTTTTTTTGTTCAGCTTGATGGCTGATGACTGGTGCGAAAAAAAAATTGAGAATGGAGAAGTTTATTTTGTGATTATTTTGATAGCCGCAATTGTGTTTAAGTTGCAAGCATCAGAAACTTCTTTTCGATGATCTGTGACTGTGTGTGCGTGTGAGAGAAATGCGATGCGACACGTTGACTCTTGTTTGTTGGTGTAGAAGTTGGGCTGTTTGACAGATGAAAATGTGACAGAATAAGGAATAAATAATAATGAATTGAGAGAGGAATTTTGTATCAAGAGAGGACATGGAAAGTGCATTGAGAGAATTGTTTGGCTTCTTTTTGGGAGAATTTTGCTGTTTTGAGGTTCAGTTTTGGAAACTTTAGAGTTTTGTGGGGTTTTGAGAATTTTTAATTATTTTGACCGTTATTTTTTGACTTTATTTTTGATCAAATTTGATTTTTTGCATACTTTGAAGTTGTTTAGTGGCTGCAAGACCATTGAGCTTGGTAAACAGCCTCAATGTGACTTGAACCTAACTTTATGCAAAGGTTCCCAGACTGAGCTTCACAATACACATTACCAATAAAAGACATCAAAAGCTTAGCTTGAAGTCAACTCAGTCGGAATTTTCTTCAAACAATTTCAACCCCCCCCCCTCCAACACCCCCCTATCCCCCCCTACCCCCCTTTCAAAAACTGATTTCCCGCCAAATTAAGGCTACAACGATTGTTTCACCAGTGATAGCCAAATCATATGCCGCGACTCAATAGTGTTCCGAGCAGGCACGTAGCCAGGGGGGGATTTGGGGGACAAATCCCCCAACTTAAACAGAAATTTCTTTATTTTGCTAGGGTTTGCAAACAAATTTTTGTCCCCCCTTCTTCAAATTCCTGGCTACGCCCCTGGTTCCAAGTAAAAAAAATGGAGAAGTCCCACGAAACGTACGCTATGTGCTATTTTGGTCATGGATTACCATCAGGTGAGCCATGGTAAAATAAAGGTTGACCACCACTGCGTCACTACTGCGGTTGGCCACAAGCTTTGCTATGTTAGCTTCTGGACACTAGTATCATGTTAGCTAGGACAGTTGTAGCATAAAATCAAGCTTATTGAACTGAAATAGAAACCGCAGTCATTGATTCAAGTGCATGTTGAGCTTGTACGTCAATGCTCATGGGTTTTATCTCATTTAATGATGAACCTTTGCTAGTTTGTTGAGTTTTGTTCGAGTTCTTAAATCAATCCTAAGCTGCCTTATCAACACTTCATCATTGTTAACATCAACTCCATCAAAATCTCAAACAATTTCCCAACGATCGCCAAAAATTCAAAAATCAACAACTGTGCTTTTTGGTCTGTTCATTATTTGTATCATTCGACACTTCTTCTTCTGTCACGGCAAAAAAAGAAAGAAATTGTTTTTGTTTTTATTTATAAGACATTAAAACATAAATAAACAACATAAAAAGAACTTAACAAATTTTTAAAGACAGTTTGTGATCTTGTTAAGTGATTAAGGATCACTGATCACTTTTGGAGATTGATCGATTTGGAGTGGATGAAGTTGAGAAGTTGAGAATATTTTAAATGATAATTCGTATTTTGAGTTTAATTTGGCATTATTGAAGATCTGCAAAGTTTTAGAACGACTATAATTGAGGAACAACCGAACTGAAGCATCAAAAGCCATGACTTGAGGTTCATTTAGTAAAACATTACATTGCTGATTTTATAATTCACATCTAGTACAAAGCTACGTTGATATCAAGGACTATTGGAAGCATCCGAGATTACTAATACATCACAGGTAATGCAGCTTAGTCAAATTGACTTCAAATCAGCTACAATCACTGAAAACTAGCTTCATACTTTCTTTAAAAAAATCAATAAAATTAAAGTTTCTGAATTTTAATATTTTTTACCATTTAATTGTCATTTTAGATCTTCATTGGTGGCTTCTGCATTAATAATCATCTAGACAACACACGCACATCTCAAAGATCTGGTTCAATACCTAATCAACTCACCTTAAGCTTCACTAAACCATCCAAATAGAGCAAATTCAGATTAGTGTACTAAAACAATTAATATTACACTCAGACTCATAAGTACAGATTGTACATTCAGATAGATCCAGTTGCCCCATCTCAGGATCTCACAAGATCTGCTTAACACCAAGGCACCATCCAACCATACAGTCATCTGATTCCTGCCATTACCAATTCACCAACACCCAACAAACCACAACACAACCATACAAATCATGGACAAATCCAACAAACTAGCCGTCCTCACAGCCAAACGTAATCTCGAAAATTCTCTCGGCGATGACTGGCAAAAGTACCTTTCACATCTCCGCAAATTCTTCAGGAACGGCACAAAAACTGAATTTGATCGTGAAATTCGATCATTTTTGACAAACAAGCAGATTTTTTATCACAATACATTTTTGATGGCAATATTGAGCAGTGCTGACGTTACAGAGACATCACAACAGCCACAGCAGTCAACTGCCATATTGGCACCACCAGTTATAAAGACAGAAGAACTTCCAGCACCGCCAAGTGTTAAAAGAAGGAGGAAGAATGAGGAAATTGTGTTTCAAATCCATCCAATTAATGATTTTGTCAAAATGGCATTTGATGATTCACAAAGACAGAATACAATTAGATATGCAGCACAAGAATTGTTCCTGCCTGATAGTTCATTAATAAATGGTCGATTCTTAGCTGGATGTTGGGAAAACAGCCTCGAATTTGTTGACGATCAAGCTGTGGAAATTTTAGTTCAAGCAGTTCAAGTTATGCTGAAAAATATTTTATCACATTGCATCAGGCAGCGACGGCACTATAAAGTCACGGCTGATAAGAAGTTCTATTATGATATTGGATGTGAGTTGAGGGACCCAATAGTCAGGAACACGATGAGTCGAATTAAAATTGATGATGAACCTCCAATAATTGAAAAGAAGGCAGCCGATGAGCCGAATTATGTGACTTCATATGAAAACTATACTGTAAATAGGAAGAAGATATCACTGATGGATATTTACAAGACATTGAGGGATCGGAATGTTATTCCATGTCATTCTGTTGCTATGATGGCCATTGAAAGGATCACAATGATGATTAATTGTTAAGTTCAAATTTATTTTTTTGTTTTAAGATTTTATTTTGGAATAAATTTAGGTTTTTTAGAGATTAAATGAGAATATATCACAAATAAAATTATAGGTTTGGGATTTTAATGTCTAATGAGGTTCCTTATATGCTTGGTGGTCATTTTAGAGCCTTGACAGACTCAACAGAGCGTTCACAGACTCTTAAAAGCATCCACAGAGACCTCAGCCAACACAAAAAATTTCAATAAATTTCTAAGGTCGATTTCCGACACTTCCTGATCGTTTTCCTTTTCCAAAGTCTTGTGAACTGTCTTTTCTACCCATTACTGGTGATGATCCAGATGAGATGTTTCTGATAATTGATTTAAAGCCTCTCGACTGGTTCTCACTTATTGATCTACAAGAAAAAATCAAAAATAGAAAAATTTTCTAGTGTGAAGGCACCTGAACCTAAAAGCTTTTGTGTGAAGACACTTGAAACCCAAAAACGTCAATGTAAAGGCAGCTGATTTTCAAAAATCTAGTGTGAAGGCACCTGAACCTAAAACTCCTGTGTTAATGCACCTGAACTTAAGACTCTTTATGTGAAGACACCTGAACCTTAAAAACCTCAATTGTGAATGCATTTGAGCCCTTAAAACCTTAATGTGAACACTAATATCCTAGTGTAAAGGCACCTCAACATAAAAAGTCTAGTGTGAATGCACCTGAACCTGAAAGCTTTTGTTTGAAGGCACTTGAAACCCAAAAACGTTGTTGCAAAGAGGCAGCTGATTTTAAAAATTCTAACGTGAAGGCACCTGAACCTTAAAACTGTAGGTGAAAACACCTGAAACCCCAACCCTTTTTGTAAAAGAACCTGAAATTTAATATCTTAGTGTGAGGGTATCTGAACCTCAAATCACTAGTGTGAAGGCACCTGAATCTTCAAGAGCTAGTAAGGAGACACCTGAACATCGAGACTCTAGTGTGGAGACACCCGAATTCAATAAACTAGTGTTAGGCCACCCGTAAATTTAAAAACTCTATTTTTGAGATATTGAAACCATAATAATTTTTATGCGAAGGCACCTTAACCCCAAACAATCCCCAAAAAATACTCACAAAGATTCCTGGGCAATGATGAAAAAGTCATCAACAAGATGAACTGGTGGCTGAATATCAAATGGAATGATTTCGTTAGTATTCTGGACATTTCCAGCTCTCGTCTTTTTATCCATAAACATTTGTTGTCTCGACTGATGTTGATTAGTTCCACTAGCCATTGCTTGCTGCTGTTGCTGAGACACTTGAAGCCTGTTCCTCAATTTTGCATTTTCTTCTTGTAACTTTTTAATCTGAACAGTTTCGGACTCAATTCTCATTAAAGTTGGCAGTGGCATTGATTGGAAAATTGTAGCCAAAAAATTGTGTAGCGACAGGAATAAAGTATCGTGGTAGTTCTTAGTGAAGTAGACAGCAAACGAAGGATGTTCTTCTGGACTTTTACAAAACTGGAAGTAAAACCAATCACGCCAGTCCGCATTTGAATGAATTTCTGATGCCATTTTCACAAAAAAGTCAGCAATTTTCTCACTTCGTCCACTGTTTTGGGCAACAACAAGATAAACCTTAAATAATCCACTTTCAAGCTTCTTCACAGCTTCTGAAAAGTTCTGCTCCAACTTGCTGAAGAAAAATGTATCCAAGTTCCTCCAAATATCACGAAGCTCCTGCAAGTCACTTGAGTTTATAGCAAGCTGGATGGATTCGATGATTCTATCGACTCGAAAACTTTTATTTCTGTCATTTTTGCATTCAGATTCGAAGGATTTTAAGGATGTGAGGAAGCCACGGTAGGCTAGGAATTCACGGACAAGAACTTCGATGTTTTGCATGTGAGCCATGGTTGGGTGTGGATTGGTTGCTGGTTTGGTGTCTTTTTGGGATTTCTTTGTTAAGATTTAGTCGAGGTTGTGATGCTGAGGCTTAGTTTGATTAGTTGTGGTGGGAAATTTGATACTTTTTGACTGTTTTAGGTGCTTTAGAGCTTTGAGTCAATAGCTGAGTTGTTCTAAGTTGAAAATATCTTAGTTTAGAAGATCTTTAAGCTTAATCTTTTAGATTTTCTGCCAAAACAACTCCAAATCTATCAAAAACCTTTCAAAATTGACATTAAGATCCAATTTTTCTGCCTTAAATTCAAATTATTGCAAAATTTGATGATAATTTATTTTCTTATCTTTTTCTTTTGTTGACAAATAGAAATTTTTCTCATTGTCGAACTGTTTTGGGTGTCGAATGTGTTTTGCAAAATTAAAACTATTTTGTTTTTTCTTGTCTGTCTGTCAAGAGTTTTTCAAACAACAGTTAAACTGGATTTAGTGATTGCATTTTATGGTGATCTTGGCAAAATTACCCCTGGAACCCAAAGGTACCCCTGGAACCCAAAGGTACCCCTGGAACCCAAAGGTACTCTTGGAACCCAAAGGTACCCCTGGAACCCAAAGGTACCCCTGGAACCCAAAGGTACCCCTGGAACCCAAAGGTACTCTTGGAACCCAAAGGTACCCCTGGAACCCAGAGGTACCCCTGGAACCCAAAAGCTACCCAAACCCAATTCACAACACAATCATTTTGTCCATACTAAATTTTTATTTTTTATTCCATTAAAATTTTTATCGTCTTAACTTTCAATCCTAGCTTTATTTTAAAATTACAATTTTCAATTTTTTCATAGTCCATAATCAATGTCAATTGTCCCTTAAATGTCTTCATATTCTGCCAAACTCCCAATTGTCATCCAACCTCATTCACTGTCGTCATCCTTTTTCTTCTTGAGCTTCCTTCCGGTAATGTCCATTGTCCTGGACTCGGTAATTTCCTCACTAAAGTCACTCGAGTCATCAGAATCATCACTTGAGTCGTAATTACCGAGACCTGGAAGGACTGCAAAGCATTTTAATGCTGATGGATTTTTGACAGTTGCTGGCTTTTTGGGTTGTGGTTCTGATTCTTGTGGACTTGACTGTGGCTTTCGTTTTATTGCTGCTGACAGAATTGACTTTTGTGATAGAATTGGTTTTGAGAGTGGTTCTTTTGGTTTGTCGGTGGATTTTTGGGACTTGCCAGCGATCAGCTGCAGCTTCTACGATTGAAATTGACTCAAATTATTAAAAAATTCCTGATTTTCAGACTTAATCTTGACTTACCTTGTCTTCATTCTCCTCAGCCATTGCTGCAACTTTCTCTCTATACTCCCTCAACTCCTTCATCTCTTCTTGTCTTTGTAGCTTCTCTTCTTCCAATCTTTTCTTATCGACTAAGTCCAAATGATCAATGTCATCATCATCTAGTCCTCTAATCATATTCTTAAACTTCTTTGATTCCTCAAAGTCAGCATCTTTTTTGTCTTTTTGTTCTTTGAGACGATCAAATAAGGATCTGCCATCGTATGGCTCTTCTGGTGCTTCTGTAAAGTGAATAAGGTTTGAGATTAGTATTGATTTGGATTAAGAGGGGGTATTGGATGAAAAAGGATTGGCTCTTGAATTTGTATGTTCCACTTCCAGTGGTGGCAAACCTTTTTGGTGCCATGGAATATTTTAATGGTAAAGCACAACCGAAACCACACAACCAGCATACGGTTCGTGGTACTTTTCGTATATTTTTTGGACTGAGGTATATGGGTTGGCCATCACTGCTCTATTTAAGGGTTTCTCGAACTTTTATGACCACTGAAGCAGGAAATCATTCATATATCTTCCCATGCTTCCATGGCAATCACTATTAATAATAAGAATGTGTGAAGGTCCCAGCCTTACAGCTGAAGGCACTGCGATTCAATTTGTAAAGAATCTAAGGCAATCACTATTAACATGCGAGGATTTTCTTGGAGCATTATACTTCCGCAGATCATAGTTTGAGAAACACTGGTCTAGTCAGAGGCATATTAAAGTTACAAGTTCTTTGCTACATCATTGATTCTACCAAACCTATATTAACGTCTAGTTTGATAATACTCAAAATACCAGCTCTAGATGCTGTCTTATACAAGACCTAATCAGAGCACAACAAGCTTAACTTAAAGAATCAAGTTACATACCTTCTGGCTGATCTTCTGTTCTGACTTTTTCCCATTCTTCTTGTCTCTTCCGTCTTCTTTCCTCAATATCAACTTCTCGTTCAAATCCTCCAATTGCACTCATGATTTTTGATGCTTATTTACTAGCTTGGTTCTTAAGTTTGAGCTGTTTAAGTGATTCTTATCAGAATTAAGTATTTCAGATTGTTTGATTAACTGGACAACTTCAGAGTTATGAATACTTATTCAATTTGCAAATGATTTGAATTTATACAACTTAGCTTAGATACCTGGATGACTTTAAGTACCTGACAACTTACAATCTGATTCTCAATTCGATGAATTTATTTTAAATTTGTTTTGTAAATATTGATTTTTTTGAAATCTGAAGTTTTTGTAATTTTCCTGATAAAATGTCGATGACTGGAAGGTGACTTTCGTTGTGATGGAACTGATGTCAAATTTTTAAGGATCTAAAATTTATTTATTTTAAAATTATTGATTATTTTTGAGAAAATTTTCTATAAAATTGTCTGATTTTGAAGATAATTACTTTGGATTTGATGATATTTGTGTCTATGTGATGTGTTTTTGGTCTCTAATCTGGGAAATCTGTGAATTTTAAGTCAATTTTGACATTATTCTTAATTTTTGATATTTTTTAAAATTCCAAATTTCACCTTCAAATCTTCTCTAATCTCAAAATTGTTCAACATTTGTCATTTTTTCACATTCTTTTAGTAAACAAAAATCTGCCGACAATTGACAAATTTATTAATTTTTAAATTCTCAATTTCTACAATTTTTGACAATTTCTCAACTTTGCCTAGCTTATTATCCAATTTATCCACTTAACTCCCTTCAAATCAACAAACTTTAATCCAAAAACTATTTTTTATTTCAAAATAAATCTAATTTAATTCCCAAAAAAACATATGAGAATCTAGCAATCGACAGTCGACAAACTTTTCCTATCCACCAGCCCCTCAGCCGCACAATAAATTTTTGTAAACATTCTCAAAAAAAAAAAAAATCTTTATAAAAACAAAAAACAATTTAAATCCACAAATCACAAACCTAAGCAACTCCAACAAATCAGCAGCATCTAAAAACCTTAAAAATGTCAACAAGACCCGACGACCACCGACGCAAATGGGACAAAAAGGAATTCGAGCGAAAAGCTCTCGACCGAATTCAAAAAATCAAAAAGGATGAAACTGAGCCAGAAACACCTCGGGAGCTCCTCAAAGTCCGCGACTATAAAGTCGATCTAGATAGCAAATTGGGCAAGTCAATGGTCATCAACAAGACAACACCAAGCAGTCAATCTGGTGGATATTTTTGTAACGTATGTGATTGTGTTGTGAAGGACTCGATTAACTTTCTGGATCATATAAATGGCAAGAAGCATCAAAGGAACTTGGGAATGTCAATGAAGGTTGAACGATCGAGTCTCGAGCAGGTTAAAGAAAGATTTAATAAGAATAAGAGGAAAGCTGATGATAAAGTCAAGGAATATGATTTAGATCAGAAGATTAAGGAGGTGCAGGAGATGGAAGAGAAGGCAAAGGAACTTAAACGAGAGAAAAAGAAGCGAAAGAAGGAGGAGACAGAGACATCGAATGATGGAGGGTTTGATGAGGACATGATGAAAATGATGGGATTTGGGAATTTTGGGGGAAGTAGGAAGAATGTTTAAGGATCTCAGGGTTAAGTTTATTTTTGTGGACTGGATTTTTGGGTTTTTTTTGGGGGTGTCTTCTTTTGGGTTTTCTGTTTTAGGGTCAATTGAAGCTAGTCTGGGTGTTTTGAGTGATTTCTCACTTGGATAAATTTTGAGTCTAGCTTCTGGTGTCGTATTTTAGGGATAACTTACGCTAGAACCGAGTTTCAATGTAAAATTGATTATGATTTGATAAGGGACCTAAGAGTAGCCCTAGAAACCGACCTCACGATGTATTTAGGGATTAATTCAGTTCCTAATTGAAAGTTATAGCTTCAATATAAGAAAATTGCAAAATAACGCACATCCAAAAAAGCTTAAAAACCAGTTTTTGTTAGGTAATTAAAATATATTTCGGATCTGAGTGAGAAGGGATTGATTGACTTTAATGGCTGATAAAGGAACTTAAAATCCAAACAATTCCATTTTAACTTCAGACCTTATAACTCACATTTATATAAGATATAAAAAAACATTTACAAAGCATATAAAACACATGAATTTATGGAACCACGACATTGTCAATAGAAATGCATTAAACATTATTCCTGAAACATCCTCGATAAAAATCCCAACAAATTCACAAAATCAGCAAAAGCATTAATCAAGCGTTAACTATTTGCTAAACATATAAATATAATGATAAAATGGAACAATACACAAATATTTAAATAATCTAATGACAAATTAAGTGCTGAATGTTGATGAAAATATTATAAGAAAAAAATACTGAAATTAAAAATAAATATTGAAATTTAAAAAATAAATGAAATTTTAATTTCGACAATTTATAAAAATTGAGTCCATACATACATACATACATCGCTGGTAGTACAGAGCAACTAAGATCCATAGCCTCTCTTATTTGGCGTTTGAAAAATAGAGCACAGTCCTCTGAAGAACCAAGCAGATGGTCAGCCTATTTATAAACCATTGCCCCCCCCCTTTAGGCTATGCTGAGCTAAGAATAAAATCGGAATGGGGGTCTTACTAGTAAAGAAAGCCCTTAATAGTTTGCAACTTACCCACTGACCCAGAACCTCACTACAGGGGCGTAGCCAGAAATTTGAAGAGGGGGGAGGGGACAAATTTTTTTTGTATGGAAATCTTTTAGGGGGGGGGGGGATTTTTTCGATTTTTTCATAAAAACTCTAGCAAAATGAAGAAGTTTCTCAAGACGAAGAGGAATTTGTCCCCCAAATCCCCCCTCCCACCTGGCAACGCGCCTGCCTCACCAGCACCATATTCCATACTTTCGTTCCAATTCCAAGGTTACCTCAAATTCATTGAATATTTTCAGTCTCACACTGATCACAAAACGTTGAGTACATAAATGAAACATTTGTCAAGTGTTCGGCCACAGAAGTCGTGACGACGAGGTGCTAGAGTGGTTAATAGGTTGGACTGCTAACTTGCTCAGTTATCGACAGCAATCCAATGGGCTCTGCCCGCGTGAGTTCGAATCTCATCCTCGTCGGGACTTTAAGGTGATTTCTTTTTTGGAAATTTCAAGGTTAACTCAAATTTATTGAATATTTTCAGTCTCACACTGATCACAAAACGTTGAGTACATAAATGAAACATTTGTCAAGTGTTTAACCACAGAAGTCGTGACGACGAGGTGCTAGAGTGGTTAATAGGTTGGACTGCTAACTTGCTCAGTTATCGACAGCAATCCAATGGGCTCTGCCCGCGTGAGTTCGAATCTCATCCTCGTCGGGACTTTAAGGTGATTTCTTTTTTGGATATTTTTTTTTGTGGGTTATTGAGTCTGGCAATTCTGTCGATTGTTGAGCTCAATTGCAATAGTTGATTTTCTAAAATCATCGAGGTGGAGGGTAGCTGATGATGATGGGTTCCTATTGCTCCACTATGAAGCGTAGGGCGTCCACAAAGCATTTGAATCGCAATCGATTCTGGGCCAAAGCTGATATTTCCTGCAGCTTCTTATTCTGTTGTTGCGCCTCCCTTTCAACAGTTGTACACCAAGTAATTCTCCCTAGTCCTATTTCCTTGGACATTCCAGAAGATCGCTTGCCTTGCGATGTCTGAATAGTCTTTCCTTAATGTATGGCCAATCCAGTTCCATTTCCTTTTCCCAACTTCGTCTGCAATGATTTGTAGGGGGGTAACCAATAATTTGGAACGTCACAAGTGGACGACTTCGTTTTAAATGCTAGGAAATTTTACGTGGTTCCGCTTTTCAATTTTAAATCAATAGCCAGCCTAGACATGTCAAACAAGTAAGTATGACCATGTCAGATAGAACTATCAAGAAGTTCAAACTATAGTTTTCAATCCTGGGATCAAAATGTACTGATTTCTGGAATCAAACCCTGGATTCAGTGCATTTTAATCCCGGAAATGGAACACTCTAGTCCAAAAGTTAAAATAAAAACAGCTTCAGCTTTTTAAATCACACATAATGCTTTATTGTCTCATTAATTACTTTAGATCTTTAGACTCGGTGCCTTAATTGCTTAAATATGGGAATATCTCTCAAAGTCATCATTATTTACCTTCTTTTTTGGATAAGATAGTGAACAAATCCAAGATAACAACTTACAATTCAACAGGGTCGTAGCTAGGAATTTTAAGGAGGGGCGGGGGACAAGACAATATAAAGGTTTGGGGGGATTTATCTAAAATGAGGTCCCCTAAATCCTCTCCTTCATCTTAGCTTCATAGCTTCTTAATCAATTCTTAATGCATGCAACTCAATAACTGGATCCTCGATATGCTTTTTACTTTGAATAATTTTCAATTCACGCTGTTGAGCATTTGGCTTAACTTTTCCAGATCTAATTTCTTCAGGCATAGAATCAATTGTGACTTTAATGACTGACTGAACAGACGCGATTGTTTGTTCGAATGCTGTTTTTAAGTCATTTGGTAGTCTCGTTGAATGTGCCAGGAATAATGCAGCAAATAAATCGCCAGTTCCAGTTAAAAATATTGGTCCTTGAATTGGAATTACAATTTTGAACTTTTCATACTGTTCACTTGACTTTTTTGTACTTAGCAATGCAATGAGCACATCAGGACCACCAATGTCACTTGATGACAACACGACAGTCTTTACGCCTTTCTCATGGAACCACTGCATTCCTTTCCAAGCATCTTCTTCATTATTTATTTTCTGTTCAGTCAGCAGCTCAACTTCAAATTGATTTGGTGTACAAATGTCACATAAAGGAACGATTTCATCGCGAAATATTGGCAATAATGATTCAGGTACGTACATCTTGCCTGCATCTCCCATGACTGGATCACAAACTGTTGATACAAAATTATTTTATGAATCAGTGATGGACAACCCATGTGCTGCGGTACACTAGAGTTTGGGAAATCCAACAAACTGAATGCCGTTTGCGGTTTTGATCAAGGCTTAGTAACAAGGTGGACCAAACACAAAAGGTTGACCACCACTGATTTTAACTTTAACTAATAAGTTGCTTACCATAAATCATGTCTGGATTAACAGCTCTAAGTGCTTTAATGATTTTTGAAATTTCCCTCAAGAAGTCATCATTCCTGACATATCCAGTCAATAGATGTGTGTAGATTGTATGTAAGTTATTGGCTGTAAGTCCATCAAATAACTCCTTAAGGTCATTTTCACTTAAAGTCTGTCCTTTAATCGTCGCATATCCAGTATGATTTGACAATTGGACGCTATTGATGAAGTCAACATCAATTCCAAGCAGCTGAATTGTAATTTATTGGTCAAAAATTGTAAAATTAATTAAATTAAGGTTGTTCTTACCTGCAATGGAAAGACAGCAGATTTATTGCCACAATAGCCATGCACAACATGACTTTGGATAGACAAAACACGACTTTCTCTTGACATTCTCAAAGAAAAACACAAGAAAATTGTAATTTAAGCAGCAAAATGAGATTTATTCTTTATTCGTCAATGACTGAACATGTACTGGACTAGTCTCATTAAGTACATCAAGTTCAACATTCAATAAACATTAAAAATGTGATTGTAGATGAATAAATACAAAGGAAAGTGATAAGCACAGATTAAGAGTAAATAAACAGCTGATTTTTTGTAAACGAAGGAGATTTAAATATGAAAAATACGTTACGGATATTGAGCAGTGTTGTACATAAACTGAGATTGTGGGTCACTGACATCCTCAACATCTTTAACTTGATTCTCAAAATCATTAAAAACTAGTTTAATTAATTTTCCATTCCTTACACATCCAAAACTCGATCACAAAATTTTGAGTACATAAATGAAACATTTGTCAAGTGTTCAACCACAGAAGTCGTGACGACGAGGTGCTAGAGTGGTTAATAGGTTGGACTGCTAACTTGCTCAGTTATCGACAGCAATCCAATGGGCTCTGCCCGCGTGAGTTCGAATCTCATCCTCGTCGGGACTTTAATGTTGACTTTCTTTTTTGGTTGTTGCTGTTTTTTTGGACTTTCCTGGAAAGTAATCAACTTTAATTGACATTCGTTGTAGGCTTTTTTTTATCAGAAATTGTTTTTTTTCTTTCGGTGAATTTTGAATGTCGATGGTGGAAAAATAACATTTTAAAATTGATTATAAAATATTTTAGACAAATTTATTCAAATTCAAAATTTTAAAATTCTTAGTTCAGTGATGCACAACCCATGTGCCGCGGCACACTAGTGTAAATTCAACAGAACTGCTGTGTGCAGTTTTGGTCATGACATACCAAAAAGGTGAGCCATGGAACTAAAAAAGGTTGTCCACCACTGCCTTAGATGTTTGAAGTTTAAAATATGTAAAGAGCTTTAAGAATTTTTTCCATTTTGTTCATCAATCGATTTTCGACTTCCTTCATTTTTGTTTCCATTGCGGTCGTCAGAATGTCACGAAACAGTTCAAGTTCCTCCTTAATTTCATCATTTTGACATTCTTTAGTCAAGTTCTCTTCAATAAGTTCCAATTTTGTATCCAAATCAGTCAATGTCTTTGAAATTTCATCATTAAATGCTTTAAGGCTATCGAGAGTTGATCCATGTGCAGTTTGAATAGCCTTAACATCATAAAAAATTGAATTTTGTTCGTTAAGAACCGTCTGAATGTCACTGATTTTGGTGCTTAAATCACTAAATGACAAAGCTTGAGATGCTTCAAAGCTGCTGAATTCAGAACTAACTGATTCAGACATGATGTCTTGGGATGTTTTGAGGTTTTCTTGAGAATCTTGAATCTGATCGAGTTTGGATTCGTGATCTTTTGAAGATTTTTGAAGTTCATCTATTGCTGATGCTTGGTCAGTGACTAAAGACTTGATTTCACTTAAAGTAAATTGTGCTGCATCTTGAGAAGCATTGAGGTCGTTAAGAGGACTTTGTAGATCGCATTGTGAAGGTTTTAGGTCTTCTGACTTGTCATTGATGTCATTTATGTCCGGAATTGTGTCATCTTGAACAAGATCGATTTGAGGAATGTCAATAATTGATCTAAGGTTCTTCAATTTGTAGTTAAACGAACGAAGACTCGATAATCCAGAACTGCCAAACCTTTTTTCAAAGCTTTCAAGTTTTCCTCGAAATTCTTCAGAATTTAAAGTTTTTGACTCAATTTCAAGATTTTCGATTTCTTGGCCAAGTGTTAAAAATTCAGAATTTGAGCATCTCAACTTTACAGCCATTATGGCTGCTTGAACTTGTACTTTTGAGTCATAAATTGTTTTCCAATTGACACAAGGAACTTCAGATAAATAAAAATATCTCAATCGACTCAAATTATCAAAAACATTTGGATCAATGTGAACAATGTTCCGTTCATCAAATCCAGCAAGTTCTAAATTAGGATTAAAGTCAAACAAGCCTTGCTCAATCACTTCAATTTCATTGCCTTTTAAATAAAAATAAATTAAATCTGGAAAAACTTTCAAATCTGATTGATGAATTTCTTTTAATTCTGAATTTTCGATGTAAATCACTTTAAGATTTTTAAAAATCATTTCTAATCCTTTTGGGAAGACCTGAATTGTTTTGCTGAAAGCACGAATGCCAAGCACATCATCGTTACTGTTTGAGTCATTATGAAGTCCACTGACTTTGCTGATAATTGCTGATTCTTCTGTTAAAATGTTTGGATTATTGTCGACTATGCAATCGTAGATTTGACCAGCAATGGAGTAAGTATCAACAAATCCATAATCACATTCAATGTCAGTCGATGTGGATGGTCCAATAAATGCTAATATTAAGCATAAAACGACTCTAATTTGAGAAGATAAAAAACTTTTTAAATTAAATTGTTGAAATTAAAATTCACAACTTACAAAACTATTTTCTCCATTTTTTGTTTCAAAACTCCTTTAAACTCAAGAGCTGGCCACAAAATGATCAGAAAATTGATAATTGCACTAAACATTATATTTAAAAACAACTTTTAAACATTATCTTTTCCACAATCGACATTCAAAATTCACCGAAGAAGAAAAAAACAATTTCTGATAAAAAAAAACCTACAACGAATGTCAATTAAAGTTGATTACTTTCCAGGAAAGTCCCAAAAAACAGCAACAACCAAAAAAGAAAGTCAACATTAAAGTCCCGACGAGGATGAGATTCGAACTCACGCGGGCAGAGCCCATTGGATTGCTGTCGATAACTGAGCAAGTTAGCAGTCCAACCTATTAACCACTCTAGCACCTCGTCGTCACGACTTTTGTGGCTGAACACTTGACAAATGTTTCATTTATGTACTCAAAGTTTTGTGATCGATTTGAAAATATTAAAAATTGAGGATTGACTGAAATTAAATGAAATGAAATAAATTTTGAAATTTGTCAAGCAATAATTTTAATTAAGTGTTTTTAGGTAAAATGTAAAATTCACAGCTGCGTTTCACTTAAATATCCTTTTTCTTCAACTTTCTCTTCAGTCTCATCTTCAGGTTCATTTTTGATATTAAAAGCATTGTAAATGAGCTCAACAATCGACAGAATTGAACATCCCATTGCCAGACTCAATAAACCGCCAAAATCTGAGATAAATTGCTGCATTTGATATGCTGAGAAGCTTGTGCGCTCTTCGACTTTCTCTTTGACTGCTTTTATAGAGAATGAGGTTGTTCTGGTTCTGTGGATGATTGACAATTCAAATTTAGGAACTTAGAACCCCAACCAACCCTTCCGTACCCTTTAAATTAATCACTTACCTATCAAAATCCTTCAATTCATCCTCAAAGTCAATATTCCTAATTCGTCTAAAATCAAAATGTTCTCCAAAGTTCATATCAGGCAGTAAGTTAATCTCAGCCCAACTGAATAGCTCATACTGGATATTATTGCATGGCGGGTAGCAGTCACATTGATGCCCATCAGCATTATCCTCAAAATCAATTTCTGTGAATGAAACAGCTTGAAGATCCTTTGATGTACAAAGTGGAGTTGACTTGTCTCTAGGCATGAAGTACCTGACACAGCCGTGCTTATTTAAGGTAAAGTTCGCCAAACATTCAAATTTGCAATTCTTTTCGGTGTAGATTTTGAAAAATTTTAGCTTTTTTTCACCATCAAAGTAGCACTGCCGGTACTTAACGTTGTATTTTTGGAGTTCCGGTGACATTTTGAAGCTTTTTGTCCTCAAATAAATTTGATTGTCTTTATTGATGTTGTTGATGTTGATGGATGAGTGCCAGTGAGTCAGAACTTCATTTGGTAAGTGCCAATAGACTTCATATCCACGTCTAAAGCCTGAACAGTCTTTGTCGACATTTCCATTGTCTTGCAGAAGAATTGCATCGAAGCTTTTGTAATTTCCATTTGACATTCGGTATGGATAGTCTGACTCATTGTTTGAGTATCCGTTAGTCAAGTCCCAGGACAGTTCTGATTGGACACGATTGAAAAAAAAATCTCTGCTCATTTCTTTAGTGAAAATCTCATCAAAGTTCATAAGATTAAAGCTAGCACAGAAGCCTTGAAACGTCAAAAATCGGCTGTAAAAAGTTCTTGAACTTTCACTGCAAGTGTCGAAACAGCTTACTGGGATCATATCATCAATAAAGTATTGATATTGGGATAGATTGTAAACCAAATGTTCGCTTGATATGTTTAATTCCACATCTTCTAGATCGTAGACTCCAAGTTGACAGCTTTGTAGAGCCACTTCGATCTGAGCTTCGATTAATTTTGAAACATTTTCGGCTCTTTTTATTTTTAACAAGTTTTCTTTGTAGTTGATGGTTGTGTGAGGGAACTAGAAATAAATAGAATTGGAATTATAGTAATTTGGCTAATATACGTTTTGAAAACTGAACTTATCCATAAACTGATCTTGACCTTGAAACTGAAATTATTTCTAAACTGATCTTGACATTCAAACTGAACCTATCCTTGAATTATTTTTTGTAATGAAACTGAACTCATCCTTCAACTAATCTTGGCCATGAAACTGAACTTATCCTTGAACTAATCTTGACCCTGAACTTATGATTTAGTTGATCTTGACATTCAAACCGAACTTATGCTTGAACTAACTTTTGTAATGAAACTGAACTTATCCTTGAACTTATCTTGTCCAAAATGAACTTATGCTTTAACTGATCTTGGTCTTAAAACTGAACTTTTCATTCAACTGATCTTGATATTGAAACTGAACTTACTCTTTAACTAATCTTGACCATGAAACTGAACTTATCTTTGAACGAATCTTGACCATGAAACTGAACTTAAGCTTTAACTGATTTTGGTCTTAAAACTGAACTTTTCATTCAGCTTATCTTGATTTTAAAATGAACTTATTCTTTAACTAATCTTGACCATAAAACTGAACTTATCCTTGAACTAATCTTGACCATGAAACTGAACTTATGCTTTAACTGATCTTGGTCTAAAAACTGAACTTTTCATTCAACTGATCTTGATCTTGAACTGAACTAATCTGTGAATTGATCATGACCTTACAACCGAACTTATTCCTTAACTTATAATAGTCCTAGAATTAAATTCATCCTTTGAAATGCCAAAAAGTATCTAAAACCATAAATCTACCTTATTATGAGGACAAATTGTGATTGCAGGAAATGGAAAATGCTTCAATGGCACGTAACCGATCTTAACGGAAATATCCGGTGCAATAAAAACTTTCTCATAAACCTTCAATAAGTAGAAAAAACTCCAAGAACAAGACACAACCAAAGACAATATCCATAAAAATCTGCAGGACCTTGAAACTCTTTTATCTCCAATGTAGCTTAGTCCATGGATTGTTGAAATTTTTGATAAATATTTTAAAGTTTTTATTTCCTTGTTTTTTCTCATCTCGCGCCGGAATGTGAACTGAACAGAACAAAAATTCAAAACAGACTAGACATTTTCGGTCTATTTTTGAAGTTGCCATGTGATTTTGTGCATCGAATTGGGAATTAAAGAAGAAAATTAAACAAAAATTTAGTTTTATAGTCCAAAAACCGCACCTTCTGCTTTTTATTATCTTCTTCTTTTGTGTGTGAGTCAGTGATCTCACAAGTGCGAATTAAATTTGATATTTTTTTTACTCTATTCGGCAGCTGTAGATTTGTCAGCAAATTTGTTTTGAGTCAATAAATAAATCAGTATCGACACTCAACTTTTTATTTATTGACTTATTTATTTTTTAGCACATTTTGAATGAATTAGGTTTGTTTTTTAAAAATTCAAAAATCGATTTTTTTTTCGAAGCTGAACTTATCCGAAAAACTGAACTTATCCGAAAAACTGAACTTATCCGAAAAACTGAACTTATTCTGAAAACTTAACCTATCCTTAGAAATTGAAAGTATCCATAAGTGAACTTACTCTCATAAACAAAATTTATTTTTAGAAACTGAACGTATTCTTAGATACTGCATTTATTCAAAAACTGAACATATTGCTAAAAACTGAATATATAATTAAAACTGAATTTATCCCAGGAAAGTAATAGTATTCTCAGAATCTAAATATGTCAACGGAAACTAAACTTATCATCAGAAACTGAAATTATCACAAGAAACTGAACTTATCACAAGAAACTGAACTTATCCGTAAAAAAGAAACAACCCTCAAAAACTAAACACATCCTCATAAATTTGAAAACATTGTCAAAAAACTGAACCTATTCTCAAAAACTGAACTTATCCTTCAACACTGTAATGAATTCACTTTGAAGTTATACTCACCTTATTGTGTGGACATATAGTAATAGCTGGAAATGGAAACTCATTCAGTTTTCTATAGCCAATCGTGATTGAAATGTCTGGAACCACAAAAACCTTCTCGTAAACTTGCAAAAAGAAGAAAAAACAGCCTAAAAATGAGCAAACAAAAGCAGAAATCCAGAATAATTTTGAGAATCTTGAAGCCTTTCCATCGCCAATGTAGCTTAATCCATGAATTGTGGAGATTTTTGAGAGAAAATTTATTTTTCTAATCTTCATTTGTAGACTTTAAACTGAACAGATCGATGGTTGAAGCTAAACTGAAATTTTTGTAGCCTGTTTTCATTAATATTGAAAAATTACAATGCAGAAAAATTTTAATGGAAGCACTCGAGTTGAGAATTAATACCTAAATGACTGCATGACCACACCCTCTTGAATTTTTTTTGTGTATTTTCGTTTTGTCTGAGACTTAAAGTCTGCTGATTTTATTGGGATTCAAGTGGATGTCGATGAAAAATAGTGAAAAAATTGAGGCAAACATTTAAAATTAATCGATTTTATTTAATTTTGAAATATTTAAGCTACAATAAAATTAATTATTTTCCTCGACTTTCTCTTCATCGTTGTCCTTCTCGTCATCATGTTCAGGCTCATGTTTGACATGAAACGCATTGTAAATGAGCTCAACAATCGACAGAATTGAACATCCCATTGCCAGACTCAATAAACCACCAAAATCTGAGATAAATTGCTGCATTTGATATGCTGAGAAGCTTGTGCGCTCTTCGACGTTGCCTTTCATGATTATTGGGTTGAGGTAGGTTATGTTTGGTCTGTAATGATATTGAATGGTTCAAAGGATTAGTGGAGGTGCTTGGATTCTATGGGAACGGACCCTAAGCTGCTCTTTGTCTACTCACACCTCGCACATAGACCCAGAGAATTATTTAAGCTCCTATGTCTTTGTCTAAAGCTCAAAATACCATTTAATACCACAGCAAGCACCCCAGATCTATTCCTTACTATTCCACATTACTTACCTCTTCGAAACCTTCAATGTCTGCTTATTAACTTTAACAAATCCATCCTCATGACTCTCAATATTTTCCAGCAGATTCTCAATCATCCGATTTGCTTCATTTTGTGTAAAATTTGGATATGCCATTTTGAAAAAGTTTTTAAAAGTATAAACAACCTTGTCGTTCATCATTTGAAGGTATTCTGAGAATATTTTGGACTTTTCAATGCTGATTAGCTCATACTCGATGTAGTTGCAGGCTGTAAGGCAGTTGCACTGTTGATGGTCATTTATGAAGGTGTTGTAAGCTCTATTAACACATGGCAAGTGGATTGACTGGCAGATTCTGGTTATGTTGTCTCTTGGCATGTAGTACCTGACACATCCGCACTTACTTAAAGTTATGTTTGCCAAACATTCAAATTTGCAATTTTTTTCTGTGTAAATTTTGAAAAATTTCAGCTTTTTTTCACCATCGAAGTAGCACTGCCGGTACTTGACGTTGTATTTTTGGAGTTCCGGTGACATTTTGAAGCTTTTGACTTTGAGGAATATTTGAAATTTTCTATTAACGCTGTTGATATTGATGGATGGGATCCAAGGAGTCAAAATCTCGTCTGGCGAGTGCCAAAAAATTTGAAATCCACGCTGATAATTTGAACAGAATTTGTCAATTTTTGTGTCATTCGGTTCGAGCCAAATGAGGACGCTTTTCTTATTTTCCTGCATTTTAAATGGATAATTTGAATTTGAGGTTAGGTATCCACTTGTGACACTCCAATTTGATGGATATTTGTGGTTGTAAACTTCGAAATCCCCGTGGATTTGATTTGTGAATATTTCATTGAAATTAAGTTGATTAAATGTGAAGCAAAAGCCGTCAAATGTGAGGACACGATTGATGTAGTCTTTAAGGTAGTCTGACTTGTCAAATTCCCAGTGGCCGTTTAGTAAAATTTCATCTTGAAACTGCTTTTCTGAGAGCTTTTCAACTAGTTTGGCGCATGAATAGTTGAATTTTAAGTCACTGCCAACAAAGCCGAGATGAGATTGACAACTTTGAAATGCCAGTTCCATTTCTTCTTTTTCAGTTTCAGTCATGTTGATGAAGTTTCTCAATTTGTCCAAATTTTGGTTGTAGTTTATGGATTCATATGGAAACTGGAAGTAGAAATTGAGGAATTTTTGAGTTTGCCGTGCGCTATTTTTGGAGAGACTTTAATGTGTATTTCTGAATATGACACTTAACTCACCTTATTCTGTGGACAAATAGTAATAGCTGGAAATGGAAACTCATTCAAAGGTCGATGGTCAATTTTAATTGAAATGTCAGGAACCACAAAAACCTTCTCGTAAACTTGCAGAAAGAAGAAAAAACAGCCCAAAAATGAGCAAATAAAAGCAGAAATCCAGAATATTTTTGAGAATCTTGAAGCTTTTCCATCGCCAATGTAGCTTAATCCATGAATTGTGGAGATTTTTGACAGAAATTTGCTGAATTTTAATTCCTTGAACTTCATTTTAACACACCAGATAGAAGGTTGAAGTTGTACTGAGAATGTTTTGGTCAATATTTGGTTACAATCAATTATTTCAGCGGAGATAATTAAAAACGGAATTAATTGACCAACCCTAGCTCATTACATGTTTAATATTCTTGCAAAACTCTCAAATATTGAAGTGAATTAATATTTAGTCTCTCATGAACGACAAAAAAGTGATCAAAATTTTCCATAAATTGGTGATTCAATTAAGTTGATGAGGACATAAAATGAAAAGAAAAATCCACCAAGTTTTACGGTTTCATTTTGAGCGACAGCTGTAAAAGTCAAATTATACTATTAAAAATTATAAATCAATATCAAAAGGCTGTTAAGCAATAAAATGAATCTTTATTTTATGTTGTATCGAAACAGGAACGAGTTTTTCAACAAATTAAAAAAGTGGAGCTAAATCCCTTTCAAAAAAGCACATGCAGAATTTTTAAACATTAAGCAAAAAGCAATTTAATTTCAAATTTATATGATCCTCTGGAATTCCTCAAAACTTTTCCTTATGTTCGTCCTTCTCATCATCATGTTCAAGCTCATGTTTGACATGAAAAGCATTGTAAATGATTTCAACAATCGACAGAATTGAACATCCCATTGCCAGACTCAATAAACCGCCAAAATCTGAGATAAATTGCTGCATTTGATATGCTGAGAAACTTGTGCGCTCTTCAATCTTGCCCTTGACTGTTTTAATTGAAATAACTGTGAATCTTTCACTGAAAAAATTAAATTTGTTTAAATTTTATAGTTTAGATTAATTTTATAACTTTTTGAATTTTTGGAGACTTTTTAATTTTTTGGAGACTTTTTTTAATTTTTTTGGAGACTTTTTTGATTGCTCTGGATTTTTCTTTTTTTGAAGAAATTTCAATTTTTTTTTACTTTTTATTTTTGGAGACTTTTCACTTTTTTGGAGACTTTAATTTTTGGAGACCTTTTCAATTTTTGGAAACTTGTTAAATTTTGCGGAAACTTTTTTTAGAGACTTTCATTATTTGGAGTCTTTTATATTTTTTTTGAAACTTCCATTTTATTTTTTGAAGACTTTTTTCAATTTTTTGCAGACTTTTTAATTTTTTTGGAGACTTTTTTAATTTTTCTGGAGACTTTTTTATTTTTTTGGAGACTTTTTAATTTTTTTGGAGACTTTATTTTATTTTTTGGACCTTTTTTGGAGATTTTTTTAAATTTTGGAGACTTATTTTTTAAATTTTGTGGAAGCTGTTTTGATTTTTTTTGTGAATATTTAACACATAATTCTCACCTTTCTTCCTCACTCCTCAAGTCATCCATGTCAAAGTACTCCCCCAATTTCATATCTTCGTCCAAATCATCCTCACTAACTGAATACAATTCATACTCAATATTATTACAAGCCGAATAGCAGTCACATGGATGTGAGTCAACATTTTCATAAAAATATCCAGTCACATTCCAAGCACACATAAGGTCTTTTGCTGTACAAATAGGAACTGTCTTGTTCCTTGGTATGTAGTACCTTGTGCATCCACAATCGGCTATCATTTGATCTGACAGACATTCAAGCATGCAATTCTTTTCGGAGTAAATTTTGAAATATTTCAATTTTTTTTCATTCTCAAAGTAGCACTGCCGATGCATTACGTCATATTTTTGCAGTTCCGGTGACATTTTGAAGCTCTTGACTTTTAAGGTTATTTGATTATATTTTTTTAAGTTCCAAATATTCTTCGTTGAGTGCCAGTCAGTAACAATTTCATTTGGTAAGTGCCAATAAATATCAAATCCTCGTCGAAAGCTGCTGCAGTCCTTGTTCTTGTTGTTTTTGTCTTGCAGTAAGAGTGCATCAAATGACTTGGACATGCCGTTCGACAATTGATAAGGATAATTGTCTTCTTGTTGGACATAGCCATGTGTTGGATTCCAATTAGACTTTTTGTCATTTTTATAAGACTTAAAGTCGTCATGAACTTGATCAGTAAACATGTCATTAAAGTCAAGCTGATTGAATGTTAAACAATAGCCATCATGTGTCAAAACACGTTTAAGATACGGATTTTCGTCAGTTCCATCAAAACAACTCACAAAGCAGTGCTTCGCAACCATATCAATGAGATCGTAGTGATTATCAGACAAGTGCTGAACAAAATTTATCATTGAGATGTTTTGAATTGTGTTTGGAATGTCATTGATGTCGACTTGACAAAGTTGAAGGCTCAATTCTAAGTCGACTATCTCTTTTTCTGTTAAGTCTGAGACGTTTTCTAGTTTTTTAAGATTTTTTTTAAAGTTTTTTGCCTCGTGTGGGAACTGAAATGGAATTAAGATTGGGTTTAGCAGTCAAATCTTTAAGTGATGGATGGATGGATGGGAATTGGGAGTGGTTGTTGGTGCTTAGAGGAGTGGGGTTGGATATATCATGTCATAGTCCAGTACAGACAAGGAAGATTAGTTTAGTTTAGATCATCTTTGCTCCAAACTCAGAATTTCCATGTGTTTACCAGCCAGCAAGGCGCACAGCGTAAATCAATGTTGCACCAGGATGGCATGAACACGGCACTACGACAGATTTCACCAAATCCGGCTTTGTGCCACATTCATGTCTTCCTGGTGCTCATTTTTCGGATACTTTAACGCCGTGTGCCTTTCGGACAGTCTTTTAGTCATAATCTATAAACCACCTCCCCTTCCCCCCCCCCCCCCGCCTTCCTCTAAAATAAATTTCTATGTACGCACCTGGTTTTGTCATTTTATAGCATTCTTATAGTTTTTAAAAAAAGCATAGACTTTCCCAACCCCTGCCAACCTACCACCCCTCATTTTCCCCCCCTCTCCCATGCCCCTTTCTCACAAAGAAATTTATATCTTCGCTACTAGTGTCAACTTTTGTCATTTTGTAGCGTTCTTATGGATTCTTAAACATTTTGATGGACACAGACTTCCCAAACCCCTGCCCCCCCCCCCCCTCTGGCTTCCTCGAAAACCCACCCATTACTCACCTTAGTATTAGGACAAATAGTAATAGCTGGAAATGGAAACTCATTCAATGGTTTATAGCTGATCTTAATCGATATATCCGGTTCAATAAAAACTTTCCGGTAGACTTGAGTGAAGAAGAAAAAGCACCCGAAAAATGACAAAACGAATGCTGAAATCCAAAATATTTTTGAGAATTTTGTCGCTTTTCCATCTCCAATGTAGCTTAAGCCATGAATTGTGGAGATTCTTGACAAAAAATTACTTTTTGATATTTTCACCATTTTTCGAATATTGAACTGAATTGCTGGAAGTTCTAAATTAAACTGATGAATATTGAGTTGAAAAATAGTAAGTGAATAATTAGCTACTTAAGCTTCCTATAAACACATGGCCGAACCTTCTTGAATTCTTCCGAGATTTCGCTAACAAATGTTCAAATTTATTTTTCAATTGAAAATCATTAAAAGAAGGCGTAGAATTAATTTTATTTCCGAAATTACATCACTTAGATTTTTTTTAGTATCTTTGTATATTTTCCTTATTCTCATCATCACCTGCTTCATCTTCATCATCTTCAGGCTCATTTTTAATATTAAAAGCATTGTAAATGAGCTCAACAATCGACAGAATTGAACATCCCATTGCCAGACTCAATAAACCGCCAAAATCTGAGATAAATTGCTGCATTTGATATGCTGAGTAGCTTGTGCGCTCTTCAATCTTGCCTTTTGTTGTTTTTATGGCGATGACTGTGAATTTGTCTCTAAAAATTGATCTTATTTAATGTCTGAAGAGTTTCTTTATATTCATACTTACCGATCTTCCTCATTCTTCAAGTCATCCATCGTGAAAAACTGCCCTAAAATCATGTCATCCTCAACATCCGTCTCAGTAATCGAGAACAGCTCATACTCAATATAATTACACGAATGATAACATCCACAAGGATTTAATTCAATATTTTCATAATAATTCACCATTTCCGTCCAACTACAAACCAGATCCTTTGCTGTACAAACCGAAGTTGTCATGTCACGTGGCATAAAGTACCGGACACACCCACATTTAGCTATTGTTATGTTAGCAAGGCACTCAAGCAGGCAATTCTTTTCGGAATAAATTTTAAAAAATTTCAAATTTTTTTCATGGTCGAAAAAGCATTTTCGGTGCTTGACGTCGTATTTTTGTAGCTTTGGTGACATTTGGAAGCTTTTGGTTTTTATATAAATTTGATTGTCCTTATTAACATTATTGATGTTGACGGACGAGTGCCAGTGAGTCAAAATTTCATTCGGTAAGTGCCAATAAATTTCAAATCCGCGTCTATAAATGCTGCAGTCTTTGTTCATGTTTGTTATGTCCTGTAATAGGATTGCATTTAAGCTTTTTGAGAATCCATCAGACATTTTTGATGGATATTCGTGATTGCTGTCAAAATATCCATAAGATAAGTTCCAATTTGATTTTATGCCATGGCTGTAGACTTTAAAGTCGTCATGAATTTGGTCTGTAAAGATGTCATTAAAGTCAAGTTGATTGAAAGTTGCACAAAATCCATGAAATGTTAAGGTACGAGTAAGGAACGTGGAACCTTCACTGTTGCAGTAGTCGAAGCAATGCCTTGGAGTCATGTCTGGTATGTTGTAGTGATTCTTGGACAAATGATCTAAAAAGTCAGGTCTTGAGATGTTTAAGGTTAAGTTTGCAAAATGATCTGGATTTGATTGACAGACTTGAAGCCCCATTTCAAGTTTTAGTTCCTCATCTTCTGATAATGTCTTGTTCTCTTTGAGTTTTTGGAGATTCTTCTTGAAGTTGACTGGCTCGAATGGGAACTGAAATGGTTTTGAGATGAATAAAAACGTGCGCAGTGCGTATACTAATGAAAACTAGGTCATGAGTAAGACTAGAACTAGGATAAGACTAGGATTGGAATAGGATATGATACTAGGATAGGAGACTAGGATATGAGACTAGATTAGGAGACTACAATAGGAGACTAGGTTAGGAGACTAGAATAGAAGACTAGGATAGGAGACTAGGATAGGCAACTAGAATAGGAGACTAGGTTAGGAGACTACAATAGGAGACTAGGTTAGGAAACTAGGATAGGAGACTAGAATAGTAGACTAAAACAGAACCAGAACAGAAAAAAACACATCAACAGAGCTTACCTTAGTACGAGGACAAATAGAAATCGCTGGAAATGGAAACTCATTCAATGGCTCATAGCTGATTTTAATAGAAATGTCGGGAGATACAAAAACTTTTTCGTAAGCCTTCAAAAAGTAGAAAAAGCATCCCAAAAATGACAAAATAATTGCGGATATCCAAATAAATTTTGAACACTTTGAAGACTTTTCGTCACTGACATAGTTTAGTCCATGAATTGTTGAGATCTTTGAAAGATATTTGGACAGCTTTATTCTTATCGGATGCATTCTTAGTTGAAGGCTCAACAATTCAAAAGATGGAAAACTACTGAAGATTATTGGCTGATTCTTAAGTGAAATTTGACTTTATTGGTTCATGACTTGAGACTTGTTTGTTAAATAAATACATGACAATACCTTCCGGATGTTTGCTATTCAATAACAATTATGATATATTTTGGAAAAATGCTGGTCGGCAACATTTTCTCAAGCTGAATTAAGGATTGGTTGAGGCAGGTTAGTTATGAGAATTGAGTGAACGTAAGATTGCGTTAGGTGTGGGACAGCTCAGTTGTTGAGACAACAACCTTCACGTCACTTTATTCGGCAACAGTCTAAAACACATGTTTTAATTCCATATTCCAAAACTTCCATCACAAAACTTTGAGTACATAAATGAAACATTTGTCAAGTGTTCAACCACAGAAGTCGTGACGACGAGGTGCTAGAGTGGTTAATAGGTTGGACTGCTAACTTGCTCAGTTATCGACAGCAATCCAATGGGCTCTGCCCGCGTGAGTTCGAATCTCATCCTCGTCGGGACTTTGGGTTTTTTTTGCGAATTTTGGTTTTTTTTTTGGCCAATTTTGATTTTTTGGGAGGAATTTTTGAATATTGAGAATTAAAAATTTAGACTTGAACGAAAATGTTTCAATCCGGATGAATCAGCTAATGACTTACTTGAAACTGCATTAATTATGTAATTAGCGAAATTTGCCACTTGAAAGCTTTTAGATTTTTCTACAATAAACCTCAAGTAGGTGCAGTTATTTAAATATTCACATGCGAAATTAAAATGTTGACTCAGTTGTGTACGAAATTTAGTTCCGTTCAGTTCATAGTTTACAATGAAATCTATTACAAAAAGGAAATTTTTTAAATTTCTCTCAAGAATTTCCACAATTCATGGATTAAATTACATTAGTGATCGAAAGACATCAAAAAAGTCGAAAATATTTTGGATAACCGCGTTTATTTTGTCATTTTTGGGATGCTTTTTCTTCTTTTTGCAGGTTTATGAAAAAGTTTTTGTGGTGCCGGATATGTCAGCAAAAATTACGTATGAACCATTTGTATTGCATCCATTTCCAGCGATTACAATTTGTCCTTATAATAAGGTAAGTCATTGCTTTTTAAATTTCGTCTTACTTCGTCTGTCTGATCTTTGCCAGATTTTTTGTTGTGCCAGATTTTTGTCAGATTTTCTGTTGTACCAGATTCTTGCCAGATTTTCTGTTGTGCCAGATTCTCGCTAGATTTTCTGTTGTGCTAGATTCTTGCCAGATTTTCTGATGTACTAGATTCTTGCCAGATTTTCGTCAGATTTTCTGTTGTGCCAGATTCTTGCCAGATTTTTTGTTGTGCCAGATTCTTGTCAGATTTTCTGTTGTGCCAGATTCTTGCCAGATTTTTTGTTGTACCAGATTCTTGTCAGATTTTCTGTTGTGCCAGATTCTTGCCAGATTTTTTGTTGTGCCAGATTCTTGTCAGATTTTCTGTTGTACCAGATTCTTGCCAGATTTTTTGTTGTACCAGATTCTTGTCAGATTTTCTGTTGTGCCAGATTCTTGCCAGATTTTTTGTTGTGCCAGATTCTTGCCAGATTTTTTGTTGTACCAGATTCTTGTCAGATTTTTTGTTGTGCCAGATTCTTGTCAGATTTTCTGTTGTACCAGATTCTTGTCAGATTTTCTGTTGTACTAGATTTTTGCCAGATTTTTTGTTGTTCCAGATTCTCGCCAGATGTTCTGTTGTGCCATAATTGACACTTAATTCTCTTTTCTTTATGGCAACTTCTGCAGTAATTTAAAATTAATTTAAATTTTCATAACTATTTCAACTCTTTCCTTTAATTAGCTGCCATACAAAGCATCAAAAATTGCTGATCTTTTGGAGAAACTAGATTCATCAGAATTGACAGCAGATGAAGAACTTCAGCTTGAAATCTCATCTCAAACTTGTCAGAAAATGACTTACAATTCTGAAAATATAGTCTCAAACTTTTCAGAAATCAACATTGTGGATTATTTATCAAAAATTCAATTCAACAAATCCGAAATTATTCCAAAATTTATTCTCGGCGACCACATAAACCAAACTGACCCATTTTTGACACGAGTCTTCACATGTAATGGATTTTGTGTCACTTTTAACCAACTTGATTTTGATGAAATTTTTACCAACGAAATTCACGATGATTTTAAGGTTTACAGTCATGGAAGGAAGTCCAATTGGACATTGGCTAATGGATACACTTACCCTGATGAACCTGGCTTGTATCCAATTCAAATGTCATTCTCATCATCAAACACATTTAATGCAATTCTGATTCAAAATAAAATGAACATTGACGAACAATGTCGGCCATTTCGACGCGGATTTGAAATTTACTTCCACTTACCAAATGAAATATTGACTCCATTTGCACCGTCAATAAATTTAAATAACATCAATAAAGACAATTTAATTCAATTTAAAGCAGAAAGCTTTGAAATGTCATCGGACATGAAGACATACAGCGTCGAGGCTCGTCAGTGCTATTTTTATGCAGAAAGAAATTTACAATTTTTCAAGTCGTACACCGAGAACAACTGTCAAATTGAATGCTTGTCTAATAAAACTATAGAACAATGTGGATGTGCCAAGTATCATATGCCACGTGGCAAAGATACAAGAATTTGCATGGGAAATGATTCAGTTTGTGTCTCAAAAGTTGATGCTGATCATGATTTAAAAATTGATTATTATTCATGTGATTGCTATCCACCTTGTACAGACCTTAAGTATGAGCTATTCTCATGGACTGATGCTGATCTTGATGATGGTTTTAGTCTTGGAGATCATTTTAATTTAGATGATTTGAACAATGTTTCAGATAGGTTTGTATGTTTGTGAATATATCTGGTTTAAGATTTAATAGAATGTCGAATATTGGAATCCGTTAAAAATTTAAATTTTGAAAAACTGTTAAAAATTTGAATTTTTAAAATCCGTTAAAGATTTAAATTTTGAAAAGAAAAACGTTGAAAAATTGATTTTTTTTGTCAGCCGGTAAAAATTTTAAACTTTGAAAATCCATTGAAAATTTTATTTTAAAACTTATTTTATTAATTTGAAATTTTATATTAAATTTCAGAAAAATCACAACTTTAATTACAATTAAAAATGCCATTACTCCACTCCTTCTACGAACAAGCTTCTCAGCATATCAAATGCAGCAATTTATCTCAGATTTTGGCGGTTTATTGAGTCTGGCAATGGGATGTTCAATTCTGTCGATTGTTGAGCTCATTTACAATGCTTTTAATATTAAAAATGAGCCGGATGACGAGGATGACGACGAAGAAAATTTAAAAAATTGTAAAACAAATTAAATTTAAAACTTTCAAATGAAATTAAAAGAGAAATTTCAAAATAAAGCGCGAGGATTTTGCTCAGTTTTATGTTCTACAACAACAAAAGTTATTAAATATCAGCTGACTGATTGTGTATTTCACCATAGTCGTTAGAACTTTTTCACAGCAAAAAGACGTATTTTTTGAAAACTGTTTTTAAAATATTTAAAACTGTGGTTTTTTGGTTTATTTTTACTTTATTTAATAATTTAATTGTGCTAAATTTAGCAAAACAGAATTAAAAAATTTCGGAATAAAAAGATAAAGAAGAAAAATTTGAATTGTTTGCAGTAATTTCAATTATGTTGAAATCATAAATGTTATAAAATAATAAAAAAAAAATAAAATCTCAAAGAAAGTATTAAAATATAAAATGACAGTGAAAACATAAAATTTAAACTATTTTCAATAATTAATGTTGATTGCAAAAACTAATAATTGCGCCGCAAAAATAAAATCGTGAGTCATTTTTAGTGTTTTATTTATTTTTTCTCCAAAACTTAACTATGAAAATCATAAATTTGCTTTTTATTTTACTTTAAGTTGCCTCAACAATTTCTTAAAAACAATTTTTCTTAATTTATTTGCAATTTCTTCAAAATGATCAAAAGCATTTTAAATTATTTACTTAAACGACATTTGTCACTGTGTAAGTGAGCTTTTATTATTCAAAATGTAATTCTAGTATTTTTGCTGTGTTTCACATTTCTCTATCGCATGTGTAAATAATAAAGTGTGAACAACTTGTTAAATAATGCTGAAAACAGCTGACTCAGTTTGCCGGGTATTTGTGAATGGGAAAATCCCGTGTTTTATTTTTATTGGTCGTTGAAGTTTAATGAAAAGAAATTGTATAACTTTAAGTTATTTGATTAGATTAATTGAATAATTTTTAAAAATAAGTTCCTGGCTTTATGTTGTTTGAATTGGCATTAGGTGCAGTCAGGTCTGCCTTATTTGATCTGATTTAATTGTTGTTCACATTTCAGGGTCATATTGGAGTCATATCTATGTATTGGCAAAAACAAACCTAATTCAAACCAGATCAAACCTTCTTCAAACTTAGATCAAACCTTCTTCAAACTTAGATCAAACCTAGTTCAAATCAGATCAAACCTTCTTCAAACTTAGATCAAACCTTCTTCAAACTTAGATCAAACCTAGTTCAAACCTTGATTAAACCTACTTCAAATTTAGATCAAACCTACTTCAAACTTAGATCAAACCTTCTTTAAACTTAGATCAAACCTTCTTCAAACTTAGATCAAACCTAGTTCAAATCAGATCAAACCTTCTTCAAACTTAGATCAAACCTTCTTCAAACTTAGATCAAACCTACTTCAAACTTAGATCAAACCTAGTTCAAATCAGATCAAACCTTCTTCAAACTTAGTTCAAACCTTCTTCAAACTTAGATCAAACTTAGTTCAAATCAGATCAAACCTACTTCAAACTTAGATCAAACCTTCTTCAAACTTAGATCAAACCTAGTTCAAATCAGATCAAACCTTCTTCAAACTTAGATCAAACCTACTTCAAACTTAGATCAAACCTACTTCAAACTTAGATCAAACCTAGTTCAAATCAGATCAAACCTTCTTCAAACTTAGTTCAAACCTTCTTCAAACTTAGATCAAACTTAGTTCAAATCAGATCAAACCTACTTCAAACTTAGATCAAACCTTCTTCAAACTTAGATCAAACCTAGTTCAAAGTTAGATCAAACCTACTTCAAACTTAGATCAAACCTAGTTCAAATCAGATAAAACCTACTTCAAACTTAGATCAAACCTTCTTCAAACTTAGATCAAACCTAGTTCAAATCAGATCAAACCTTCTTCAAACTTAGATCAAACCTTCTTCAAACTTAGATCAAACCTAGTTCAAATCAGATCAAACCTTCTTCAAACTTAGTTCAAACCTTCTTCAAACTTAGATCAAACTTAGTTCAAATCAGATCAAACCTACTTCAAACTTAGATCAAACCTTCTTCAAACTTAGATCAAACCTAGTTCAAATCAGATCAAACCTTCTTCAAACTTAGATCAAACCTACTTCAAACTTAGATCAAACTTAGTTCAAATCAGATCAAACCTGGTTCAAATCAGATCAAACTTACTTCAAACCTATTCTAACAATTCAACTAAACTTACCTTTTTTTGTCTTTTTAGACCAACTCCAAACGAAAAATGAAGAAAATCAATTCGCAACTTATTGATTCCATCGATTTTTCATCAATCTCAGACATATTCAACATTCCAGCATCAAAAAAAGTCATCAACATCCCAAATTGTCCATCAATCAATTCAGCCCTCGACTTTTTAACTTCAAATGCTGAGAAACTTCCAAAAACTATTTTTATATTAGTTTTCAACATCCAGGAATCGAAAGCTTGCACTTTTGAGCGCCAAAAACTTCAAATTCTGTCAGAAAACCTCAAAAATTCAGAATCTGAGCGGATTTTTGTGTTTCAGCCAAAATTCAGGCCAACAAAATTTCTCTGCAAGATCAAAAATCAAACTTTATTGACGAAAATTGAACTGAGTCGGAATCTACACGAAGATGAATTTACAAACTTTTTAATCACAAATGAATTGATCTTTAAGGCTATCATGTTGTCACGTGTTGAAGCTGGAATTTGTGGAGTTTACGATTATTCATTTTTGAACGTCATTTTGGACGTCGATCGACACTTTTTGGGTCTTAAACTTGTTGATTATGCTTTGATTAATTTCGATTCACTCAGCCTGAAATTTCTACAACTTTTTGGCATCGATTTGAGCCTCACGAATGAAAATGGCGACCGTCCACTCGAAACTGCTGCAAAATGTGGAAATTTTTGTGGATTTTTGGAACTTTTGAGAGAAAATTTTGAGTTTTTGACACTTTCGCATCAACCGACGGGCTTCAACTTGCTCATGCTGGCTGCTGAAAATGGAAATCCTGAAATTATGAAATATTTACTGGAACTGGACATTTTTGATGTCAATTTTTGTGTGAATGAAAAAACAGCTTTGAAGTTGGCGATGACTGAGAAAAAGTTGGAAGCTGCTGCAGTTCTTGTTGAACATGATGCAAAGTACAGCGATGATTTTAAGAATGACTTTACTGAAGATGTCAAGGAGCTTCACAGACTTGTTGGTGCTGCAGAGTGCGGCCGTAAAAATGAGGAACAAATCATGAAAATTATTCAAAAATATCCAAAAACTCGCAACTTTTTCGACTCAAGTGGACAGTCAGCGATGAAAACTGCAATTCAGGGAGCCATTGAAGGAGAATGTTTATCAAATGTACAACAAGTTGATCAGAATTGTGAAGATTTTATTGAATTTTTGTTGCTTAATGGTTTAAGGATGGGAAAAAGTGAGAAATTTCCAGGGATTCTAACCTCAAAGGTGGCTGCAAATCCCCTGTTTTGTGACTATATCCACAAAATTCTATCAAAATGCATCATTAAAAATGACAATGAACATCAGAAGCTACAAAGTGTTAAGGATGTTGAATCAGCTGAACAATCTAAGGAGGCATTGATGGACATGATACCCGAAATTGCAGATGACTACATTCCAATTGATGCAGAAGCGTCCACAGAGTCTACCAAAGCTTATGTTGGGACGAGATGTGGTTCTCCATTGGAATCTGAAGCTTTTAAAGCTATAATGGATCAGGATGTTGATGAGACCAGCAACGATGGATCAGATTTTGAGTTAATTGACAATTCAGACACGGAATCATTAGTTTGTAAGTTTAAACAATCAAAAATCGACGTTGAATCATCAAAAAGTTCAGAAAATTCTCCAAATTTGGATTTAAATCAGCAAAACTCGATTCAAAACAGCAACAAAATGCTGATTGATGCTTTAAAGCTGCTCACTAACATCCCAGAAACTAAAATTTTGCTTGAGATCTTCGGTTTGTATGAAAATGTCAAAATTATATTAAATTTAAATAATTTTAGCTTAGAAATTAAGGAAAATTCTATAAAATTAGATATTAAGGCTGTCAATCATGTCCAAAAATCTGGCAATTGCTCATCCAATTCCTCAACTTATGACGATTCTTATTCCGATGTGTCAAGTTTGAGGCACGCTTTGCAGTCATTTGACATCATTTCTTCAGCTTCGTCCACTTCTTGTGAGATTATTGATGATGATGTTCAGTCAGTTGGGTCAGTGGCTAGTGACAGGACACTTAATAGCTTTTCTAGCTATGACAATTTGTCAATTGTGTCTGAAAAGTTTGACAATTCGTCAGATTTTGAAGAAATTGAACCGATTAGTGAGCAACATTTTGAAGCTTTTGAGGGAAAATTTGGTGAAAATTCATCAAACTTTGATGAAAATTTGGATAATTTTAAACAAAATTCGGCAAATTTAGTCCAAAAATTCGACAATTTCAGTTTAAATCTTCAAAAACTTGATGAAAATGAAGGAAAATTTGAGCCAACGCCATCAAAAGTCTTGAAATTATCGGAAAATTTTGACCTCAATTCTTCATTTTCTGACATTAGCTCAGTAAGTTCCATTAATTCGACAAAGCTAACCTCAAAGTTGACTAAAATGACACTTAATTCTGAAAGTTTGCCATCAAAAAGTGAAAATTTCGCTCAAATTTTGATTGAAAAAGTTTTTAATTTTGTAATTTTTAAAGTTTTTGACAACAATTTGAAGCCTTTTTACAAAAATGACACAGAATTTGAGGTTAATTTGAACAAATTCGTTCAAAAACTTCACGAAAAATACTTAAAAGGTCAAATTGATGAAGTTTTTGTCAAACATGTTTTTGAAAATCAGGATTGCCTCAATTGGGGGTCAAATTTGTTGTCTTGTGTCCCAAAAATGTGTTCAAATTACGCCAAAAATAATGAAAAAATGCTTGAAAGTCGTAAAAATTTGAGAAAATTGTTCGAACTTTATGAAAATCTGACAATTGAATTTAAAAATCACTTAAGTTTCCTAAAAGTTTCAACAAAAGTCGCAAAACTTAACGAAAATTCAACAATTTTTGACAAAATTTCAAAAATGTCGGAAAATTTTAAATGGGAAAATTCTCAAAAATTCAAGAATTTGAAGATTTTCGATGATTTTAATGTCAAAAGCCCTGATAAAGTTCGTCAAACTCCATCAAAATATCTTCAAATTCTTTTAACCAACTCTTCAATTTTAACATTAACTCAAATATTTCAAGAAAAATGTGAAAATTATCTAATTTTTGTTGATTTTGAGAATTTCTTGAGTGAAAACTTCCAAAATGAGGTTAAAGATCTGCTAAAGTATGCTTACTTAATAGTATCTGCAGATAATCATCACAAAATCATCAAAAATTTACAAAATTTTGAGGTTATGTCTGACTTTTCTGACAAAATTGTCATTGTAGTCGAGACTGATGATGTCGAATTGATAAATGATGAAAATATTCCAAGAAAAATCGAGAATTTCTCAAGCAAATGTGAAAACAACGAGGTTAGGTCGCAAAGTGAGGTTAGATTTGACTCAAGTAGCTCAGTTTTAACAGATATGAGCGAAGATTTTAAGAATTTTGAGATTATAACTCCAGAAAATGAGGTTAGGTTACAAACAAATGAGGTTATTTTGCCAAATTTTGAGGTTATTTTGCCAAATTTTGAGGTTATTTTACCAAATTTGGAGGTTAGAAAACCAAATCTCGAAGTTATGTTTCAAAAAAGTGAGGTGATTGCTCCAAAAAGTGAGGTTAATTCCCCAAAAAGCGAGATTTTGTTACCAAATTTGGAGGTAAGAAAACCAAATCTCGAAGTTATGCCTCAAGAAAGCGAGGTTAATCCTACAAAAAGTGAGGTTAATTCCCCAAAAAGCGAGATTAAGTTACCAAATTTGGAGGTTAGAAAACCAAATCTCGAAGTTATGCCTCAAGAAAGTGAGGTTAATCCTACAAAAAGTGAGGTTCATTCCCAAAAAAGCGAGATTAAGTTACCAAATTTGGAGGTTAGAAAACCAAATCTTGAAGTTATTCCTCCAAAAAGGGAAGTCATATCTCCTAAAATTGAGGTTAAATCCCCAAAACGTAAGTCTTTGTTTTCAAATTTTGAGGTTATTTCAATTAAAAATGACGTTAAATCCCCAAAAAATGAGGTTATGTTACCAAATTTTGAGGTTATTTCTATTGAAAAGGAGGTAAGTTCTCCAAAAAATGAAACTAATTCAGAAAAGAGTGAGGTTATGGCCGACAATCTCCAATTTACAGCATATCAAAGCCATCCTAACCTCAAAATTCAAATTCTAACCTCAAAACTGAATCATAAAGTTTCAGATTTCACTGAAGCTACAAAAAGGTTCATTCTTGAAAGAAAAGTTGACTTTCAAGGAAGCTTAGTCAAATTTTCTGACATAATTTCCACAGAAACTCTCAAAAGAATTGACGAAAAATCATTCAAAATGTTAATCAACGACAAAGAAACCTTAAAAATTGGTCAAAAATTCATAAAATCAGAAAAATTCTATTTTGATCGAAAATTTGTAGATTCATATTACATTTATGTAGCACCTCACCTACGTGACGTCACTCAAGTAGACTCAACGAAATTTTTTATCGAAATTATTCACCAAAAACTTATTTTATTATGTGATGAACCAGGCATGGGCAAAACGACGACTCTTAAGCAACTTCAATTCAAATTTAAAGAATATTTACCATCAAATTGGGTCATTTATGTCGATTTGAAGCGTCATGGCTCAATTTATGAGGATTTTAAGGACGTCCCGAAATGGAATTATGAAAATTTCACAAAATTCTTTACAAAAATTCAAAATTTGAGCGAATTTGAAGTTAAAATATTTAATCAGCTTTTATTGACTGAAAAAGTTGTGTTTTTAATCGACAGCGTGGACGAAATTACGCAAAAACACAAAGACTTTATTATTAATTTCACAAAAGATCTTTACAAAATCACAAATTGTCATATTTGGATTGGGATGCGTCCATATTGCATTAATGAGTACCGCGGTGCATTCAGCATCTTTGCTTATCATTTAGAGCCGGTCGATTCCACAAAGTTACTCGACTTTTTCATTAAAACACAAAAATTGCCAAAAAATGAAGCAAACGAGTTACGAGCTTTTGTGGAAAAATTCACAAATTTTAATCAATCTTGCAAAAATCCACTTTTTATTAACATTGTCTTGGAGATTTATGACCAGCTGGGATCAAATTTGGGATTTTATATGATTTATGAGAAGTATGTTTGGAAAAAGTTTGGAATTAGTGGTGAAAATTATGAGGCAAGGCCGGAAAAATCGGGAAATAATATTGAAATTTCTCAAAATGTTGAGGGTTCGCCACAAAAAGTAGGAAACAATCTTGAAAATTCTCTTAATGATGAAGGTTGGCCGCAACAATCAGGAAATCAGCTCAATAGTAATCTTGAATCTTCCAACAATGAAGAAACAAAGCCATTAAAATCAGGCTTCTCTGCTCATGTGTCCAATTTTAGTGCAGGTTCATCCGAGAGTCCTCAGGAATCGAGAATTAGGAAACGATTTGAATTTTTCTTTCACGAGCATGATTCACCAATTAAGGTTGTAAAGCTATCAGAAGGTTCTGATGTGGCTGACAACTGTGATTCAGATTCTTCAGAAAAGGATCGTAGGGTGTGGCCGGCCAATAAAGAAGTTTATTCAGGGGTTTGGCAAGATGATACAGAAATTTTAATGGAAACTTCTGAGGCACCGCCAGAAAAAGAGGGAAGTTTGATGGAAACGTCTGAGGCACCAACAGAAAAAGAGGGAAATTTGATGCAAAATTCTGAGGCACCGCCAGAAAAAGAAGTAAGTTTGATGCAAAGTTTAGAGGCACCGCCAGAAAAAGAGGGAAATTTGCAGCAAACTTCTGAGGCACCGCCAGAAAAAGAGGGAAGTTTAATGCAAAATTTAGAGGCACCGCCAGAAAAAGAGGGAAGTTTAATGGAAAATTCAGAGGCACCGCTAGAAAAAGAGGGAAGTTTGATGGAAAATTCAGAAGCACCGCCAGAAAAAGAAGGAACAATATTGATTAAAAACATGGCATATTTAGAAATCGATAAAAATGTCAACTTTTCTATAAATGCATCCATTGACTCGAAAGTACTTGAAAAAGTTCTCAAAAATATTATTGATGTCCTCGACCTCTTCCAAAAGCACCAAAATATTGCGATGAAGAAGTTTATTGACTACATATCTAACCTTGGGTTTCATGTAGACTTAAAAGAAGTGAAAGTTCCTTTCACTGATGCTGAAATTGTGGAATTATCATCTTACGACATAATCTACGGCACAACAGCCGATCAAACCTTTTTTATTCATCAAACTTTTTATGAATTTTTCGTTGCCAGCTTTATTGTTGGTAAGATTTTTGAGGGTCCTGAACCTCCAGTCATACTCAATCAAATTCCGACAATTTTTTCTATAATTTTTACATACCGAGAATTTGAGGTTATTGCCAAATTTATTGAATTTTACGTAAAAGATAATGAAGAAAGAATTTTGGCGCGAAATAATAAACTTTTTAAGTGCATAATTAGGCATGTTCCTCTTTTAGGGACTGTTAAGTTTGGGAATTGTCCGTTTGAAAACTTTAATAAGAACTTTCATAGATTGTTGGTCCAAAAGCACTTCAATTTAGCTAAATTAGTTCTTAAAATGTTTAAGAATGAAGAAGAAATTAGAAAAATATTTGAAAAAATTTCACAATGTGAAAATTTATTGTTTTTGGATTTTGCTGCTTATGGCTACTCAGATAAGGATGTCATTGAGCTTTTGATGGTATTTAAGGATGCTTTAACTGAGGATAGACAGAAAAAAATATTTAAATATTTTTTATTTGACAATTTCACATTTTTGAAAGAAAATTTATTAAAATTATCAGAAAATGGCGCGGAAAATTTTTTTGGTATTTTTGAGGTTATTTTCACTGAGGATGAATTAAAAGAGATTTTTAAAGAGCAAATTAATGCTGATCAGGAAAACAATTTTTGTAGATTCTTAAATTCAATCCACAAGCTCAGCATTGATGACTTAACCTCAAAAAATCTCGAAATTTTGATGCAATTTTCTAATAAATTTTTAGATTTGGATCAAAAGTTTGTAATTTTGAAGAATTTTGCTGAAAATCTTGAAATTGTTGCGACAAAAAATCAAAAAATCTTCAAAGTTTTAGAAAATTTCACATTTAATTTAGAAAAATCTGAATTGAGTGTAATTTTAAAAAATGAAAATTCAAAATTGTCAAAAATTTTCCTTAATTTTGTGTCAAAAAAAATCAAATCAAATCATTTTATCTTTTTATTGCGATTAATTTCAGAAAATCTTGAAGAATTTGAAATTTTTAACATTATTGAAAATGATTCTAACCTAAAAATTAAATTTTTCGACGCCTGCAGTCAAAATATGTCTGAAAATATTGAAATATTCACAAATTTTATCAACAAATTTTTACCAACTCCAAAAATGAAGGAATTTTTACTTCAAAAAGATCCAAATGGTCAATTTTCAACAATTCACTTTTTATTTCAAAACTATCACATCAATTTTGAGCGAATTTTCACCAAACATGAAATTAAAAACTTAATTTTAACAAAAAATTCCAAAAATGAGACAATTTTATTTGAAATTTTTCGAAAAAATCAAAAATTAAGTGAAAATTTCTTCATTTTAATGCTCGAAGTTCTCAACAAAACTGAAATAAAATTATTTTTATGTCACAAAAGTTCCAACGGTCAAACAGCTTTTCAAGTTTTTGGTAACTTTTTGAAAAATTATGAAAATATTTCGCTTGGACCGACGAATTTTCAAGAATTTTTGGCTGACAACTTTGATGACAGCGAGGTCATGGACATGGTTAAGGAATAAAAAATATATTTTTTGAATTTTTTATTAAAAAAGTAACGAAAAAAATTATTTTAACAATTTAAAATAAAATAAAAAAATTGTGCTAAATTTAAACTCATTTTTAAACCTCAACACTTCCCCCCCCCCTCCACTTTTCCGTTAAAATTCCTTTCGATCTCTAGAAATGATTTCCATTACATACTTAACTGTAAGGATGTTCTCGTCAGCACCATTAAAATATGACAAAGTTCCTATATAAGATCCAGCTGGGAATGCCGAAATTACCATTTTCAGATCAACCGAAAGGTTTTCAAATCGCAGCTGTCCCTAAAAGTATAAATTTGTCTTTAACTTAATATGCCAAACTGGCAGAAGGTTTCGAAGGATAGAGCTGACTTTAGACGATCTCTGAACGCGGCACTGGGCCAGCGTGCCTCACAGCCAAGGAAGTAAGTCTTAAGTTATTGAATGTTCATCGAAAGAGGCTGTTGATAGAGACATTTGGTATTAGAAATTGGACAGCAGTAGCCAGCAATAAAGTCTGCTCCTGGTGGCATCTGAGAGAGGTCAAGGATCACAATTGATCTGTACGACCAGCAGGGGCGTAGCCAGGAATTTTAAGAGGGGGGGGCAATTTTATTTTTGTATGGAAAACTTTTAAGGGGGGGATTTTTTCGAGTTTTTCATAAAAACTCTAGCAAAATGAAGAAATTTCTCACGACGAAGGATGATTTGTTCCCCAAATCCCGCCCCCCCCCTCCCCCCCCCCCCCCCTAGTAGGGGCAAGTAAGTAATAAGTTATGCAATGGATTACCACTAAGGGATGCCGTGGCACAAAAAATGTTCGAAACCTCTGTCGAAGAGGCTTAGAAATAGGCAACAATGTCTTTAATACTAGGATCCGCTAGTAAGGCTATTTAAGGCACTTTGACCATGACTCTCAGATACCCAAGGAAGCTCTAGATACTCCTAGAAACCAGCCTCAGTACTGATACGATCAAGTAAAACACTAGACATTGGTAAAAGTGACATATAATATACATCTGATGTGTCTAGCCTGTGGAATGTAGAAAATTCCTCGATTGTTTCATTTACAGTTCCGTTTCCAGTAGACTCTAGGTCTTAGTGGCATAACAAGGGTATCGGTCGCATATTCAACGACCTCCTTTTCCCTCTTTGCTACGCTACTGCCAAAGAACTTTGAATTCAACACATAATTTATATCAACTTCAAGCTGCTTTGAATAACCTAAAAAACCAACCTTATAAGGACATGGATGCAGTAGCTCCTCCAATTCCGGCATCATTCCAATAAACCATTTGTAGACAGGATTTGAACCGGTTCCGTTGAGAATCGAACAAACTTCAAGAGTCGTGTTAATTATTGATCGTTGTGAATTTGATAACGACTTGAACCTTAAATCATAACGAACATTAAATGAATGTACAGGTCGGGTGAGGTTCACAAAAATGTTTGTTGTTGTATTTGTCCGACTGAAGGCTTTGATGTAGCATTTATAACCGGATACTGTGATGTTTGAGGAGTTACAATGAATGCTTTTGAAGCGACTGTAAGGTTCAAGGTTTTGTTTTTGGACTCGAGCAGCAAAATTCATTGAAAAATATAAAAAGAGCAAAAAGAATTTAGATTTTAACATTTTAACTAGCAAAATGTAAATACAATTGTGTAAATTTTCAAAACAAGTTTTGCTAAAATTAACAATAATTGTTTATAATTAAAAAATCTAAAAATAATTTTTTTGTTTTTTTAAAAAAAATTTCAAAGTCCAAAAAAGAAAGTCAACATTAAGTCCCGACGAGGATGAGATTCGAACTCACGCGGGCAGAGCCCATTGGATTGCTGTCGATAACTGAGCAAGTTAGCAGTCCAACCTATTAACCACTCTAGCACCTCGTCGTCACGATTTCTGTGGCTGAACACTTGACAAATGTTTCATATTAAATAATTATTTTTAATCGGTCAATTGAAACAAATTTCCAGAAATGTTCCATTTTAGCTCCACAGTCATGTTAAATTCTAAGCTATTCGTATTGATTTTATATTTTTCACAAATTCTTGCATTTTGGCAACAAAAAAAGAGTTTTGAGCCTTACAGTCGATTCAAAAGTGTCAAATGTTCAGCATCATTAATCTCATTGTCATCATTTGACTGCTTTGTTAAAGCTTACAGCCAAAGAAACACGACAATTAATGCAGTGGCCAATGTCACGAAGCCAATTTTTGTTGTAAATATTCGATATGACCTCAGATTTAAGTCATTGTCAAACTCACAAAGGTCAATCATTAATGCAACAACAGAAATCTGTTCAATACTTAATGGAACTGCATCAAATCCGGTGTATCAATGGATTTTAGGGATGGTGCCAGAGTTCAAACAAAGTTTGCATCCTTGTCCTTATCAGGTATTGAGTTGTGGATGTCTTCAGACTCTTATCAATCCCTAACCTTTATCGATAATCTTGTCATATTTTATTAATACTTTTTAGGGACATGTGCGATTTGATAATCTAGCAGTGAATTTGAAAATGGTCATTTCTGCGTTTCCAGCTGGAACTTGTATAGGAATACTGACTGTTTCAAATAATCATGACCATAATATTATTACAGTCACGTTTGTCCAGGAAATCATCTCAAAAGACCGAAAAGAGTTTTAATAAAAAAAAATTCAAAAAAGTCATGACGATTTGAGAATGCAAATTTCACTATCTTTATTTTGGTTAATTTATTGTAAAGTTCTTAATTGGCGTCAATTATTATTAATTATAGCTGCATTGGTGAAATTAAATATAAATTGTGTCTACTTAAAATCCACTCTATCTCTTGAAAAAATTTCACTAGCAATGTTTATAGTTAAAATATTGTCATCAATGTCATCATAAATCCTAAAGATTGTGATATAAATTCGTGCGTCATAATTGAGGAAAATAGTAAAGTCTCTTCATGAAAATGACAAAATTTAAACCCGTGCGTCATAATTGGGGAAAACAGTAAAGTCTCTTCAAGAAAATGACAAAATTTAAACCCGTGCGTCATAATTGGGGAAAACAGTAAAGTCTCTTCAAAAAAATGACACAATTTAAACCCATGCGTCATATTTGAGAAAAACAGTAAAGTCTCTTTAAGAATATGACAAAATTTAAACCCGTGCGTCATAATTGGGGAAAACAGTAAAGTCTCTTCAAGAATATGACATAATTTAAACCCATGCGCCATATTTGAAGAAAACAGTGAAGTCTCTTCAAGAATATGACAAAATTTAAACCCATGCGCCATATTTGAAGAAAACAGTGAAGTCTCTTCAAGAATATGACAAAATTTAAACTAATGCGTCATATTCAAGGAAAACAGTAAAGTTTCTTCAAGAATATGACAAAATTTAAACCCATGTGTCATAATTAAGGAAAACAGTAAAGTGTTCCCCCAAAAAGTTATCACTTCACAAACCTTATAAGGACAAGCATGCAATGCTTCCTGTAAAGCCGGAAGATTATTCATAAACCGATGAAACACAGGGTTCGAACCAGTTCCATTTAGTATAGAACAAGCTTCAAATGTCACATTAATAATTGACCGTTTAGAATTCGACAATGATTTATAGCTCAAATCGTAAGAAGTTTTAATGAAGAAAAGTGAACGCGTAAAATTCACAAACACATTAAAAGTCATATTTTTTTGGCTGTAAGCTTTAACATAGCATTTATAACCTGATACAGACTTGTTTGTTGACTGACACTTTATACCTTTGAGACGCTGATAAGGTTCATAGTTTTGCTTGCGAACTGATTTGGCTAAATGATTTAAAAGGATCGCAAATGCGACTAAGACAATTATTTTGAACATTTTTGGTTGATTTTGTAGCGGGAATTGAAATAGAAAAATGTTTATTTGTTTTATGTTGAAGATTTTGAAAATAATTGTTTTGTTTTGTGAGTATTTAAATTCTTTCCTGTGTTTAGAAATTCTCTAAAATGTTATTGGTCAACAATATTCATAAAGATACTGTAATGGACATCTGGCAGTTCAAGTAGGGTTTTCAACTATTATCAGGAGATCGACAAGAATTTAATTAAAGTTTTTGATTCATTAAATTTAAAATTCTCGTCTATCTTTCGATATAATTTCACCAGAAAGCATCAATGTTAAGACATTGTCATCAACATTATCATAGAATTTCATTATTGTGACATAAGTTCCAGCTGGAAACGTAGCCATTGCCATCTTAAAGTCTATGTTGATGTTTTGGAACACCACGATGCCCTGGAAAATAAGAAAACTCTTTAAATTTGTCAAAAAATCGTTTCATGCGTCATATTCTAGGAAAACAGCAAAGTCTCTTCCGAAAAATTGACAAAATTCTCACTCGTGCATTATATTTCGATAAAAAAGTAAAGTCTCCCTTCAAAGTTTGCAAAGTTCAGTCCCGTGCGTCATATTTTGGGAAAACAGTAAAGTCTCTCTCAAAAATTCAGCTTCGTGCGTCATATTTCGGGAAGACAGTAAAGTCTCTCTCCAAAAAAATTGACAAAAAACTCATTTTATACGTCATATTTTGAGAAAACAGTAATGTTTTTCTGCAGAAGTACACAAAATTTCAGTCAAGTGCGTCATTTTTTGGGAAAACAGTAAAGTATTCCCCAAAATGAAATCAACTCCAAACAAACCTGATAAGGACACGCATGCACCTCCCTCTTCAAATCAGGCATATTGCTCATAATCCACTGAAAAACAGGATTATGTCCAGTTCCGTTAAGTATAGAGCAAGCTTCAAATGTCACATTAATGATTGATCGTTGAGAATTTGACACTGACTTGTAGTTCAAATCGTAGGAAAACGTAATATTAAAAAGCGGTCGTGTTATGTTCACAAAAACATTCAATGTTGTATTTCTTTGGCTGTTGGCTTTGACATAGCATTTATATCCAGATATGGACTTATTAGATGAATGACATTTTGTGTTTGTAAACCGCATAAATGGCTCAGTGTTTTTTATTCGTGCTGATGTGGCGAGATAGTTGAAAAATATCAGGAAAATTGTTATAAAAATTATTTTAAACATTTCTTCTTGATAAACTGAATTAAACTGATGCAAAAATTGAGAATTTTGTATTTTTATTATTTTTTTTGTAGAATAATTAGAATAAATTATGATAATTGAACTTAATTCAAGGAAGAAGCGTTCAGATTATCTAGAATTCCTTTCTATCTTTTGAGACTATTTCAAAAGTTATTCTGGATGAAATGATATTATTGTCAATGTTATCATAAAATCTTAACAATGCTAAATAAATTCCAGCTGGAAACACTGCCACAGTCATCTGGAAATCCATGCTAATGTTCTCAATATTCAAGTTGTTCTGTAAAATATTTACCAAAAAAAATTTATTTCATGAGTCATATTCGAGAGAAACAGTAAAGTCTCTCCCAAAATATTACACCAAACTTACCATATATGGACATGGATGTAAAACTGTTTCCAATCCTTGCAAGTTCCCAATCATCCATTTAAAAACAGGATTGGAACCAGTTCCATTGAGAATTGAGCAAACCTCAAAAGTCACGTTGATGATCGAACGAAGAGAATTTGACAGTGATCGATACGTTAAATCATACGAAAGATTTAAATGAAAAAGTGATCTTGTTAAATTTGTAAAAACATTGATTTTTGTATTTTTACGACTGTAAGCTTTGATGAAGCATTTAAAATCAGACAATGACTTATTTGATGATTGACATGTTATGTCTGTGAGGCGCATATAAGGTTTATTGTTGACTTTCCGACGTGAGAGGGAAGAAATGACTAAAATCATCCAAAAAATTAAAATTATTTTAAAAATCAGCATTTCAATGTGAATTTTGAATATAAACTGAAAACAAAAAAAAGATTTCTGGAGCCAATTTTTTTTGTAATTATTGCAAATTTATTTAATAAATTTTTAATTTTCAATCCAAAATAATAATTCATGAATTTGTCTACAATTAGTTTTGAGTTTATTCTTCCAATTGTGCGTCAGATTATCAGGATTAAAGTTGGGACAAAACTATAAAAATTAAAATTAAAATTCTTTTCTGTCTTTGGAAATGATTTCCGTTATGAATATTATAGTAAAAATATTTGCGTCACTTTCATCAGATAATTTGAAAACATTGTGATAAACTCCTGCTGGAAATGTAGCTAATGTCATTTTAAAGTCAATGTTGATGTTCTGAAAAGCTAGATTTCCCTGTAAAATATAAAAATAATAATTTTTTTCCCAAAATTTCAGTCACGTGCGTCATATTCTGTAGAATACATTAAAGTGTTCTCCCAAAAATACCAAAAAATTAAGTGCATCATTTTTTTGAAAAACATTAAAGTCTTAACCCAAAAATACAAAAAAAAAACTATTTCGTGCGTCATCTGTAGAATACACTAAAGTGTTCCCCCAAAAATTAAAAAAAATTTCAAACCTTATACGGGCACACATGCAATATCTCCCTCAAGTTCGGTATGTGACCCACAACCTACTGAAAAACAGGATTCGAACCAGTTCCATTCAAAATTGAACAAATTTCATAAGTCACATTGATGATTGACCGATAAGAGTTTGAAAGTGATTTGTAGGTTAAGTCATAATTCAAATCAGCCTTAAAATGAGGTTCGGTTAAATTCACGAAAACATTAATTGTTGTATTTGTTCGGCTGTAAGCTTTTATGAAGCATTTATAGCCAGAAATTGTCTTATTCGATGAATTGCATTTAATGCTCTTAAAACGGAGATAAGGTTGAGAATTTTGAATTCGAGCTGCAGTCGAGACACTTTCTGACAAAATTACTGAAATAATGAAAAGTTTTATAGCCAACATTTTAGCAAAATGACTTTCAAAACACTGAAAAATTTTTTTTAATTTTTTATCATTAGAAATTTCTTTAATTTCAAGTTTCAGAATCATTAAATAATTTTCAAAAATTAGCTAATAAGTTCCTGGCAGGAAGTAACAAAACAGCAAGCCATTTTCAATAAGTCAAGATATCCGCTAGTTGAAACAGCCAATAGATCTCTCACAAAATTGCGTGAGATTCAGACCAACTGAAAGTGCTGACAATGGAACTTTGATATTAGCATTTTAAAAGTCCAATATGCCGAAATAAATTAACTTTTTAACAATTTCGAGTTTTTTCAAAACTTTATTACAAATATTTTAATTTTAAATATTTTGTTTATTATTATAATTCGGTTGTAAACAATTTTTAAATCTGATCTTGATTTTTTATTTAAATTCATTTCGATCCTTTGACACTATTTCTTGTGTGTGCTTAATCGTTAGAATGTTTTGGTCAGTTTTTGTGAAAAATGTAAGGACATTGTTGTAAAGTCCACCAGGAAATGCAGATATTATCATCTTCAAGTCAACTGATAAGTTTTCCAACTTTAAATTTCCCTGAAATAAAATTTTATTTTGTAAGCTTAGTTTTGATCTTGAAAACTTAGTTTTGATCTTAAAAATCTAGTTTTGATCTTGAAAACCTAGTTTTGATCTTGAAAACCTAGTTTTGATCTTAAAAATCTAGTTTTGATCTTTAAAACTTTATTTTGATCTTAAAAATCTAGCTTTATTCCTGAAAACCTAGTTTTGATCTTAAAAAACCCAGTTTTGAACTTGAAACTTAATTTTGATCTTGAAAACTTAGTTTTGGTCTTGAAAATTTAGTTTTGATCTTGAAAACCTAGTTTTGATCTTAAAAATCTAATTTTGATCTTGAAAACCTAGTTTTGATCTTAAAAATCTAGTTTTGATCTTTAAAACTTTATTTTGATCTTGAAAATCTAGCTTTATTCCTGAAAACCTAGTTTTGATCTTAAAAAACCTAGTTTTGATCTTGAAACTTAATTTTGATCTTGAAAACTAAGTTTTGACCTTGAAAACCTAGGTTTGATCTTGAAAACTTAGTTTTGATGTCGAAAACTTCGTTTTGGTCTTGAAAACCTAGTTTTGATTTTAAAAATCTAGTTTTGATCTTGAAAACCTAGTTTTGATCTTAAAATCTAGTTTTGATCTTTGAAACTTTATTTTAATCTTAAAAATCTAGCTTTATTCTTGAAAACCTAGTTTTGATCTTAAAAACCTAGTTTTGATCTTTGAAACTTTATTTTGATCTTGAACACTTAGTTTTGGTCTTGAAAATTTAGTTTTGATCTTGAAAACCTAGTTTTGATTTCGTAAACCTAGTTTTGATCTCGTAAACTTAGTTATGGTCTTGAAAACCTAGTTTTGATCTTAAAAATCTAGTGTTGATCTTGAAAACCTAGTTTTGATCTTTAAAACCTAGTTTTGATCTTTGAAATTTAATTTTGATCTTGAAAACTTAGTTTTGGTCTTGAAAACCTAGTTTTGATCTTGAAAACCTAGTTTTGATCTCGTAAACTTAGTTTTGGTCTTGAAAATCTAGTTTTGATCTTGAAAACCTAGTTTTGATCTTAAAAATCTAGTTTTGATCTTAAAAATCTAGTTTTATTCTTGAAAACCTAGTTTTGATCTTAAAAACCTAGTTTTGATCTTAGAAACCTAGTTTTGATCTTGAAACTTAATTTTGATCTTGAAAACTAAGTTTTTATCTTAAAAACATAATTTTGATCTTGAAAACTTAGTTTTGATCTTAAAAATATAGTTTTATTCTTGAAAACCTAGTTTTGATCTCGTAAACTTAGTTTTGATCTTGAAAACCTAGTTTTGATCTTCAAAACTCTAAAAAGTTCTTACCTGGTAAGGACAAGGATGCAACAACCGTTTCAATTCAGGCATTTGTCCCAAAATCCATTGAAATACTGGATTAGAGCTAGATCCATTGACAATAGAACAAACTTCAAAAGTCGCGTTAATGATAGATCTTTGTGAATTTGACAAAGACCTAAAACTAATATCATATCGCAAAAATACAAAGTTCAGTGGTCTTGTAATGTTGACGAGAATATTTAAAGTTGTATTTTTTCGGCTATATGATTTTATGAAGCATTTAAAACCAGACAAACTGATATTTGAGGACGAACAATTGACACTTTTAAATCTACTGTATGGCTCGAATTTCTGGTTTTGTTTTCGAACAGCAAAACAAGGTAAAAAAATCACAAAAAATATGAAAACTTTTGTAATATGCATATTGAGTCAAATACTGAATGAATTTGATAAAATTGACCAAAAAACGTAAAAACTTACGCTGATTTTAAAAACAACGATTAAAATTGTAAAAATAAAGTTGTGAATTATTTGGCAATTACAAAAAAATTAAATTCAAAAATCCTGCCTGTCTCTCGAAACTATTTCCTGTGTTATTTTAAATGTAAAAACATCGTCATCAATTGTGTTGTAAAACTTCATAGTTGTGATGTAAGTTCCACCGGGAAAAAAGCTCAAAGCCAACTTCAAGTCTACTGATAGGTTCAAAAGGCTTAAAGTTCCCTTAATTAACAATTTAAAAAGTCAGTAAAAATCAAGTTGCAGCTACAAAATCATACAAACCTTGTAAGGACATGGATGAAGAATTTTCAGCTCCGAAACCATCCCAATAAGCCAATTAAATACAGGATTTGTACCAGTTCCATTTAACACCTCACAAAAGTCAATTGTAACATTAATCATCGATCTTTGTGAATTGGACAGTGATCTGGATCCAAAGTTATATTGAGCTTTGACATCATAAATTGGTCGACTTATATTCACTGAAATGTTAAGTGTCGTATTCTTTTGACTGTAAGCTTTGATAAAACACTTGAATTCGGATATTGTGACATTCGATGATGAGCACTGAATTTTTGTAAAACGTGAGTACGGTTCAAAGCTATTGTTTCGAACTCGACCAGCCAAAATGATTGAGAATAAATTTAAAACTGTGATAAAATTTAAATTGAACATTTAAGCGCAGAAACTTTGAAATGAATGAAATTTTTTTATATTTTTTAATCAAAAATGTGATCATATTCTGCTAATTTCTATGAATAAGTTGACTGATTTTTAAATTAAAAAGACGGATAAATATTTAAAATAAAATTAAATTTTATAATTCTTTTAAATCAGTTAATAGTGATCAAAATGTCTCTTTGTCCTTTGATATCAAATCTTGTGAATATTTCAATGTTAAAATATTTTCATCGATATCATCATAAAACCTTATGTTAGTCATGTACACGCCACTGGGAAATGCAGATAAGAACTGCTTTAAGTCGACGCTGAGGTCCTTGAAGCTCAAGTTTCCCTGGTTTTTAAATGAAATATTGCTTTTAATATTAAGGTATTGGTAGGGAGGGGGGGGGGGGAGAAGTAGTGAAAAGGATCATCAACTTATGGGTACTTTTTGGTCTGTATACTTAAAACAGGAGCTTCGGCAATGGCGTTTTGGATTTGAACCTCTATTTTAACGTCCTTGACTGAGAAAATAGTCGGCTATTGAAGGTCAGACCACCTTAAACACAGTTTTCACACCAATTAAACCTAAAATTCTTCATACAACACTCATTAGCCAATAAACCAACTTGCCTGATAAGGACACGCATGCAACAACTGATCCAAATTCTCCATCAATCCAATAATCCACTTTAAAACAGGATTTGATGCAGTTCCATTTAAAAACTCACAAATTTCTAGCGTCGAATTGATGATTGAACGCTGTGAATTTGTCAAATATTTATAAGTCAAATCATATCGAGCTTTAACAGCAAAAAGAGGTCTTGTAAGATTCACAAATGCATTCATTGTTGTGTTTGTTCGACTGTATGCCTTGACATAGCAGTTGTAGCCTGATAAGCTTTTATTTGATGACCAACATTTCATCGTTGTGAACCGTATGATTGGATATGAAGTGACTTTCCGGGCTGGAGATGTAAAATTTATTGAAAATGTTGCTATAAATAGAAGAATTGTTGCTGAAAACATTTGAATTCGATGGAGTGACATAAACTGAACATAGTTCAGAAAAATTGTGAATAATTGTTTATTTTTTTGTTTAGACAATTTGGATGTAAAATTATTTTTAATGATTTTTATCAACATTGTTTGATTAAAAATTAACAAGCATTATAGACTGGTTGATTAGATGTTGTTGTGATTAGCAGTGAGAAGTTATCAAAGTCCCCTAAAAAGTCTCTCTATCCTTCGATATTAAATCTTGTGAAAATTTCAGTGTCATAATATTCTCATCCACATCATCAAAAAACTTCATGATTGTCATGTAAACGCCACTTGGAAATGCAGATACAAATTGCTTTATATCCACACTAAGGTCCTTAAAGATGAGATTTCCCTAGTTTTAATTGAAAATTTAATTTAAACAAATTTAATTTAAATTTTAATCATCCAGATATTTAGATAACCAGACATACAGACAAACAATCAAATATTGTAGTTAAAACTCTTACAGTATATGGACATGCGTGCAGCATTTGATCAAAGTTCTTCATAAATCCAACAATCCACTTAAAAACTGGATTCGCTGATGTTCCATTCAAAAATTCACAAATTTCCAGAGTTGAGTTGATGATCGATCGCTGTGAATTTGTCAAATATTTATAGGTCAAGTCATATCGAGCCTTAGCAGCGAAAATTGGCCGTGTTAGATTCACGAAAACATTCATTGTTGTATTTGTACGACTATATGCTTTGACATAGCAATCGAAGCTCGACACACTTTTGCTAGATGACAAACATTTCATTGCTGTGAACCGAATGTATGGATATGACGTGGTTTTACGAGCTGGAGATCCACAATTTATTAATAATATTGAGGATAAGATTAAAAAATTTATGGAACACATTTAATGTCAATGCAATGACTAAAACTAAAATAATTTTTTTTAAATACTGAATTAAAAAATGCGTTGATTTTGTTTCAAGATAATTTGCAATTTTTAAATTTTTAATTGCACTTTGACATTTTTATGAGCAATGATACCAATTGTATTTTAAAATTCATTTGCTATTATATTTTGCTATTTAACTTTTCTTAACCTATACCTAACCTATACCTAACCTATACCTAACCTATACCTAACCTATACCTAACCTATACCTAACCTATACCTAACCTATACCTAACCTATACCTAACCTATACCTAACCTATACCTAACCTATACCTAACCTATACCTAACCTATACCTAACCTATACCTAACCTATACCTAACCTATACCTAACCTATACCTAACCTATACCTAACCTATACCTAACCTATACCTAACCTATACCTAACCTATACCTAACCTATACCTAACCTATACCTAACCTATACCTAACCTATACCTAACCTATACCTAACCTATACCTAACCTATACCTAACCTATACCTAACCTATACCTAACCTATACCTAACCTATACCTAACCTATACCTAACCTATACCTAACCTATACCTAACCTATACCTAACCTATACCTAACCTATACCTAACCTATACCTAACCTATACCTAACCTATACCTAACCTATACCTAACCTATACCTAACCTATACCTAACCTATACCTAACCTATACCTAACCTATACCTAACCTATACCTAACCTATACCTAACCTATACCTAACCTATACCTAACCTATACCTAACCTATACCTAACCTATACCTAACCTATACCTAACCTATACCTAACCTATACCTAACCTATACCTAACCTATACCTAACCTATACCTAACCTATACCTAACCTATACCTAACCTATACCTAACCTATACCTAACCTATACCTAACCTATACCTAACCTATACCTAACCTATACCTAACCTATACCTAACCTATACCTAACCTATACCTAACCTATACCTAACCTATACCTAACCTATACCTAACCTATACCTAACCTATACCTAACCTATACCTAACCTATACCTAACCTATACCTAACCTATACCTAACCTATACCTAACCTATACCTAACCTATACCTAACCTATACCTAACCTATACCTAACCTATACCTAACCTATACCTAACCTATACCTAACCTATACCTAACCTATACCTAACCTATACCTAACCTATACCTAACCTATACCTAACCTATACCTAACCTATACCTAACCTATACCTAACCTATACCTAACCTATACCTAACCTATACCTAACCTATACCTAACCTATACCTAACCTATACCTAACCTATACCTAACCTATACCTAACCTATACCTAACCTATACCTAACCTATACCTAACCTATACCTAACCTATACCTAACCTATACCTAACCTATACCTAACCTATACCTAACCTATACCTAACCTATACCTAACCTATACCTAACCTATACCTAACCTATACCTAACCTATACCTAACCTATACCTAACCTATACCTAACCTATACCTAACCTATACCTAACCTATACCTAACCTATATCTAAGAAAGAAAATAAAATGTTTTTTTTTTTATTTTTCAAATTTCTTTATTAAAATCCTTTTCCATATAAATATATAAAAAAATTCAATCCACATTTTATGTTATAATTCACATCAATCCACAGTAAACTCTCCAAACCATCTCGTCTTTATTGACTTCTTAACATCCACTTGGTAGAACTCCAAGGGTTGGTTCATAGTAAGATGATGAAATTGGCATTTCTGATGATGATTCAAAGTAAGTGTCGGATCCGCCATAAGCCAAGCTGACCAATTGAGCGATGAAAAGGACGAAAATTGCGAAGAATTTGAAAGAATCCATTTTTGAAGTTGTTTTTTCTTTTGATATTTTTGAACTGATCACTTTGAATTGATGAAAGTTGATTGATGATTTGGTTGAAGTTAAGCGCGGCTTTTATACAAAAAAGTCGGAATTCATAATTGGTGAATATTTTCACAGAAAATTCACGAAAAAAACGTTAAACAATCGAGAAAGTCGTGATTGTCGTAAACTTTGACGGTAAATCATAATGAGCAGCATGAAGTATCGATAAAAATATTTTTTTACTTTTGACTTTTTTTATAGGTTTTTGTGGGAATTAAAACGTTGTTGAAAAATTGTGATAAATTCAAAAAAAAAAACTTAAAGTTTGACAAATTGTGAAATCAGGTTTAAAATGAACAAAGAATCATGATTAAGCAATCTTTAGCTTACAACTTTCATTCTAGAAAGAGATGATGGGTTCAAAATCAATGGTTCCAACCCATGGTCTAGCTCTTATGATTCCTCAGGTCATGGACTTGCCACCAACAACTCCCTAACCTAGTAAGTCATTCAAAGCTAGTTAACTTCACGAAAATCGTGTTTAACTTAGCCAAAAACAATAAATTTTATTCGATAATTTGTGACTTCGCGTTTTCTATTAAAAAAGTTTTACTTTCATCAATTGAAGGTTTTTAATAAAAATCTATTTTTTGTTGATATAATAGAATTTATTATAAGGATGGAGTCACGACCTTACTAAGTATGAATGAAATTAGGTTAAGGTTTTAGATTTTCGTGATGCCAATGACTAATAAGAATCGTAATTCAGGGCATTTAATTTTTTTAAAAGTGTCACATTTAAAGAAGTTGTTGGTCGACCTCAATCTATGTCAAACTTTTTGGTATAGCCTAGAAGACAGCTTCAGAAATTTTCACCCGAATGGCACAAATCGGTTAATTGATCAGAAATCCGGCACCAAGCTACTGTGACTCTTGCATGGTGCTGGATATGATTTATGCTGGCTCAACCCCAGATTTCTATTCAATTAACCGTCTTGTGCTTTTCAAGTCAGTTTATGCAACACGGATGTCGCCTCACAGCATTAAACACTCAATATTGAGCTAATGCTTCTCTCAGCTTCTCATTTTTTAATTTGTAAAAAACATAAATCGAGTTGAGATTCAGTTTTGATTCAGATATCGCTGCAGTAGGTTCAAATTCATAAGATAAAGTCAGTCAGGCTGAAATATTAAACACAATGTTGGTTCAAGTTCATATTATCTTGATTATGATGGCTTGGAATTTGATCAAAATTGACGCATACTCGCAGGTGGTTGACAGTCGAGGTAAGGAACTTAGGAAAAATAATTTATGGATGTTATGGGGAAGTACAGATGATTTATGTCTGTCTGTCTGTCTGGTTGGAGACTTTTGTGTTTAAAAACAACCTTTTTTCCTATTTATATGCTATTTGCCATAGCTTACATGATAGATTTGATTGAAAAGAGTCAGAACTAACATCAAATGGAGGATTTCACGGTCTTTTATGTTACATAACATCCAAATAACCCCCATTAGTTGAAAAAATATTAAAAAATCCTTCAATTTCAGTGCTAACAAATGAAATTTCACATTTTGACCAAGAATTCGATGAAAACTTATTTGACTATGCCTTAGTGACAACAGCATCACACCCACAAATACCCCAAAAACCCTACAAATTTATCGAAGAACCTGATGACATTCGCGCACAATATGGAACCTCATTAACCTTAAATTGTGTCATTTCACACACAAATGGAACCATTCAGTGGACCAAAAATGACTTTGGACTTGGTGTTGATCGAAATTTGACGGCTTATAAGAAATACTCAATGGTTGGTGATGAAAAGAACGGAAGCTACTCACTTCGTATTGATGATGTTGATTTTAATGACGAAGGATTCTATCAGTGCCAATTTTCTAATCATGAAGTTCAAATGCGATCGAGATACGCGACAGTTTCGGTTTTTGAGGCTGTTCAAAACGTCAAAAAGAGAAGAATTTGCTTATTTTGTGTAGGTGTCGTGAAACAGGAGAGATTTGTGGATAATGGAGGTCAACTGAGTAGAAGTGCTGGAAATTTTGTGGTTTTGATTGGAGTTTTTGGTATATTGAGCTTCATCTAGACTCAAAGTATTGTCAAATCTGAGCGATTAAAGTTCAAAATTCATCTTAAAATGTGCAGCATCCAAACATGTGACTTGAGATTATCAAAAAATGTAACTAAACTGTGTCAGCAAATTTGTATTAAAGTTTACTTTTCCATTCAACAAAGTCTCTGTTTATTGTGTTTTGTAAATATTTTAACGTCTTTTGTGCTCGTGATGCAGTTTTCTTAGCAAGATCAAATTTCATATTTAGTCGTTCAAGTTTTTTTAATGCGTAGAAATTCAATAAAAGCGATTTAAATGATTCTAAAATTCACTTAAATATTTAAATTTAATTTTTTTGTCAATAATTATTAAAAGCTAAGATAGAAGTTGGAGTTACAGGAAAGTATAGCCAGCCAGCCAAAGTGGATCTAGAAGTGACTAGTTTCCTATGAAAAATGCACTGAAAATTGTTCGGTAAATTCAGATTTTTTCTAAAATAGTAAAATTCACATTGAAGGGAAGGGGAAGTGGGTACCACCAAAAATCCATCAAGATAGGTGGTCTCTTTAGTCTCCCCTTGACTAAACATCAAACTAAACGACCTCAATCTTAAAAGAATCATGATCCATATGTATAATATCCGATACCAAATATGCTATCGCACTAAATAAAAGTTTATAAATTCCAAGCAACTTGATCGTCTTCCTGAATCATGTTTCAAATTTTTTTTACTTTCCTTATCAACATTTTGAGTTGCTCACAATGCCTGACCAATGAGCATAAATGAAACATTGCAAAACATCAATAAAACATTGCAAAACATCAATAAAACATTGCAACACATCAACAAAACATTGCAAAACATCCATAAAACATTGAATACATCCATGAAACATTGCAACACATCAACAAAACATTACAAAACATCCGTAAAGCATTGCAAAACATTCAAAAAGCAACAACCCAATGTTTTTTCAATCATATTTAAATGTTTATTTCCCTTTTGTTTACTTTTTCGATGTTTTAGTTTCAAATGAGCAAAAATTAGTAGTTTTAAATTGAATGTTTTGGTCGGCAAACAGCACAACATCACATCAATATTTTCAAAAACAAAATAAAGCAATAAAATAACGCAAATAATTTTTTTAGGAAATTATTAAAGATTTAAGTGATAAAATGACTGTTTTTAAAGCGATATAGTCAATAATATCAAAGATAAGATGCATCTCGAAGGATATAAGTATTGGTTGGCATACAAAAAAGGTGCAAAAAGGTATAAAATCTGATATTTTTTAGAAATTATAAACAAATTATGAATAAGAAGAAAAATGACACACTTAACAGCTTTCAATGTCATTATCAGCAAGCTTGTTGATTATATTCTCAAAAATAATAATTGAATAACATTTTTAGCTATTACCGATGTTCCCGCTCAAAATCACAAAAATGTCCCGGCAAAATAATCATGGAAAATTTCAAGGTCATATCATCAATTCCACACGACCATGAAAAGGAGGTCCGCAACAATGCAGTTGAAAGATTTCGTCGAGTTTTAACAAAAAAGGCAATTGAGAAGCCGAATAAGCCACTAGTTGATATCTACTTGGAAGAAACAGTCAATCATAGTGAGGCATCAATATTGTATCCATTTACGCAAGCTGAGAGCACAATGAGGAAGGCAAGATCCAAAGACTTAGATGAAAAGAGAAAAATTGAGGATGAAAAGAAGAAGGCTGACCAGAAAAGTGAAACTGAAAAGATTTATGAAGGAAATGTGAGTCAAATTGAAGAGGTTGGCCGTAAAAATGAGGATAAAATTCAAACAACATTGACGCAAATTGAAACAAAATTCATAAAAATGGACAGGTTGGAGACAGAAATGCAGAATAGTGAGAGCAAGTACAGAAGATTTGAGCATCAATCGAAAAATTTCGAGGGAAGTTTACAGAATTTCGATGAAAAACTTCAAAATATTGAGAAAAAGTTGCACAATATTCAAGAAAAAAGGGACAAAATTGAAGGAAAAGCTCAAGGCAGAGCCAAAAAGTCCCCAAAACCACATCAAGTCAGCACATCCAAGACTAATAATCATCAAAAATATTTTTACATAGAAAATATCAGCGAAGATGCTAAAATAATTCTTATGAATCAAGGAACATTAAGTTCATTGGGTAAAATTGAGGAAATCCACATAGATTGTGGCATGAATGTTGACGTTAAAGATGAAATAAATGCAGCTGAAGCAAAAACTGCCGAAAAGACAGACACAAATCTCCCTCAGAATGTCGATCAAAATATGTTCAATCAGTGTCAGGAGCTCTCAAACTTATCAGAAATGTCGTTCCTACAACAAAACTTTGCATACTCTAATCCAATTCCTTTAGAAAGCTATGACAATATAAATTTAGTCTATGGCAATTTTGAGCAAGGCGAAAATTCACAAATGATTCAGACAATTGAGTTTACAGCTTGTAGTTCTAGTGACAATTACTTTAGTGATACTTATCAACCATCAAAGGATGTCAATGTGACATCTGGACAGTATTTTACCTCTAAAAGTGATGAGCATCAAGTCATGAACATAGATTACGAACCTCAGAAGGATCCACAACAAATGAACATTGACTTTAGTGCTGCTGACCTGCAAACACAAGATTTTAATGTAGATTTTGGCGGGAAATCCTCAGCTGACTTTGCATTTGGACAATCAAGTCAAGAGATACAAAAAGAATCAGAATTTGTGGACCAGACTCAATATTATGAGGAGTTCTTGGTCAGTTGCAGTGAAAATTCTGACAATTCATCACAAAATCAGTTTAATGTTCCTCAAAGCTCCATATCAGATGGTCAAAGTTCAAGGTCAAGTTTTCCAAGTGCTGCTGTAACAGGACATTCAATGGAAACACGTTCTAGAATTCAACATCCGGAACTGCTGAAAAGACTAAGCCAAAAGTCTAAAAAAGTCACAAAACCTACCTCAGAACCGAAACATAACCTCAAATTTAAAAATAATCGTTACCAAATCTTGACAGTCGTAGCATTAATCAAAGGTCGTGACTGTCCAATTGCGATTGGTATCATAAAATCGACAGATTTCGAAATAATTCAGCAGTTCCTTAATTTTTTGAAATTAAAAATACCGTTGAATCCATCAACAATTCTAACAAGTCAGAATGAAGTCATTCAACAATCAATTCAGGATATTTGGCCGGAATCGACCATGAAAGTTATGTACTTTTATTATGCACAGTCAGTCCTCGAAAATCTTCAGAAAAATTTCACAGAAATCTCAAAAAATATTTTCGAAATTTCAAGCCTCAAAATGATTTTGTCGATGCCCTTAATTCCAACGAACTACGTCATTCCAGGCTGGGAGGCACTGCGGAAGTGGATGAATGAGAAAAATGTCGATCTCGATGGACTTTGTGATGATGTCTACACCAAATGGCTAGCTGATAATGCTGAAAGAATTTCAATTTTTAATGGCTTGACTCACAGCATCAACAACCACACGCAAGTGTTTCAAAGTGAACTGATTAATAGTTTTGAGGCAGTTCCAATGAAAAGTGACAATTTAATTGACAAAATTTCACGGCAAGCGACAAAAAATTTCATAAAATTCACAAAAACCAACGAAAGTTCAGCGAATAAAATTCAAAAATTACAAAAAACTGTTAAAATTGCGACAAAAAGTTGGATTTCATCGCCGTTCCATTTAAGACGTCCAATTCAGTTCCTACAGCAGGTGTCGCACTGCATCGATGATGGAATGATTAATTTTGTGATGAATTTTGATGGAAATTGTTGTGGAGATAAAAAAATGGAACCACCGCCGTTGATATTTTTTGAAAAAGAGGGTACGGGTGGGGTTAAAAAGGGTGATGTGGGGAAAAGGAAAGAAAATTTACTGTCAAGTGAACCGCCGCCTTTGGTGCCAATCAGACGATAATGCAACACTGGAAGATGCAAATTGGGAGGGGGGAAACAGTGGGATTGGGGGGAATGTGGGTTGAGGGGATGGGAAGGGGGGGGGGGGGGGTTAAAAATTAATTTTCAAAAAAAAAAAATAAAAAAAAATTTAAAAATAAAAATTGGATTTTTTAATAAATTTCAAAAAGTTCATTCCATGTTCAACATGTTGCTGACATTTAGATCTGGAATATAAGTTGTTTCAAACGGAGCAGTTTCAACAAATGGCTTTGAGTTGTCACCAGTGTATTGACCAATGAAAAGGATACTAGACTTAGCACGCAGCATGAATATAAATGGATGATCGGCTATGAACTCCATTTCCCTGGATCTTGTCATTATCACTGTGGTGAAATTATCAGATTTAATGGATTAATAACTGCCACAAGGCTTAATCGAATAGAAATCCAGCACCAAGCCTGCATGACTCTGGCATGATACTGGAACTCATCGAGAAATTCAAACCAGCTTGGTGCCGGATTTCTGATCGATTAACCAACTTGTGCTTTTCAGATAACCACAATACTTACTGGTCACAGCAGCCGCCTCAGTTCCATCCTCATCAACCCTTATTATAGCTTTGTGGATTATTTTGTCGATATAAATCTGAGCACTTTTAGATCCTGATGACAAAATTCGATCGAAATTTGCTGTTTTGATATCAAAAATTTGTTTAAATCCCATCTGTTAATATTAAATTAGATTTAATGAATATTAAGTTATCACTTGAATTTTGCCGTCCCCCTCTCCCCCCCCCCCACTCTCTACCCCCTTTTCCCCCTATTTCTGATCTTCCCCTTTCCCCCTCTTGCCCCCTATTGCCCCCTCTTCCCCCTCCTCTCTACCCCCTTTTCCCCCTATTTCTGATCTTCCCCTCTCTCCCTCTTGCCCCATCTTGCCCCCTCTTGCCCCCTCTTGCCCCCTTTCCCCCTTTCCCCCCCTCTTCCCGGAATATTGACCCCTCGAAGTGTTTTGAACCACAGAGGGGGGGAGGGGGGGTCCACACTCTCTTGGCTACGCCTCTGCCTCTCGCTCATTGAAGGCAACCTTGAAGCAACACTCACATTTTTCAATGTCCCATCAACATCCTGCTCAAAACTGATGTTAAACTTAGGTATTGTCACTTTAACCTCAATCTCTCCCATTATTTTGTCAATTGAGGACCAATCAACCATTGACATGTTACTAATCAAACTTGGCAATCCATCTTTCTTGCGTGGAAGTACAAACAGCATTGTCATGTCTGAATTCTTATAAGGAAGTGACAGAACCGATGCATAATTAAGTTCCTCTATATAGCCAAAGGAAAAGTATGTTTTTTGGGTCATGAACTGAGCTGGAACCGTGTTGGTCTCGTCAAGGAAGAATTTTCCAGTGAAAGTATTTTTCTTAAGGAACTTGTACTGCCACGTGCCTTTAAAGTAGATGCAATTTAATAAAATCATTGTTATACCAGAATTGATAGCATTTTGATCAATGACTTCCATTATCATGTTGTGCGTCTTCTGTGCCACATATGAGTTGATCCTTTGAGCTGCTTGAACGTTCTGAGCGAAGGCAATTGACTCGATTTCAGCATTTAAGACTCTTTGGATTGTCAATTTGTAATTGTGTTGGGGCGTTAAGGACTCATTGACGTACATTATAGTTCCTGGAATTAAAAGATTGTTGATAATATTGATGCTTACTTGACTGTGCTGTGTCCTTACCAATCTCAAGTCCTTTAACATTTTTCAAATTTCTACTGAGCAGCATAAAGTTATTTTGAATCATGTTCATGCTGTAATTCTTTGGGAAATGCAATCCAGTCATCATTTCCATAAACGTTTGCTGACTCGAGCCAAAAAACAAGGCACTAACGGCAAAGTCTATTGATGCTGGTGATATAATGAAGCTTTCGGGTCTGGATAAGTTCTGGATGAATAAAGTTTGGTGAAGTCAAGTTAGAATGCAGCCAGACAGACGAACAGATCAATGAATTCTACAAACCTTGAACAAGTCGATAGCAAAGCTTTGTCTAGACAGCAAAAAAGTTCGATCCTGGGTTAGAGATGATTGAAATAATCCAATAAACATGAATAAAACCTTCATTTTGTTCAATTTTGTTCAAAAGTTGACTTGTAAATGACAAAAGTTTCTGCTAAAATTGTCATTTTTTAACATTTATGTTAGGAAGTTGTACTTTATTGAATTAACAGCTGTCTCAAATTTTTACAATAATATTTCTCCAAAAGGTCAAATTTTACATGAAATTGCTTTGTTTCCAAGTCCAAAAAAAAGATTAATTTTTTTTGAGAATACTTTGAATGCCAACATTAGGAATTGGTGACGTAACCCAATCGTCAGGGTCATTAAATGTTGGTGGTTGATCTCCAGTGAATTGTCCAATGAAGAGAATGGTTGGACCAGCTCGAAGCATGAACAAAAATGGACGATTAAATACAAGTGTCGGTTCCATTGATCTTGTCATGATTACTGTAAAATTTGAATTGATAATTCATGTTTGACTGCTGAATCTTTATTGATATTACCTGTTACCGCTGCAGCTACTGTTCCTTCTTCGTCAACTCTTATGACAGCTTTGTGAATGACTGTGTCGACATAGATGTTCGTGCTTTTTACTTGTGAAGACAATATTCGATCAAGACAGGCTTTCTTTGGGTCAAATATTTCTTTCATCCCCATCTGAGGAATTAAGTTGATAATTTTGAGTCATTTTATGTTTAAAAGTTTATATGTGTATTGATCAAGAACCAAGAACCAAGAACCAAAACCAAGAACCAAGAACCAAGAACAAAAACCAATAACCAAAACTAAGAACCAAGAACCAAAAACCAAAAACCATGAACCAAGAACCAAATAACAAGAACCAAAAACCAAGAACCAAGAACCAAGAAACATGAACCAAGATCCAAGAACCAATAACCAAGAACCATGAACTAAGAACCAAGAACCAAGAACCAAAGAATCAAGAACCAAGTACCAAAACCAAGAACCAAGTACCAAAAACCATGAACCAAGAACCAAGAACCAAGAACCAAGAACCAAGAACCAAGAACCAAAAACCATGAACCAAGAACCAAGAATAAAGATCCATGAACCAAGAACCAAGAACCATGAACCAAGAACCAAAAACCAAGAACTAAAAACCAAGAACCAAAAACCAAAAACCAAGAACCAAGAACCAAGAACCGTTCTTAGTGGTTTTTAGTAATTATCAATCTAGTCTCGTTCTGCCAGTCATTTACTCACATTTTTCAAAATACTGTCTATATGCGAATCAAACGTAATGTTAAACTTTGGCATTGTGACATTAACATTGACTACTCTCATATTCTTATCAACTGTTGACCAATCAAAGTCTGACATTTTACTGATCACATATGGAAGTCCAGTCTTATTTCTGGGCAGTACCAGCAACATTGTCATGTCAGAATTCTTGTATGGAAGTGACACGACCATTGATTCAAATTCGGATATATAGCCATAAGAAAACTTCGACTTTATAGTCATAAAGTCAACTGGAACTGTGTTTGTATTGTCAACAAAAAAATTGCCAGTGAATGTTAAGCTTTTATTGAACGTGTACAGCCATTCGCCTTTAAAATAGATGCAATTGACGAGAATCATTGTTGTTCCGGAATCAATTGAATCAGCATCAATCACTTCCGTTATCATGTTGTGGGTCTTTTCAGCAACAAATCCATTGATTTTTTCAGCTGCTTCAATATTTTGGGCAAAGGCAATTTGCTCAATGTCTGCATTTAAGACTCTTATGATTGTTGATTTGTAGCTCGGCTGAGGCCAAATTGTCTCATTGATGTACATTTTTGTTGCTGAAACATTTTAATATTTTTTTTGAGGTTAGGGATGAATCTGAATTTACGACTCACCAATTTCCAGTCCGCCAACTTTTTTCAGATTTCTATACATCAGCATGAAGTTGTTCTGAATATTATTCATGCTGTAATTCTTTGGATAATGCAGTGACGTCATCAATTCTAAGAACGTTTGCTGACTTGAACCAAAAAATAAGGCACTGAGTGCAAAGTCAACTGATGCTGGTGAAACTATTAAGCTTTCGGGTCTGGGTATGTTCTGGAAGATCCAAAGAAAATGTTTAAATTTTGTTAGTGCCTTTGAGGCATAAAAGGTTGGATCTGATGAATTTATGAACTTGTAAGTTAAGCTTTCGTTGATGTAACAGAACTGTGAAGGTCAAAATAGATGTAAATGTTCAAACCTTGTAAAAATTTGTAGCAAAACTTTGTCGAGACAGCAAAAAAGTCCGATCTTGTGATTGTGAAGATTCAAAATATCCAGCAAAAATGCACAGACAAACTAAAAAGTGATCTGAAATTTTGAACCAAATTTTATTGAAATTTCAACCTAAAATTAAATTATTCATCACCTTTAATTCCCATTTTTTTGCTTCCTCAATCCACAAATAAAAATTTAGAAATGACAAATATTTTCTATTCAATTCTCACTTTTCATGTCAGGAAGTTGTCAACTATTCGCGTTAACAAATTTTTTACACATTCACACTAAATTAATCAATTTCGTCGAATCAAATTTCAGATGATTTTTCAGACAGTTTGACAAGAACTTTTGGTTGGCAAGCTTTATATCATTTCTCTAGCTCTAGTCATACTCTTGCTATGACTAGAGAATAGCTTAAAATGCACTTTTTTCGCTTGTGCCTTGTTGATCTTCCTTTAGCTGCTATATGTGTATACTAATGTAAAGCAAGTCGGGTTTCGATGGGAATCGAACCGCACGACCTCAAAGGAGGCGATTTCTGACCACTCGATTAGAGTTCCCTGCCACTCGGCCACTGAGGTACTTATTCTCACTTCGGTTATCTGTCAAGCCACATACAACCAGTTTTACTGCTAGCCCTATGGGGCTGTTCACTTATTACGTAACGCGAAAAAATGACTTTTTAGACCCCCCCCCCCCCTGGTAACAAAATTTGTATGAAAAAACAAATTTCCTTGTTTGAATTGTAACAAAATCTTAGACCCCCCCTCCCCCTAAAAGCGTTACGTAATAAGTGAATGGCCCCTATGTTTAGGCCTTTTTACTATAGATTGCTATTCGAGTCATATCTAAATGCCTTTGGCTGTGACTCAAGATAGAAGCAACTAAACATAGTAGAAATCTCTGGTTTCTTGCATTAGCTCCGTGCCATCGAGTAAAAGCTAAAATCGGGTCATGTCCCCTTTTTTTTGGCCAAAAAAATGTCAACTAAGCACAAACTTTTTCGCATATGTAATATGCGTGGAATCCGGAACTGATATTAAATACAATAAATGCAGAACTGTCAATATCAGGTTCTGGTTCCTGGTTCCAACCAAATTCCACCAACACAGGACACATCATATACAGCACAAGCTGTCTGCAAGTCAATCTTTAACTCTTACAAATCGCAGTTAATTTTAAAACTTACTCACTTGTGTCGAACTTTTCACATTTATTTTTTTAACTTACCATGAAATTTATAAAACAAGTAAATCATTAGCTTAGTTGATGAACATGGAAATGAAGGATTTTTGCAATTTAGTTTGTTTTCAGGGCTTGTTATGATAAAGACTAAAGGAACAATTAAAAAAAATTCAGAAAATGTTTATAAAATTTGTTGTAATTTTGATGATTTTTGGAGTAAGTCAGTTTTTTGGAAGAGGCTTTGGTTGGCGTTAAAAAGGGGTCGAACGAATTTTTCTCAAAAAAAAAATGAGGGGAACACAACATTGTGGGGAAAATTTTTTTCATAAGGTTGTCTTCCCCTCGAAGTGAATCGAACGATCTTGCCGACGGAATTACAACTTTATTTATGAATTTCAGTACATCAGCACCCATGAAATTGTCCAAAATCCCGATGACCAGCCTGAAACCTCAACAAAATCAATCCAAGAAGACACAACAATTGAAAATATTCCTGATTCCACTAAAAATCCTGATTCCATTGATAGTCCTGAATCCACTGACAATCCAGACAATCCTGTAGCTCCACAAAATTCAACTGAAGCTCCAAAACCAAAAGAAGCTGAAATTCCAACACAAATTCAACAAGATGACATCCAGAGTGACACCCAGAACGACATCCAGCAATCAAGGCAGAATCTAATTATAAATCAAATAAGTTCACTGTCCGAACACATTCTCGATCTTGTTGGTGAGATTTTTTTAAGCAATATTCTTTAATTCTTTCACAATTTCGAAACCCAATTCACAGAAATGTACGCGAACCAAAACACTTTAAATGTCAAATCCCCAAAAAATTCCACAAAACGGCAATTTTTCTTGTCATTTATGACTGAAAAATCCAACGACTCAAATTTGATCCGCAAAATGACAGTCAACAATAATTTTCAAGCCACCAACATCGCTCCAACGCAAGTTTATGTTGAAAATGGAACTGGACAAAAGCAGCCTCCATCCCCAAACATTCAAATGACACTTCCTGGCATGAATCAGCAACAGCAACAGATTCCATTGCAAAATGAACAAAATTATCAAGACAGAAATTATGTGAATGAAGATCAAAGGCGATTCCCAAACTCATATCAGCAGCCGTATCCAATGCAGCGAGGTGTTACTAGATTTTATAATGATGAGTGACTTTATAAGTTGTTGAATAAAATTTGGGAATAAAATTTGGAATTTTTGTGTGATTTATTTAAGTGAGCCAACCTACTTACTTCTCTGGTCATCCAGATCAATTGTGATCCGTGACTACTTTTAGCTCTTAGGCACATAAAGCGCTGGCTACTGCTAGACAATCATGAGTGACAAGTGCATTACTTTCTTTGTCAATTGCTTCTTCCTTAGAATGTCTTTCCATAGTTTTTTTGCCTATGTTCTACAAAATCAGAGATGTAGCCAGGGGGTAGGGGAGGGGGGGCGAATGTAGTCTAGTTTTTTTAAAGTCACCAATTCAGTAATTTCATTTGTTTTTATTAATAATTCAATTATAAATGAAATTTAGCTACAAAACTGTTAATAACTGTCCTCAATAAAGAGCCAAAATGGAATCAGCACAATCAACTCATAACTTAGGTGGCACACATCCATGACCATCACTACTTGGATAGCACTGTGATCTTTTTAGCCCAGATCCAATTTTTAAAGATATTTTTGGTTTTGTTCCTGGTTGACGTCCACAGTTTGGTAAATGAACTTTGTCCATGACAGGACAGAAAATGTCTTGCTGTGTTTTTGGAGCTTCACTGTCTGTATTTTGTGGTGATTTGCCATCTTTTATAGATTTGCTGTTTGATTTTTCTGAGAGTTTGACATCCGGAAGTGCAACAACAGCCTGAAAATGAGTAAAATTGAAGTAAAGAATGAAAAAATTCTTTTAAAACTTTTGTTTTAATAAAAAAACAATTCGCCATTTTGGATTCCGCCATTTTGAAAAGTTGTTAAAGCGATCGTGGAGTGTCAAAAAGACAAATGAAGGCTTTTATATAGAATAACGAATCTCCATTCAATCTCTGAATTCCCCAAGCTTTCTTAGTTAATCCAAGATGCAGATTATGAGACATTCTAGAGTTTGAGCGTATAGAGGAGGAACGTACGGCTGGCTGGATTTCAAACTTCTAGATTTTGATGGATGTCGTTTATTTCTAGATTTTAAATTGATAAATAATACTTACTGATAAAAAGACAGCACTTAGTAATAAAGTAGCTGAATATTTCATTACTGATGTCTATCCACCTGGCTGTACCCTTCAAGACTGACTTCCTTCACTTAACAAAGTCAACTTAATTTAAATTGGATTTTTCCTCAAATTTGAATGGAAAATCATCTTGTTTTCATTAATTAGACATAATTTGTTGCTGAATTAGACCAAAGTCAAGCATCTAGTAATAAATAAAGCTCAATTCGTCCAAAAAAATTCAGTTTTCATCCAAAACTTGAGCTGACAACTTCCAAAATGAGAATCTTAATCAACATTTTATTTGGATTTGCAGTTTTAATATTAAATCAAAATTTGGTAAGAAATTGAACATTTTTAAAATTTTCATGAATTTAATTTTAAATTTTCCAGCAAGTTTCTGCCAACATTCGCGGACCTTACAACCCTGATCTAATCTACCGATGTGTCAAAAATCCTACGGAGAATCCAGAAATGTGCGTTCAAGAATTTCAAAAATACATCGCAACTATGAATCAATTTACAACACAACAGGATGTTCCTTATCTTGAGCAACTCAAAAATAATGGTTATAATGGAATCTATCCTGCCAGGCGTGGATGAATTGATATTTTAAATAAAATATTAAATTAAATTCAAATTAATGTTTTTTTAATTATCAATTGAGGAAGTCAAATAAAAAATATAAAAAGAGTTGGAAATTTTTGAATTTGGTGTAGCTTCAGGCATGTCCAGGGTTACCCAAGATAGCTCTATAAATCGAACTCTAGATTATAGTTTACCTTAAACTTTTAAGATAAGAGTCAAAACTTGAAACGAAACCCATCTAGCATCATTCAAGGGTGTCGACCTAATCGACCGATTCATCAGTTCCGCACCATTAGCAAACAATTAAAAATAACTCAATTAAAACAAATTATCCCTGCTTGATTGACCAAATTGTCACAGTTTTCAACTGATTTGTTTCAATTATTAAATGAGAAATTAAAATTTCAATTTTTCAGCTATAAAATGAAGTTAAATTGCCACAAATCAACACATTTGTTTTGCAAGCTGAGCAGCTAAAACTTATGAATTGAAAATGAGTTGCTTAAAATTAATTAATTTGGGACTTTTGGTCCTGTTTGTGTGTCAAGTTTTGGTAAGAATTTAAGGAAGGATTTTGAAACTAGGGGGTAAACAACTTGATGGAAATTTTTTTAAAAACTTTAATTATTGAATGATTCCCAAAAATATTTAGAAATTCCTAATCTTTCAAATAAATTTTTTCATCAAGCCGTTTACCCCCTGAAACAATCTTAGTCTAATAATTGATCATTTCATTTTAATATTGCAGCTTGTAAATGCGTCACCAAGGAAAACTACAAGCAGTGAGTTTGGACCAAGCGTTGCCAAGGATTTGAGGAAATTTGAATCAAAAAGAGGTCCAAAATTGTGAGTAAAATTATATTAACCTTTAAGGTTGCAATTATGATGCTCCAGGGGGAACACAACTTGGTGTTTGATTTTTTAATAATTTTCTTCTGGCTGTTTAACCAAATGACGAAGAAAATCGATTAAAAACCTTGAAAAAGTTTTTTAATTTCCAACAATTTTTTTCCACAAAGTTGTTTCCCCCCTGCAAAATTAATCCTTACTTATCCTTAACAGAATCGAAAACTTTAACGATGAAGAAAGTGACAACGACGAAAACGACACAAAATGGCTAGACGAGCTCCTTGAAAACGACAAAACCTTAGAATCAGAATCAGACGATGATGACACAAAAGACGAGTCAATTGATTATGATGATGCCGAAGAAGAAGAGTATCCATCTGATGACAAAGATGAAATTGAAGTTGATAATGTGGACGATGCAGAAAATGATGACGATCAGGAAATTGAAGCACCAAAACGTCGTTTTATGGAACCTTCAGTAGTTGCTAGAGACTGGAAATTGAATAAAGTGAACAAAAATCGCAGACATAAAAGATGGGCACCGACGGACACACAAAATAACAAAAGAGCTCACTGGATTCGAGTTGGAACACAAAATGAGCCATGCTTAAATTATCCGTTCTGCAATAAGCAAAGAAAAGGAAAAGTACAGCCAAAAAAGCCATGCCTGAACTATCCATTCTGTAATAAGCAATAGTTTGACTTAATGGAGCTTTACAACCCATCTGATGACCATAAAGAGTAATTTACAGCTCAATATGATGTTCCTTATCTTGACAAACTGAATCTTAATGAATAAAATACCAAATTAAATTAAAATAAATTTTTTACATTTCTTTTAAAAAATAAAAACTTGAAACTTTGAGAACAAGTTGAATATTTGACTATCGGGAAGCTTTAGGATAGCTTAAGGGCAATTTTTGAGAACAACTTTGTATTGGGTTGACAGCAATTGGCTCTTTCAGTTTCAAGACCTAGTCGCTTAGCAGGAGGGGGAGGGGGGGGGGGGAGAGTGAAGGTTGGAAAACAAGTCTCCTTTCGTCAATGGACATTTCTTCATTTTGCTAGTGTTTTGGCAGGGTTGAAGAGAGTACTAGTAATTTACTCAATTATAAGCAATTATTTCTGCTTAATTAACCAAAATCTTCACAGTTTTCGACCAATTTGTTTCAATTATTATTTTTTGCTATAAATAAAAGCGATTTTCCGTAAATCAACACATTTGTTTTCAAACTTGTGCAGCTCGAACCCGTTAATTGAGAATGAATTGTTTAAAATTAATTAATTTGGGACTTTTGATCCTGTTTTTGTGTCAAGTTTTGGTAAGCATTTAAAGACATTTTCCAACATGATGGAAAAATTTCAACAAATTCTTACATAACACCAATTTGTGATACCCCCCCCCCCCTCCCTCCTCCCCCATTCACTCCAACCTAAATCATTCAAAGTCTAATAATTGAACATTTTCTTCATTAATATTGCAGATTACAAATGCGTTGCCGAGAAAAACTGCAAGCGGTGATGAACACGAGTTCGGACCAAGTGTTGTCAAAGATTTGAGGGGTTATGGAACAAAAGGAAGTCAAAAATTGTGAGTAAAATTAGATTAACCTTCCAAAAGTGAATGCGCATAGCCAGGAAGGTCTTGTCCCCCTTTTAAGCGTTTTAGGCCGTGATCTCGCTAAGCACCTGCAAGAGTGCATCCAAGATGAAACAGGGGGAAAACAACTTATTGTATAATTATTTTATAATTTTGTGGTTCCAAAAATATCAAAAAATAATTAAAATTTTCCATCAACTTTGACCAATTTTTCACATCATGTTGTTTCCCCCTTGTAAACTTATTACTTCCTTATGCCTTTTAGAATCGACACTGAAAATGAATCCGATGACGACGACACAAAATGGCTTGAACCAGATGATGACGAAACAGAAACTGATGACGATCAGGAAATTAAAAATTCAGGACGTCGATTTATGAAGCCTTCAGTCTTTGTTAGTGACTGGCAAACGGACATGAATCAGAGACTTGTCAACCAAAAACTAATGGAATCAAAACCATGGAAAAGAGATGAGCCATGCTGGGACTTTCCTTTTTGCGGCTAATTTGGAATGGGATATGTGGAAACAATAAAATCATGTCTGAGTCTAGCGTAAAGACAACTCTTGACAAATGAAAATTTAACATATTAAATAAAGTGAACCTGCTTAAAAATCATAAGCAAAAGTGTGTTTTATTTGTTATTAGAGGACGAAGCTTGATGCCAAAGATTAATGGTCTCTAAAAACATCAAATGGTTCATTTGTTTCGATTTTCTATGGTAGCTTGGTTCGGTTTCTAGGTCTACCCTCAGGACCCTCAATCTGAGATTAGGGTAGTGCACTCTCGGGTCATATGAACTAGGCCATGATGCAGAGCTAAGATGGGGATTAGAGTTATGATCCCTTTTAGTCTCAATGATCCCTGTCCCATGTAGCCGATGATGTAAGATCATACAACGTCTACTTCCTTCTTTACGTTGACACGTAACTAGGGGGAAGGGGGGATTTGGGGGACAAATCCCCCGACGTTAACAGCAATTTTTTTTTTCATTTTGCTAGGAGAATGTAAAAATCATATTTTTTTTCGTCCCCCTCTTCAAATTTCTGGCTACGCCCCTGTTTCCATTAATTGATTTTTGTTAATTTATGTTTTTTAACTTCCAACTTTAAAAAATTATTTGCGCTTTATTAAAAAATTGAACGGAACTTATTGAAAATAGTTCAATTTTTTGGATTTAATTTAAAATACTTTGGATAAATACATTTGACTGACTTCAATTTAGTTCATAAATTTATAAGTTCTGCAAGCTTGCTGGCAGTAAACCATGATTTTTTGCAAGACATTTGATCTTGTTCTTATAATCGTCCTTTTGAATCAATTGTCGGTAAGTAAAGAAGTTACAACTAAGGCTGGTTGCTCCGGTATGGTAACTGAATCATGTTCAGGATGTAGAGGAAAGGATGTAGAACAGATAAATCAAATTCCTAATTGCTTATGATTTTGATCAGTTCGACATTATTGTTCATAATTAGCCCTTCAAGCTATGCTTTTTCGATATCGAAGTCGAGACCGAGACTTCCCGGAAAAGTCTCGGTCTCGGTCTCGGTTCTGAGAATTAGTCCAGACCGAGAAATCGAGAAGGCATACTTAAAGCTGGTTTTGTCAGGTTCCTTGACATGCAGTCAAGATAAGCTCTACCCAAGAAACCAGTCTTAGCTTAGATTTTAACCTTTAAAAAAATTCTAGTTTGCAGTTGAATCAAAAAAGCTATTGAATGACGTCGATGGTAATGCTCGAGATCTAAAACTTCAAGATGACTACTTTCCCAACAGTTTCTACATGCACGAAATTCTACAAGATATTCAGCGTCGTCCAGGTTATCAAGATGAGCTGAATGATGAGGAAGTGAACAGTAAACCGTTAAGAAAGACACAAGGCATTATCCGGGTAGGAACGCATCGCAAGTCTACAAACTCTGTGTCCGATGATAGAACCAAATATCCTGGTAAAATCATCGCATCATCAATGGCACTAAAGCCATCATTGAAAAATATATCAGATGAAAATGACACGAAGCTATCCAAACGAGGATTGTTTCCAAAAAAGCCTGGCAAGAAACTTTTGAAAAAGGTCTGTAAATATGTAAAAACACGAAAAGAACCCAAACCTGTCGCAGTAAAGCTCCAAAAGAATGTTGAATATAATGGCTGGGATGGACTAAGAAAAAAATTGGCACAACCATGTCTCGTCTATCCTGACTGTGACAAAAAACTTGGGTGAAATCAAAAGCTGGACCTTACTTACTTTGGTTCTTAACTTGGTTCCTCTTAACTTGGTTCCTCGTTTCTTAAAATTAATGACCTCTTTTGATTGAATAAAAATCAAACAAAACATTTTGTTGCTAATTAAATTAAAGATTTAAATTAAACTCCAGTGAAGCACCGCGCAAAAGATATTAAATTTTTAATCATATTTAAGTGACTTTTCTGGAAATTGATAAGAACTAAGTTCATCAAATTTTAGTGTAAGTATAAAATTGAGTGCATTTTGTGTCTTAATTCAGTCAACTTAAAGACATGAAAGATCTTTTTATATTTTTTGTTGTGACTATTTTGGCTCTTGCAAGCAGCCACGTCATCAACACCGATGAACAGCTGCCAATTTTTGAAGCTTCAGATTCCACAAACATAACAGCAGCTAACATTGCATGCACAATTAACATTAACACACAAGCTGGATCTCCACAGCCTGTTTATATCCGTCCTGGCACAAATCAGTTCTTTCATCCAGCAAATCGCAATGGAGAGATTCAAATGACTGCAAATCAAGCTATTGAGCTTTGGTGCTCAGGTAATTGGGCAAGTCCAGCAGGTGCACCAAATTTAATCACTGCTACATGCGTCAGTGGACAGACATTCCAATATAATGAATATACTCTCAATTTCAATGAATTCCGATGCACTCAATTTCCACGATGGACAGCACGAAGAACAACTACAGGCTGCTTTAATGGTGGAATTTTGGTTGATTTTGGATTTCAAGTTACCACAAGATGGCTTCATGTCTACACAGTTTGTCATGATTTGGTGCTTGAGACTAATTGGTTCTCGAAATATCAGCTGACACCAATTTCGGATGCAAATCAGAGAAATGTTAATCGTCCAGACTGGTCACAAGCTGGATTCTTTACAGCAAACAATGTTGACCAACTTTATGGGAGAGAAAGGCAAAGGGAGACAATTGCAATCATATTAGAAGATCAAGCAGCTGCTGATCGTTTTATTGAGCAAACTGGTGAAGTGTACTTAGCCAGAGGACATATGGCAGCCTTTACTGACTTCATATTTGCCACAGAACAGCGAGCGACAATGCATTTCCTTAATGTCGCACCACAATGGCAGACATTCAATAATGGCAATTGGGTAGCAGTGGAATCATCAACAAGACGGTTTGCAGGGGATCGTGGACTGACTTTGGATGTTTATACAGGAACTTGGGGCAATGGACAATTGTGGAATACAGCAGGAAGTTGGAGAAATATTTTCTTGGACTGGCCAGCTCAAAGAATTCCAATGCCAATGATTTATTATAAAGTTCTAATCCACCAAAAGACATTAAGTGGAGTTGTGCTGATTGGCGTCAATAATCCACATTTAACATTGACTGACATCCAAACTCGTGGATATATTGTCTGTCCTGATGTCAGCAATCAAATTAATTACATATCTTGGAACACGACTAACATAAGACGAGGATACTCGTATGCATGTGAGGTTCATGAATTTACTCGAGTCATTCCTCACATCCCTGCAATAAATAATATTCGGTATCGATTACTTACATGATAAGCTTAAGATAAGAAATAAATAAAAAAGAAATTTTATCAGTCAACAAGCTTAAATGCTTCATTTGGGGTACTTAATTTATAAAGTGGACGTCGATTTTGATTTATTTTTATTCCTTATCATCTGCAAAATGTTATCTTAACTGACTTATATCCGTACTTCCTCTAAAATCACATTGCAAATTTAATTAAGGTGGTTTGTCAATGACTGATAAAGGTAGATAAAGATAGGATGTCTGTTCTGCTGTATATTAATGAACATGACTGAATAAAATGCAGAGTTTATAGCTTGTGACCTAGTGTTGGACCTTGCACAAACATGATTAGATTTGCCTTAGATTATCACATACAGGAATCCATGTTAAAAGTGCAAGCTTCCGTTTTCACATCCACAATCCAAAATTGCAATCTCACAAAGCTGCTAATCTCAAGTTGGCACTTTTCACAATTTAAGTGCGCACTTTATTTTGACGCAGTCTCGATTTAATCATTAAATTTTCCCATTCGCTAACAAAAGCCACTTTTAAATCTAGTCCTTAAAATCTATACCCTCAATTGGCACATTCCTATAGCACACCTCCCACACGTGAGATTTATTTTTAACTTTAATTGACGTTCTTTAAATAATTATCGATTGCTCAAGGGATGGATATTTAGGTCAATTGTGATAGCTTATACATTACAGCATGTTTAAGATGAACCATCGGACACTGAGTCGGATAGCCTTAATAATCTAAATTAAAGGAAACAAAAAGTTCCATCCCTTGATTGATTTGATGCTGACATCATTTCTCATTCTTATCTGAAACAATATTCGCGGGTATAAATTTAGTCGCAATTCGCGTCAGTTCCTTCAGTTTCATCAAGATGTCTTTGCAAACAGTTTCGGTATTTTTGGCTATTTTGGCTCTTTCCAGCAGCCACGTCATCAACTCTAATGAATTGCCACCAATTTTTGAGGATTTCGACTCAACAAACATAACAGAAGCTAACATTGCATGCACAATTGAAATCAGCACTCAAACTGGATCTCCACAGCCTGTTTACATCCGTCCTGGCACAAATCAGTTCTTTCATCCAGCAAATCGCAATGGACAGATTCAAATGACTGCAAATGAGGCTATGGAAATGTGGTGCTCGGGTACATGGGCAAGTCCAGCAGGTGCACCAAATTTAATCACAGCTACATGCGTCAGTGGACAGACATTCCAATATAATGGAATTAATTTCAACTTTAATGACTTCCGATGTACTGGATGGCCATGGTGGACATCTCGAAATACAGGAGATAAATGTTATGGCAATGGAGTTCTTGTGGACTTTGGATTTCAAGTTGATAGTCGATGGCTTCATGTTTACACATCATGTCATGACTTGGATCTGGAAACAACTTGGTTTGTGAAGCATAAGTTCACACCAATTTCTGATGGCAATCAGAGAAGTGTCACACGTCCATCCTGGACACAATCTGGATTCTTTACATCAAGTAATGTCAATGGACTGTACACAAGACTTACACAAACAGCAACAGTAGCAACAATTTTGGAAGATCAAGCAGCTGCAAATCGTTTTATTGAAGCAGATCCAAGTGAAGTTTTCCTTTCTCGAGGCCACATTGCAGCCATGACTGACTTTATCTTTGCCACTGAGCAACGTGCAACCTTTCATTTCCTTAATGCAGCTCCACAATGGCAAACATTTAATGGCTATAATTGGGTTTCAGTTGAAATATCTTCAAGGATCTTAGCAAGTGATCGTGGAATTAATTTGGATGTCTATTCAGGAACTTGGGGTAATGGACAGTTGTGGAACACAGCAGGAAGTTGGAGAAATATTTTCTTGGACTGGCCAGCTGGAAAGATACAAATGCCAATGATTTATTATAAGCTTTTAATCCATCAAGAGACATTAAGTGGTGTTGTGTTGATTGGTGAGTAAGATAGTGATAAGTTTGGAAGTAAAAGTTGTTGAGCTAGATTAGATTGGACAGGTTTTGATTGTGTTGTGAAGTTGTGACTGTAAATATTCCCTGATATCCTTTAATAACCTCTTATATCTATGTATTGAATTATAATAATGAAAAATCCTTACCAAATCCCTAAATATCCCTTAATATCCCAAAAATCCCTTAAAATCCCTAATGTCAATTAACAATCTTAAAAATCCCCAAATAGCTTTAAATATCCCCTAATATCCTTAAATATCCCCAAATATCCCTAAATATCCTTAATATCCCTGATGTCATTGTTATTCTCAAATATTTTTAAATATCCCTTAATTTCCTCAAATATCCTCAAATATCCCTGAATATCCTCAGATATGATTTAATCAGACATTTCCAAAATTTAAATTTGAGCTCACCAAACGAATCTTTTTAAAATCACATAAATAAATTCTCATCTTACCTCCATACAGGTGTCAACAACCCACACTTATCCCTCGCTGAAATTCAAAATCTTGGATACATCATCTGCCCAGATGTAAGTGATCAAATCACATATGTGTCCTGGACTAAGGGCGACTTGAGACGAGGATATTCATATGCATGTGAAATTCACGAGTTTGTCAGAATTGTGCATCATATTCCTGAAATTGAAAATATTAGATATCAATTGCTTGTGTAGAGCATTTGTGGAATTTTTAATAAAATTAAGTTCATCTGGTTAAGTATTTTTGAGATTTTTAAAGGAGTTTTTCAGATCGTTTAAGGAAGGCAATGTTTATAGACTAAATTACAGCAAGGTTCGAGGTCAATCAAGTCTATTCGTGTCTAATCTACTGTCTTAGTGACCTCAATAAGCTTATCTTCTAAATCATTGTGAGAAAATGACAGCAAAACAGCAATTTTAAAAACTAATCAAGCAGCAATTAAGATATAAATTGGGAATTACCCAGGAACGAACAAAAGCCATCTGTCAAAATATTTCACATTAATCCTTGGTATCAGCACAAAACACACCTACGGGTCGTGGTTTAAATCAAATCTTGAAATTGTTATCGATAAAATTTCTTAATCTTATCAAGAAATGCTTTCGCGAGTATAAAATTCTTCGCATTTCTCGTCGGTTCCTTCAGTTTATTTTGAGATGTTTTTGCAAACAGTTTCGATATTTTTGGCTATTTTGGCTCTTGCCAGCAGCCACGTCATTAACAGTGATGAGCAGCTGCCAATTTTTGAAGCTTCAGATTCCACAAACATAACAGAAGCCAACATTGCATGCACAATCGATATCCATACACAAACTGGAACTCCACAGCCTGTTTACATCCGTCCTGGTACGAGTCAGTTCTTTCATCCATCAAATCGTAATGGACAGATTCAAATGACTGCAAATCAAGCTATTGAAATGTGGTGTTCAGGCACATGGGCAAGTCCATCAGGTGCTCCAAACTTAATCACAGCTACATGCGTCAGTGGACAGACATTTAGGTATAACAATGCAAATTTCAATTTCAACAACTTTCGGTGCTCTGGATGGCCTGCATGGACAGCACGTCGATCAACAGCAAGATGCTTCAATAATGCAATTTTAGTTGACTTTGGCTTTCAAGTTGCCACACGATGGCTGCAAATTTACAGAGTTTGTCATGATTTAGTGCTTGAAACGAATTGGTTTGCTCATTATACATTCACACCAGTTTCTGATGCTAATCAAAGGAACGTTGAACGTCCTTCATGGACACAAGCTGGCTTTTATACATCCCTCAATGTCAATGGACTATACACAAGACTTACCCAAAGGTCGACAGTAGCTACAATCTTAGGTGACCAAACATCTGCGAATAGATTTATTGAAAATGATCCAAGTGATGTGTTTATGGCACGAGGTCATATTGCAGCCATGACTGACTTCATTCTTGCCACAGAACAGCACGCAACCTTCCATTTCCTCAATGCAGCACCACAATGGCAGACATTTAATGGCGGCAATTGGGTGTCAGTTGAGATCTCATCAAGACGACTTGCAGCTGATCGTGGAATTAATTTGGATATTTATACTGGAACTTGGGGTAATGGACAGTTGTGGAATACAGCAGGAAGTAGACGAAGTATTTTCTTGGACTGGCCAGCTCAAAGGATTCAAATGCCGAGAATTTATTATAAAGTTTTAATTCATCAAGCTAGTTTGAGTGGAGTTGTGTTGATTGGTGAGTAGAATGGGAATGGAATGGGTTTGAGGTCACTTAGGGGTGCAGGAAGGGATGGGGTATAGACTATTGGAAGCTCAATTAGTATGGATTAGGTTTGAACCTAGAAATGGCTTAAGAACTCAAGTCTTAATCAAATTTTTCATTCCCAGGCGTCAACAATCCTCACTTAACCTTAAACGACATCCAAACTCGTGGATACATCATCTGCCCAGACGTGAGCAGTCAAATCAGCTACGTCACATGGTCACGAACCAACTTAGTCAGAGGATTTTCCTACGCATGTGAAGTTCATGAATTTACAAGAATTGTTCCACATATTCCAGCAATCAATAACATTAGATATAGATTGTTGACATAAAGTCTGGCTGTGGGCGCTATACAAAGGTCAATTTGAGATAATAATTGTTGATTTTTTTATAGAACAAAATAAAGGAAAAAGAACGATAAGAACTGAAATAAAAAGAAAATTTTAATTGATTTTTAATTCATTTTTATTTCTCACACAAGCTTATCATGTAAGTAATCGATACCTAATGTTATTTATTGCAGGGATGTGAGAAACAACTCGAGTAAATTCATGAACCTCACATGCATACGAATATCCTCGTCTCAAGTTAGTTCTCGTCCAGCTGATGTAATTAATTTGATTGCTGACATCAGGACAGACAATATATCCACGAGTTTGGATGTCAGTCAATGTTAAATGTGGATTATTGACGCCAATCAGCACAACTCCACTTAATGTCTCTTGATGAATTAGAATTTTATAGTAAATCATTGGCATTGGAATTCTTTGAGCTGGCCAGTCCAAGAAAATATTTCTCCAACTTCCTGCTGTGTTCCACAATTGTCCATTGCCCCATGTTCCTGTATAAACATCCAAAGTCAGTCCTCGATCAGCTGCAAAGCTTCTTGTTGACATTTCTACTGCCACCCAGTCACCATTATTGAATGTTTGCCATTGTGGTGCAACGTTAAGGAAGTGGAAGGTCGAGCGTTGTTCTGTGGCAAGAATGAAGTCAGTCATTGCTGCCATATGACCTCTAGCAAGGAACACTTCGCTAGTTTCCTCAATCCAACGATCAGCAGCTGCTTGATCACCTAAGATTGTTGCTATTGTTGCCCTTTGTGTAAGTCTTGTATATAAAGTGTCAACATTGTTTGCAGTAAAGAAGCCTGCTTGTGACCAGGACGGACGTACAACATTTCTTTGATTAGCATCTGATATTGGAGTCAGTCTGTATTGAGTGAACCAATTAGTCTCTAGTGCTAGATCATGACAAACTGTGTAGACATGAAGCCATCTTGTGGTAACTTGAAATCCAAAATCAACTAAAATTCCACCATTAAAACAGCCTGTAGTTGTTCGTCGTGCTGTCCATGCAGGCCATCCCGAACATCGGAAGTCATTAAAGTTGAAATTAATTCCATTATATTGGAATGTCTGTCCACTGACACATGTTGCTGTTATTAAATTTGGTGCACTAGATGGACTTGCCCAGGTCCCTGAACACCACATCTCCATAGCCTCATTTGCAGTCATTTGAATCTGTCCATTGCGATTTGCTGGATGAAAGAACTGATTTGTACCAGGACGGATGTAAACAGGCTGTGGAGTTCCAGTTTGTGTGTGGATATCGATTGTGCATGCAATGTTGGCTTCTGTTATGTTTGTGGAATCTGAAGCTTCAAAAATTGGCAGCTGCTCATCACTGTTAATGACGTGGCTGCTGGCAAGAGCCAAAATAGCCAAAAATACCGAAACTGTTTGCAAAAACATCTCAAAATAAACTGAAGGAACCGACGAGAAATGTGAGAAATTTTATACTCGCAGAATCGTTTCTAGATAAGAACAAGATATATAGATGTGCTCATACAAAAATATCGCAGTTTTTAAACGTCAAAAATTTGAATTTTCTAAAAACACTAACACTATAAAAGAAAATTTTCAATTTTTGTTTTGCAAAATTTTCAACTTTCTGTTAAGTTTTGTTGATACAGGAGTATTGCAAATGCTTTGCTATAATTTAAAGAAACTGACTTAAGACAAATGTTGTTGCATCTGTCGATATTTAAATGAAAACTTGAAAATAGAAAATTTTAAAAATTTTTGTTTGTATAAGTACAAAAAAAATAGTATGGTCGAGTATGGTCAAGTATACTCTGTATGAGCCCATCTATATATCTTGGATAAGAATAAGAAATGTTATCGATCGGCTTGATAGCAATTTAAAGGATTAAGTTGTGGTGAAAAGTTAAGCTTTGCGAACAGAAGTTGAAGTTTGTGTAAAATTTGATTGGTTTTATTGAAATTTAATCTTTTTCCTGTGACAAGGATGTTAAGTGCCTTGCTGGTCGAATAGGTAAGGTGCTTGGCTCAAATTTGGTATGGTAACTCGAAGGTCGTCGGTTCGAATCCAGCCATTTCCAAATTTGTTCTTTTTCAGAAGTTTAGATACTTCGACTGCTTAATGTACGAGATCAATCCATAATTGGGCATTTGGGCAACGTTGGATTAAGGAACGGATCAGGAACTTGAAGTGTAGCGGGAGAAATAGGAACGAGAGCTACAAGATTACCTTATAATGGAATATTGTCAGAACGGACCTGAAATGTATCACGTCACGCCCACAGAAGATTAAAACGAGAGCCTGAATTTAATCGAAAACCTAGATTTGAAGATTAGAAGCTTGATTCTACTTCACCCATAGTGATATGAAATGTATCACTAATCAATGTAAAAAGTAAAAACATGTAAAAATACTAATTCTTCCGGACGGTAACGTCGACAAATAAATAATAATAATAATAATAGTCTAGTACTTCCTTGACTGACTATCCACGGACTCATAAGTTAACCATCAGATTGAGTACAAAGTTCTAAGTAGTAAGAAAGGGTTCGTTTTTAAATGACGTCAGATCAAAAAAATCTGTTGTTTTAAAGCAGAGTTGTCTAAACTGAGTGCCGCGGCACACTAGTGTGTTGCAGATTTTTTTTGAAATGACCAAGTCTTATCTCGCGGTTGAGAAGTTTGGAAAACACTGTTTCTGAGCTTTTCAGCCCCTTTCTCCTGTGACGTCATTTATGAACGATCCCAAGGTCGTAGGAATAGGATGCAATAAGAGTTTATGCTTCAAGCGCCTCTCAAAAGGTCAATAAATCAAAAGCTTACCAAACAAAATTTAAAAACTTACGTAACGGCTTTCAAAAAATTCAAAAATAACCACACTGTTGCTCAATGCTACCAAAATAACTGAGCAACATCACCTTCACTCAGTCATACCCCCTCGACACGATATCGAACACATTTGTGTGAGAGAAAAACAGAGCAAATTGCATGTAAAATTCTCTCAGAGCATAAAGAGCTGCTGAGTAGCAGAGCAAGTGAGAGAAACAGAAAAAAAAACAAGTGAAGAAAAAAAAGTAAATAGACAAGAAAGACAGAGCGAAAGATTTTTTCACACAATCGGACTTGTCGTGGATAAAATCGAAGTTAAAAAAGAGGTCTTTGGCATAAAATTTTTAAATAAATAAAATAAAGTTATTGTGTGGATTGATAAAGTCACCAAATTGTGACTGTTTTGGTTGCCGTACAACCAACTTTGCCATATCAAGTAAAAAAAATTTAAAATCAGTGAAAAATTATTTTAGATAAAAAAAAATAATTTTTTTTTCTCCACTTTTGTGCAAAGGAGCGACGCCATTTTTTCTCTCCATAGGAAAAAAATTTCATTCCTCGGTGCTGTCGGAAGTTACAAAAAAAATAATTGTGAAATTTCAGTGAAGTGAAAATTTTATTTTTGTGACGTGATTGAGAAATTGTCCGGGAAGTGACCGTTGATGGCAATTTAGCCCCCAGGAAAAAAAAAATAAAAAAAAATCGAAAAAGTGAAAAAAAATTTTTGTTGACTAAACCATCAAAAAAATGAGGATTTTCGGAGTTGCTGTTGCTGTTGTCATCTTAGCACTCTCATGTCATGCCATTGACAGTGAAGAGTCAGCCGATCGAGATGACTTTTACGATTCACGAGGTGAGTCAGACATGTCACCCACATTTTTTTTAAGTTTGGCAACAACAAACTCTTTTTTTGACTGCAATTTTAAATGTTTTAAGTTAATTTAACAAGTAAAAAATCTCAAGTGTGGCTAAAGCGCATTTGTCTTTGACACAGTTTCGAATGTTGCTCAGGTAGCGATGCATTTATAATGATATGCAAATGAAACTGTGATGTTAACTACAAATACAATATTACTGTGCATTGTGGTAGACTGAGATGAGACTTTTTGTAATATCTCGCTGTGGGGCAGGTTCGGATGGATTTTATTTTGGAATTTTTGAATTGTTTTGTGAATTTTTTAATCCAAATTTAATGGAATTTAAATTTGAAAATTAATTTTTTGATGAATTTTGGTCAATTTTTGTTGATTTTTTGTGAATATATTGGAAGTTTAGAGTCTGGAGGCTTCATAATAGTGACCCAAGGGGTAAACAGCATGAAGAGAAAATAATTTGGTATGAATTTCACTTCAGTGACTCATCAGAGACCCGTCAGTGGCTATAAAAGTGATCCGAGGGGATAACAGCATTATGGGAGAGAGTTTAACATTATTTTTCTACCAAATACAGTCTGTGACTACTGTAAACTATAGCAGTGATCCAAAGAGGAAGCCACAAATGGAAAAAGCTGGAAAATTTAAGAATTCTTATGTCCTCATCATGTTGTTATCCCCTTGCAGTGATCCCTGGGACCTGTTTCTAGAGCTACACGGGGTACTCTTCCCTAGTCTCATTATCGCTCCATAGTATTCCTAGAAACCGGACCCAGGAGTTTCCAACAGTAGCCTCATTTAAAACCTAAAATATGAATCTATTTAGTCATCAAATTGAAATAAAAATAGCCACCAACGAACATAACCAACATAAAAAGTCCCATTCATACAGCAACTGACACTGTGAAATTTGAATCACCAAATAAAAATTTGATATCTTCATTTTACAGCACAAAGAATAAATGTCCACATTTGTGCATGATCGTCTGAATGGGCAATAACAATAACAATATTTGACCGCCATATGTGGAAATTTTCCACTTCCAAGTCATTTTTGTGTCAAATTACATTAGTTTTTTTGATGTGCTTAGGAATAAATATTGATGACTTATTGTCAGCTTTGATTGAATGTCTGCAAATGAGGAGCTGGTCTAGGAGTGAAATGTGAGCGGTTGGCTGTGATTTATGTGGAATTTTATTGATTTTTGATGGGAACTTGCAGCAATTTTCGATGATTTAATCAATTTCTAGCAACATTCGCACATAAAATCGCAACGAAAATACACTTGACATTCAGAAAATTCGCTCAAATGACTTGACTCAATGACTCTAAAAATAGCGGCAGACATAAAATCTTACACACTTCGACTTCCTCGCAAGCTAAACAAATTCATCCCCTTGCTTCCATAGAATCAAGTTTCAATTAATTTGTTCAAAAATTAATATTTTTGCCACTCAATTTTGCGAATATTTTTTTCGATTTATATTCCGATGATGAATGTTTGGCACAATAAAAAAAAATTTATGATCGTGAATTTTTTACAGCCAATAAACTATAGACCGTAATTGTCAATGTTTGTTTAACAAGTAGCACAACACAAACTTCTTTTTTTTGATTGATAATGATCGTAAAACATTTAATTTTGTTGGCGTCGATGTCTGATTGTGAATTTTTGATTGAGTTTTATCGGGGAATCCACCATAAAATGATAATTTAAATGCTGTGTCGTGTGTGACTTTTTTTTGAGTATTAATTATGTTTTTGAGGGTGTTTTAGGGATAGTCGTATTGTGTGAATGCTCCTGAACATAATTACTTTAATGTGAATGCACCTGAGCATCACTCCTCTAGTGTGAATGCACCTGAACATAGCTCCTCTAGTGTGAATGCACCTAAACTTAGCTACTCTAGTGTAAAGGCACCTTAACATAGCTTCTCTAGTGTAAATGAACCTGAATATAGCTACTCTAGTGTAAAGCACCTGAACATAGCTATTCTAGTGTAAAGGCACCTGAACATAGCTACTCTAGTGTAGAGGCACCTGAACATAGCTACTATGGTGTAAAGCCACCTGAACATAGCTTTTGTAATGTGAAGTAACCTGAACTTAGATACTCTAGTGTTAATGCACCTGAACTATAAAACTGCTAGTGTGAAGTCACCTGAAAATTCAAAATTTCCACTGAACCTTGAATGATTTATTCGTACAAGATTTCCACATTAATTTAAAAATAAAAACAATATTGAATCACACATTTCTCAAAATACGAAAAAAAATCAACGAAAAGAAAAAAAAGCCGCGACCCAATTAATTGCCCGCCTGTCAAGTTAAAAGAAAAGCAAAATAAATCTCAATAAAATTCATCAACAAATCCCACCGCCAAAAAAAATGAGACCATCAACCTTAAAACTTATTATCAAGCATCTATTTTTGATCCATCAAATGACTCACTCACGCTGGTCATCCACGAAATTATCACGTTCTTAATTTTCATTTTTTTTCGTATTCAATTTCCGATGAAAATGAAAACAAAAATAATTTTTTTTTATCGTGTGTCGGTGACTCGCGTTGACTGACTAATAACAAGCAAAAGTAAAGAAGAAAATGTGAGAATTTGCGATTTTTTCGGTTCTTCTTTTTGAACGCGTCAACTGGCGTTGATTATTCAAATTGAATTGTTTAACATTTTAGCACTGACTATCTAATCGAAATGTTAACGAGATGAATTATTTGTGATGTGCTTTGATGGAAGTGTGATTTTTGGGAGGCAGGGTGGGTTTCTGGTTTGATAATCGAGTTTTTTTGATATAAGGAGCGCTAGGGTGTTCTGGTTTGACTCTAAGGACACCTCTAGTTAAGCACAAAACCTAGTTATAGACCCCAACTGTTGACTTTTACCTGCCACAACTCGGATACATAAAAAATCCCAGTTTTAATCAACTTTTCACCATCCAAGACCCCACCCATCCCCATTAAACCATTATCTACCAACTAAACCCATAAAAGTATTAAGCAGCAGTCACTAAACAACCAAATCTCCCCACACATCATCCATAAACATGTAATGTGCATTAAAATTGTCGTTGAAAGCACATTGTGAATTATTTATGTTCATTGCAATGTCAGTTTCTGTGAATTATTGAGCTTGTGCGAATTAAAATTAGAGTAAATTGTTGGTTTGAGTCGATCTAATTATAAACTTTGGGTTAAATTGATTAATCAATCGGATTATGTGATGAGCTTTGTTTTTTATTTATGGAAATAAATATTTATAGAGATGAGGGGTTGTTGAGTCATTATTGATTTTGATGGAAAGTGGCTGATGGAAAATATTTTTTTTTTTATTTTGAGATTTTCTTTATGATTGAAGAGGGTTTTTGGAAGGAGTTGAGAGGTTTGTGGAAGGTGCTTTGATGGAAATTGAATCATATTTTTTAAAAATTTGGATTAGGATGATGTCAAATGAGTAGATGGGAGTAGGAATGGATCTATATTTCTTGATATATATCTGTAGCTACTTAAAAAACTACATATTTACTTAATTCTATCCATAATCACTCATTTAAGCTGATATCAGTGGACAGAGTCGGTTATAATGGAACCTGAAGCATACCTTGAGATGAACCCAAGAAGCCATAGCTCGATATCTGGTCTTTTTTCCTAAGCTGTTCCTCCCCCCCCCCCTTGTCTTCCTGATGCATCTTTACTTAAAGGATGAAGGAGGTCTAATCAGTGGTAGACACCAACACTTCTCAATCTGATTCAATAACTCAAAGTTGAACCAAGTACTTCAAAACATCGTGGTTCCAATCATTTTAAACCCCCCTCTGCCTCTGCCTCTCTACAAGTTCAAAAACACCCAAAAAAGCTCAACAAAATATGCAAAACTTCTCATTAAAATATTCAAAAATAAAAAAATCTACACGAAAGTTTAAAAAATAATAAAAATTCTCAAAGCAACAAAATCGCAAAGAACAACAGCTAGCACACAAAAATAAAGTTGTACACAGAAAGTTCATTATGAACGAAATAGAGCTCCACATTTTATGAATATATAATTAGTTTCGCAAAAGCACACAAAGCTGTGCGGAGAGAAGGAAGAAGGAAAAGGAGCTTGAAATGAAATCTGATAAGAGTGAGGATATAAAAAAAATTTGCATGCAATTTAAAGTGAAAAAGTCAAGAATAAGTGAGAATTTTGAGAATAAGGAAGTTCGTTCCTTGCTTTGGTATGTTTTAAGTGTGCATAAGGCAAGTGAAACTAGCTTGTGTCCTTGAAGAGTTGAGATAAAAAAAAATATTTTTTTTGCAGGTAGTTTTGCATGTGCATGGAGAGAGAGAGAGATAGTGACTTGAGAGATATTTTTTTGGGTTTTACAGGAAATGAGTTTGGGGCTGTTCACTTATTACGTAACGCGAAAAAATGACTTTTTAGACCCCCCCTCCCCCCTCGTAACAAAATTTGTATGAAAAAAAAAATTTCCTTGTTTGAACCGTAACAAAATCTTAGACCCCCCTCCCCCCCTAAAAGCGTTACGTAATAAGTGAATGGCCCCTTTATGAATGTGTTGTAAAAATTGGGTAAAAGTTGTGAATTTGAGAGTTTTGAAGGATTTTATTTTGATATTTTTTTAAAAAAATTTAGAGGTAAAAAGAAAAATCTAACCTAGAAATTTTGAGAGGGAAGTGGGTTACCCTGTCCCTTGTTGGTCTATGCAAATGTTTAAAAATCCACAGTAAATCTAATTTTTCATCGCGTGCGTCATATTTTGGGTAAACAGTAATGTAGTTCTCGGAATATGACGCACGATTTTCCTTAAATAAGATTTAAACCAAAAAAATAATGAACACAACAATCAATGAACCTCCCTGACCTACTAACAATCTTTAATTTTGCCATACCTATAACATAATCCGATCATAACCTAAAAATAGTCATGCAAAATAAGTTCTAGGAGTACAGAAAAAAAATTAAATGAG